CTGCCGCACCACGTCACTTGAATGCGCAAACACAAAGACTCGCATATGAGGCGAGGTCGGACTTGGCTTGGATTTTGGCTCGAGTCGAGTCGAGTTGAGTTTTTGAGCAAGACCAACAAGACTGATGGCGATGAGGACGAATGGTCTGCGACTCGAACACAATTCGCCGTCGTTGTGGTGTCCTTGACGGAATCCTCTTTAACTGTAAGCTGCCCGAAAGACCAAGACCCTAACAGCTGATTATACACAAGCACACAGGCGGAGAAAAACTAAGCGAGTTCTAGGAAAATTGTATTTGTAAGTCAAAAATGGCGTAAAGTTATGTTACCTGAGAAGCAGATTTGAAAGAGTATTTATATATATTTTATTCTTATAAGATTCTTTAAAATTTTAAAAATATTCATTTACTTTAGAAAATAACTAATGAGTGTATTTTCCTTATAGTTTCTTTCTGCATACAAGGAAGTAAGACTGTATCCCTTTCCTATACCTACATTTACAGCAACTCATTGGGGACAAAGGAAAAAATTTTAATCTTTAATTTCACCAAAAACACTTAGAAAATACATTTGAGTTAAAAACTAACTAAAATTTGTTTAATTTTCCTCTGGATAATCCACTTACTGTTTCCCAAGTGCAGTGGTTAATATTTTTTTCTGTTTTACAGACTTTTTAGAACTGCCAACAATACCACTTATGTTTTCGTGCCCAACTGTCAGTGCAGGAGCTTTGGTCAGCGAAGGACTTCACATGTTGGTCCCTCCCCCAAAGGCTTTGGTTATTACAAATGGTCGGACAGTTCAGAGTCCTCTTCCTGTTCCTGCAGTAAATTTCATCTTTTTTTTTTGGTTTTTTGCACATCGTTAAAGATGTGAAACCGCCTGCTAAAGCTCGCTCGAGTGAAAAATTTGAAAACGTCCAGTAAAATGAAATGAAATGCGAGAAAGTAAAAACACACACACAAGGCCGTTGAGTTGGCCAGGAGAACAAAAAAAAAGAAAGAAGAGGACGAGAATCAGAGTCAGTGGCCATAAACGGGACTGAACAGAAAGCGGAAGCTCACGTACGGCATATTAAATAAATTGGCATGGCTATGTGATGCGGTGGCAAGAAGCTTGAAGCCTCCCCATTTCCAAAACCCCCACACAGACTGGCCCAAGAAAGTTCCCTGAAGCGGAGTGATTAGAAGACGACGATGACAGTCATTAAAGGACACCACAACTTGCCTCTTGAAGAGGAACTTAACTTATACTAACCGAATGACCGGAATCTCCGGATTTTACCACTGCAAATTAACATTATCGAATGTTGTCTCTGACTTGACAAACGACACTTGATATTTTTCGGGGCTATAGCCTCAAGACTCACCCACTTTGTCCGCTCGAGTCCAGTCCATTCGAGGGCCATCAATTGACACAGAGCGAGAGCACCAAAGTCAACTGGCCAATGCAAACAACAAAAAAGGCCAAAAAAAAAATCCTACAAATTCTGGCCTTAAGTCTGCAAGTCGATGGGTTAGATGCTCTTAGGATTAGAATATTTAAATATTTATTGTTAAAACTCAAAAAATGTTTTAACTTTTTAGATTGGAATACAAATTTCCCCGCTTTTATACTTAAATTATTTTAAGAAATAATCCACTTGCCTTTTAATAACTTTTTTAAATAATTTTCTTAATATTTATTATTCCAAAATATTTAATTATTATATATTAATATTAAAAAATTACTAATTTCTATTTTCAGATACCCAGATCCCCCAACCGATAAAGAAAAAAAGAGCATAGCCTGTTGGGAATCTCCCAGGATCGTGAGAGGAAAATGGGAAATGCGAAAGTGCGGTGGTGTGGGTGGTGCGGGGTGAGACAAATCGGTTTAGCCTAACTGCACTGACAGCCAAACACAAACACACTTGCAGAGGCGCACAATTGAATTTATGTAAGCTAGAGTTCTACAAGCGAAACAACAACAAAAACAACAAAAAAAAAAGAATGGAAAACTCGGAAAAAGCTGGAAATGCCACGAGGAAAATGGAGGGTTAGAAGGAGACACACGGAAAAAAGTTCGACCATTCGGAATCGGTGCCTGGGCATTTGTGTTATCGGTAATTATTTTGCCACTTTTTCAAATGCTCTCACCACTTTCCCAGCAACTATCCCCGTTCCGCTCTTCCCATTCAACATCATCCCCCTCTTCCGCCGACGCTGTGGTCCCCAGTGGTAGAGTGAACTAAGCTTATTTACCCATTTTTGCTAATGGCATGGGAGGAAACCCAGCGGACAGACAACAGAGCTGCAGAAAGAGATGGCTGGGCAACTCGTACATAGAGAGAGAGAGAGACAGCGAGTGGGTTGCAGAAAGAGATGGAGACAATGGCGGCTGTAGTAATGCGATAAAACTACACAACGTAACAGTGGAGCGCGGAAAAGTAAGAACTTATATTAGAACATTTTTAATTCATGGTCAAGTGATTGGTGTTGAGGAGTCTGCAAAGCAATGAACTATCGATAGGGTTTCGATATCTCCATGTCCGTATCTTGGCTATCTTTACCTTTCGGATCCTAAAACTATTAAGGAAGAAAAAAGTTTTAAATACTTTCCGTCTTTCCAGCCCTTTATGGCCCACTGTGCTTGTCCTTTGACCATGGCAACTACTTGAATGTTTGCTGTGCGGAGCCAAAACAGAATGCAACTGCTAACATATTTGACCCAAGTCGAAGTCCCTGCCTCCAACCCGAGATCCTTCTGGTAGTCCGACTTTGGTATGCGTTTGTTTGCCAACTTGATGAACTATGCACTGGCTCCTTTGTCTTCCATCTTTCCCGATCTGTTTTTCCCCGCCTTCTCTAGCGCCCTTTCTCTACCGACCTTTCTCCCACCCCCTGCCCACTATAACAACCATCAGCAAAGCATCCGGCATAGTTGGCAGCACATAATTTGGAATGGCCGAAGGTCAAGCGGTGAAATATTAACTTAGTTGATCACTTGCAGAGGGCGAAACAAAAAGGCTGGCCAAGAAGAACAACGCCATATGGTGCACTGAGATTACTTAGTTAGATCTACGATTTGTAAAACATTAGAAATATGATACAAAATCAGTTAACAATATCAAGATATTATATGAGTAATATTCAAACTTTTCCTACTTAACTTTCTTAAATGAACGAAAACTTTGAAAGAATATAAAAATATAATTTAAACATCGCTTTCCCTTAAGATTTCTCTCTCTGCATCGCCACTACTGGGCGTTGTAATTTTAATTTTCGCACCCAGCATTTCGGTTAATCTTTTCTGTGTGTTTTCCTGCGTACTTGTGTCGCACTTATGTATCATCATTTGTTTGGCTCTGATTTAATACTAGCAATGACACAATGTTGACGCCGGCCGAGGACAGGCAATTTAACTACGATGTCGCCACTGCAGCGCGTCAAGGACGTTGGCATGACAGTCGGATGGTCACCCGGCCTCGTAGTTTTCCTAGCCAACCTCCCTAGCCCTCAATCCTCTTCCCTGCCAGAACCACCCGTCGCCCCTCAGTCATTCCGTGTCCCATTAGGCGTGGGCTTTTGTCTTTGCTATCATTATCAACACCCTGCCATGTTGCTTTCTTTTCTTTAGTTTTTTTTCTTGGCATGCTCTGTCTTCCTCTTATTCTTAAGCACTGAGAAAAGATATTGTCAAGAAAATTAGTCATACTTAAAGCTAACGTTGCGTATACATAATATTCACACAACCTTTTTATAGCGTATACGCAATGTTGACACATTAAATTAAGAAGAAAACAAGAAATTAGCGGTTTTACAAATCTCAATATATATAAATAAAGAAAATGTATATTAATGCCCTGATTTTCTCTCACTGCATCTGTTGGTTTATGAGACATTTTGTTGTTGCTTATTTTGCTTTCGCCTTCGTTTCCACTCAGTTCAAGTGTTTTGCATTTTATGCTTGGCACACGAATCAAGTGGAATATGAAATGCCAAGAGGGTGAGGACCATTGAAATACCCTACTCAAATGCCAGCCATGTGTGATGGTAAACGTGACTTAAATGCTAGTTTAAAGTTTCAGAATAATTTACCTACAAATCGAGCAATGTTCTATAATCCATCCTTGCTGTTAGGTTATATTCAGCATTTTCCATATATATATAAAAGTCATTTGAAATGACTTAAGGCTAATGATAAAGCCTAGCTTAATGTAACATTCTTTATATACAGCCTTCAATGCCTCCCTCCTTGCTACCCATTATGTAGACAAACGTTTGTTGCCACGTCTTCGTCATTATCATCTGAGCTGCATCACGACAGTTGGCGTCCTTTTTTAAAAATTAACACAACGCTAGCCACGCCATGCCCCCTACCACCGCCCTTATATTCAGACAAGGCTAAACGAAAGAAAAAAAACAGAAGGAAATAGAAATAAGAAATAAAAAATGAGACATGAGAGCAAAAAGATAAAACGAAAATGAAAAGAAACGTCATTTATCACAATATAAAATTGTATGCTAAATAACATGGAATGACCTGGATTAAAAACGAAATCTTTATGCCTATTATGGGGATACTTTGATGGCCAAATCAGGCTAAGAAATCACAAATGTTCAGGATAATCAAATCTTTAGATAACTTAAGCTGCTTTAATTGAATGTTTAAAGGGATGTGAGTAACTAGAATTGGGTTTTATATTTTAAAAATTCATTTTATATTATTAAAAGCTTAAATGTAGGTATTTTTAACAGGGGAATAGACTTTAACTTACACAAATTTATTTATATTTTATATAATTCAAAGTTTTCCCCTTCACTTAGTCTTACTCAGCTTACTTAGTTTCTCAAACCTTTAGACTTGATCATAATCCATGGCCAACTAGGTTAAAATCACAATTTTTTTTAAAAATTTGAAAATTTTCCAACTTAGTAGTCCCTGAAATCAAATGTCAAACCAAAAAATCGAGCTAGCTCGGCCAGTGCTCCGAATTCTCAGTATCAAGGTTTTGTTCAAACAGTTAACATCGTTCGGCGGAACAAAATTTAAGTGGCTTTAATTTTTGGGCAAAGAAAAAAAATAGTTAAAAATATTTCTTCCTGATTTGTTTTTCTTCCAAATTTGTAAAAGTTTTTTTTTTTTTGACTACCAACGTTCCCGAAATGTCGAACGCATTCTCCTACTGGAATGGCCAACCCGTGAATGCGCCCGTCTATCCGCAGATGGGTGACCTGATGCAGCAGACGACCGCTGGAGGCGCAGCAGCAGCAGCAGCAGCAGCAGGACAAGGACAAGGTGCTGGTTCTGGGCCAGGAGGACTAGGCGGATGGCCCGGCCAGGCAGCATCTGCGGCTCAGTCTCCAGCCCAGTCTCTTCATCCCTTTGCCGCCGGAGGTGCGGGCATGGGGGCCGGCGTTGGCGGCGGCGTTGGAGCCCACCGCGGCATGTCCATGGCTAATTCCCAGCAAATGGGCATGGGCGACTATTCAAACATCAGCTCGCCGCTCACCTGCAACGTGCCCACCGACTTCTTTAGCCAAGGACCATCTGGTCCATTTGAGCCCTGTATCGACAATGGCGAAGCATTCTGCGCCTACAACGGCATGGATATGAGCATGAACTACGGCGGTGGCGGTGCATCCAAGGGTGGCTTCTGGTAGAGGGCTGCAATATGGCCTTTATAACACCACACGATCTGCCGTTAGTACACTCTCCACTTTCCACAATCACAGCAGCAGCAGCATTAAAAGAGTCCACAGTCGCATCCAAAATTTTATACACAGCGCATAGGTACGAGCACATCTGCTCCACACGACTACACTTCACACCACTCCACTCTGCTCTCTACCCATCGTCATCCATGAGAAAGTACGTTTGTCCGTTGGTGGAGCAATATATATATCAATGAGTACAGACTTCTTGGTTTTGATTAATAGGGTGGGCTTAGGGGGTTAAATAGTCTTTCAGATTCTCCTAAATTCTTTCTAAGATTGCATTTGGGAGAGGAGTACTAAGGTGTGACTGAACATATACAAATGTTTAATTCTAATAAAATATTCAGAGTAAAAAGGAAACGCGAATGGCATAAATATTGTATGTAAATTCTTAAATAATATAATATATGATATAATCACATAGCAAGCTAAGCGTTTTCATTTCGTAAGCTTAATTCATTCAAACAAACATTTATAAGCTAAGAGAAAAAAGTTTAAGGTTCCCAGGTGATGACTGTTAATCTGTTGGGTAACTTTTTGAAAATGCTTAAACAGTTAACTGGCAATTTATGGCTAAGTAATCTTAAATTGCTTACTTAATAAAGTTGACTTTGCATTTTATCACACAAGCTGCGAAATGAGTGAGTAAAAGTGTAATAAAAGTAGATAAAATCAAAGCAAACAGTAAGCAGTTTACGTCTAACTAATTGAGAGAATCAACTTAATCATTTTCTCTATACTAATAATATGTTAAATGTAATTCTAGACAAGCAAAAACCCTAATCCGAAATGACACTTTGCTAAATCTTATATATTTAAAATTTAGCACAAAACGTTTATGGGTTTAATTGAACCAATTTTCCAGCATATTATTAAACCAAGCAAACCATATAAATATAGGTATTTGATACTCCCAAAACCCAAAACGAAAACTGTTGATTCCACCCCTTTAACGTATCAAGAGATGTGACTGATTGTCTTAACGATGAGATGGCATTTTCTCAACACGCTAACGAGATTCACAAAAACTATATATATATATTTATATAAAGTCAAGATTATATTCCTATAATCCAGAATAAAAGCAAATCTGATTAGAACTAATCAAAGTACAGAGAGAAAAACATAGAAATATTAATAAATATAAATCTAAGATTGAGCTGATAATATGAAACTATATTTTAAGGAGAATTATTAGTCATATATTTAAGTGAGTATAAAATATAGTTTAATTTCATTTTCCTTCATAATTTGTAAATTTCGTATTTCATTCTATTCCCTAGATCTCCCCTTAGCCATCTACTAGAACTTTTCTCCCACTGTAATTAGCTAGAACCCGTTCGGAGAGCGGCTGCTACCCGCACGCAATCATTCCAGCTATATATAAGGAAGAGCTTCAGGTCGAGATCCGAGCAAATATCGATAAAAATCTAAGCGAATAACATGGAACGCTGGCAGAATCGCGTGGCCGTTGTTACAGGCGCCAGTTCGGGAATCGGATCAGCTATAGCCAAGGATCTATGTCTGGCCGGGATGACCGTTGTGGGCTTGGCCCGTCGCGTGGATCGTGTGAAGGAGCTGCAAAAGGAATTGCCGGCTGACAAGAAGGGCAAATTCTTTGCCGTTTACTGCGATGTGAGTAGCGAAAGCTCCGTGAATGAGGCATTCGATTGGATCATCCAGAAACTTGGCTCCGTGGATGTGCTGGTTAACAACGCTGGTACCCTGCAATCGGGTCAACTGATCGACCTGAACCCGGTCCTTATGCAGCAGGTCCTGCAGACGAACATCATGGGCATCATTCTGTGCACCCAACGGGCGGTTCGCTCAATGCGAGAGCGTAAGTTCGACGGACATGTGGTGCTAATCAATAGCATCCTGGGGCATAAGACCATGACGGCCATGGAGGGCGTGGTGCCGGATGTCAACGTCTATCCGCCCAGCAAGCATGCGGTCACGGCCATGGCCGAGGGTTATCGCCAAGAGTTCCTCGGCCTGGGCACCCGCATTAAGATTACGGTGGGTTTGCTTTCTGTTTTTGCGTTTATAAAATAATCACTAAAAATATTCCTCTTTCCCATTTTAGAGCGTCAGTCCTGGTGTGGTGGACACGGAGATCCTTCCGGATAGCATCAGAGAGTCTATTAAGGACCGCATGCTTCACTCTGAGGACATCTCGCAGGGAGTGCTCTACGCCATTGGCACGCCCCCACATGTCCAGGTGCACGAGCTGACCATTAAGCCCCTTGGCGAGACCTTGTAGACAAATCCCAAAGTCTTATATTTTTTTTTTCAATTTTTTTCTTTAGAATAGTTTACAATTTTTGGGAAATTGAAAGCTCAGTTTTTCCCCAATTTTTTTCATAGTATTTAATTCTTAATTTCCACAAAAACTTATAATAATAAAAATGCTTTGTCTTTGAGCTTAGTAAATTGATTGAATTTATTCAGGCTTTATTTGTACAGCTGAAAAATGTTCTTGTCTTAACCCATGACAACCCAATTAAAAGCACATAACCCTTTTAGCAACACTTAATTGCACAGCCAGCTGCAGGGCAATGAGAAAATGTGTTTTTAAATGCAAATTCCTGGCCAGAAGAACGTTTTTTTGGTTTTGGAAAGTGGAAAAAATGATGGTAAATATAAAGAAAAATAGAAGCTATGGTAAATGACTTGCCGCATAATGGATTTTGCCAACTAATTGCCAATGGCCCTAATGGCTTTAATTGACAATTTTTGTTTTAACCGCCTCGGCACATGTTTCTGGGCGAAAGAACACAATTGAAATTTTACACAGAAAAGGCGAGCAATAAATGGGGAAATAAAGAAAGCTGTTACCCTGCAGAAATGGAATTCTCTGTGGTCAAAGAGTGTCATGTGCAATTGGGCATCTTCAAGCAATTGCTTGGCTACGAGGAGGAAACCGAGTCATTAGAGCGTCCCACTTCTTCAAGCTTCCTTTACACGGAAATCAAATATATATTTTAGATATTTTTTGATTGCAAACTGAAAACTTCTTATGAACAAAAGTTATCAACAAAAATACAAAGAAATTATTAAATATTAAAAAATAGATTTTATTTTTATTATTTAATATTAAATTAATAATTTTTTTATTTTAGTTTTCCTGTGTATTTCTTGCTGCCGGCCACACACTTGATTTTATTTGAGCTTTTTCCGAGTTGGTGTCCGTCCGGAAACTCAATTTGTCAGACAAATGCGATGGCGGAGCTGCAGCCGTAGAGCATAAAACAGGACCTGTAGTCGCTCCAAGGACAATGCCATATCCTTGGCCAAGTCTATTAAAGCTAAGTAAACACTGCTCTCAATGAACTGCGGCTACAAATTCCAATTGACTTCAATCAAAAGATGACCGCATTAAATAATAAAATTAAACGATTTTGTAGGCCTTTATGTTGGCCAAGAATAGCCTACTAACTGCTGTTCTAACTGCTGAGGTATCTTTTAAGTTTAATCATTGGTTTTAACTTCTGAAAGAGTGTATAAATTATAATAGTTTTTAGTAATTTTATTTACTTTTAAGATCTTTCTGTTATTTTTGCTGATTAAAAGTCCTATCAGAATATTGATAAAAGTTTCTCCCAGCTTAAAAACTCTTTAAATTTAAACCACAAATCAAATATTAACACAAAAAATAATAGTTATTTATGCAAATAACTTGCCTTGCCTTTTCGCCCACGCTTAGTCAGACCTTTGGTTTTCCCAGCGAAACTTGAGATTGATAAATTTTCACACTCGGCTCATTTATTTGTTAGCCTCGTTCTTTGTTTGCCTGATGTTTGTGTTTTTTTTTTTTTTGCTTTTTTCGTTGGCCCTCTTTTATCAAAGTTGTTATGACTGCCTCGCAAGGCCGCCAGCTGTCAAAAGTTTTACACGACGCCCCCCTCTTTCAGAGATTCCAAACAACACACATCCCCCCGTCTAGATGGGAATCTCTATCCCAATCTGAATCCCAATCCCAATACCAAGCCAAATCCAATTAAGCTGTCATTATAGAAACTCAACTAGAAAGACTCGTTCGTGTTGGAGAAAAATCTTGGATATTATTATAATTAGATGTGAGATTGCCAGTATGTTTATCAACCGCAAATTTGTTGATTAATTAGTTACCAATTTAACGGAATAGCCGTCAAGATAGTATGTATGTATCCGATTTATTATGCGTACCCCAAGAGTGATTTGAACGATTATAATAAATTCATGCCAGCGGCAAGATTATTCCTATACATACTATATATATCTATATATATGTTCATTTCTTTATCACTTATTTATGCTTTTTTTTTTTGATTTTTTTATTGGTGGAATTAATGCAAATACAATTAGTTCGATTAACCGACATCTCTGGCGTGCTTAATTAATATTAGATTTGTATCGCGCCGAGCGAAAAGCGAAAAGAAAAATGCAACTTAATTACATTGTATAAAATTTGATTTGGCTTTTTTTTTTTTCGCTGATGCGCTGTTCGTTTATGCATAAATTATTTACCAATTTATTCGCTGTCTATCATACAAACACACAAAAAAAAGGACAATCAACGCTGAAAAAAAATGCCATAAAAATTTATGAAATGACAAATTTAAAAAGCAATCAAATGGGAGAAAGTTGAAAAATTGATTATCTGCGAAATTGATTAGTCTAAAAAATATTTAAAACTCGCTAAAGTGGAAAGACAAAAGGGAAATGAATAGATTAAATGACAGAACGATACTCATATAATTGTAATATAAAAAGTATCCTTTGATCTGAGCCTGCAGCGCCCCGAGGCTTTTGGCAGCTGGTGCAGCAGGGTCCTTCCTTCGTTACTATGTGGTAAATGCTATATACATACATAATATACATAGTATGTTGTACGTGCAGGAGGCAGCAAGCCATCAAATCGCAAAAAGGAAATCAAAATCAATGTCAATATTTTTTTGAGCCAAATCGAGGCTGGCAGAAAAGGCGCTAAGTCAGGCCGGGCAATAAGGAAAATGAGCACGTGCTACGGCAAATCCAGAAGTGGGAGTGGCAGGCGGTAGCAGCAGTAGCAAACTTGGCAAAACTGTCGCCGGGCACAAAGGATGCGGGCTGAAACAATAAGTAACCGAAAGGACCAAAAGGGCCAAAGGAGCCGGGGTAGACTGGCGTCATCATTTATCACGCGCTCGCACACACACACACACGGAGAAAGGTCAAGCAAAGTGTTATCCTTGGAGCCATCAAGGCAATGCGGGAGGGAGGGGAGAGCAAACCAGCCAGCTGCCAGCTGTTCCACTCGGTCCTTGGATCCTTGGAAAGACACATGCACTCGCAGAAAACAATCAGAGGACCCCGACACCCCTGGGGAAATGGAAGCCAGCAAGAGCCACTGCCACATCATCACCAACTAACCAAAGTTATCACAATTTTAGATATATCTGATTGAAAAAGTTGAAAATAAATCTACAAATTCTTAAATATTGGTTATTTCGCAGAGTGTAAGAAGGGGGAGAAGGAAAATGTTTGGAAAAATCACTATCGGAATGAAAATAGCAATGATGTGAGGGTGAACCTGGTTGCAATTGGGCCTTACCCCGGCCAGTTGGCCTCGTCCCGTGCGATAATCGTCAAAGGAGCCTCTCATCATTAATAAAAGTCCCGCATATCAAAGTAAACTTTTGTAACCAGTTTTTTGAAGTTCTTTTCTCCCCTTACACATGTGCTAAAAAATTGAGAAAAATAGATTAATAAAAAATAGCAAACACTCAATCAAATCTAGTTAATCAGTTAAGTTTTTGAATTTTTAAAGTTATTTCTTAGAGAGAATGTAAGTTAAAACCTTGAAAATAAAACAACTTTTGATTTGATTTAATTTTTTTGTGTTTTTTGGAAATTTTATTTAATTTATTTTACTTTTTTGTTGCAGTTTTTGACGCTGATTTGATGTCTATATTGTTTTCTTTTTTTTTGCTTTAATTTACATTAAGTTATTTTTGCGTGTGTGTGTGTGTTTTTTAGCTTTGTTCATTTTTGGGAGTTTTCAAATACCGATCAATTTATTTAAATAATTCGCTTGCACAATATTTTTACTTTGCTCTGGGTTTCATATATATATATATATAGATATATATATATAATGTTATACAATATATTTAATATAATTATTTTATTTTATTACATAAAAATAGTTTCTGTAGCACAATTCATTCAGTTAATTCATCTTTTTAATTTGTTATTTATGATTTGTTTTTTGTTTTTTTTTTGTGGTTGCTTCTGACGACACACGGCAAAGAGCGAGAGGCAAAGAGTTGAACAGAAGGAAAAGAAAATGAAAGATACAGAAAGGTTATAGAAACTAAATCGGCCGATCAGAAGGGCATACATACATTTGGTGGAATACATATGGCAAAAGGAAAGAGCTTCTTCTTGATTCGAATAAATCATAATCATAATAATAAAATAGAATTATCGCCTGGGCCAAGGGCGAAGGCGAGGTGCGATCCAGTTCTGTTAACTTGGTCTCTTGTTTCAGACACATATGCGATAGTTAGTTTGTGGTCCACGCTCGTTTAAAATGGCTTAAATAAAAACTTGCTTTAAAATGAAGACGTACAGCTGCCTACATTAAAATTGACAGGATTAAGGTTAAAATTAATTACAAAGGGTTTCGTTGGTTGGTTGATTGGTTGGTTGGTTACTTTGATTGGCCTGATATTGGTTGGTTTGAACAAAAGCAAAGAAACGCATTTCGTGGGTTAACTAAAAATGTATACACGATAATGGATAGGAGCTTCTCGATCTCTCCTGGTATAAATACTACACTACCGAATCAACAAAAGTGAGTGGGTGTGTAATTAATTAATATAATTAAAAAGTACATACAAGCTAAGCGCATACCATTCTCTTAATCCTCAGTGATCTTGGACTGTCTGTTTGTTAATTACATTTTACAACTTGTTTTTCTTTTTGTTTGTTTAATAATTTATTATACAATCGTGTGTGGGGAACCGCGAAAGAAAAAAAACTACTTCACATTATCCTTATCATAATCCCTTCTCTATATCTCTCCTCTCTCTCTGTCTGTCGCCAAGACCCTTTTAACACATGCAGACGGGGGGGGGTTCAACTTTCTTCAAATAGAAAACTGTTTTTCTAAGCTAAACCATTAAGTGGCGAATGTCTCTTCTCTTGTTCATCGTTATAATTCACAATCCTAGTTTTCGTTTTGTTTTTTGTTTCATTTCCTATCGAAGGTTTTTGAGTATGCCGCAGGAGGCTCGTAAAAAAGAATCACTCGTGGTTGTGGAACTCATCACATGAGTACCAGGAAGATTTAAAAGTTTATGAAAAATCTCTGGGCATTGATCAGTTTTAAGGGGCAATTGGAGTTAGAAAACTTGACATTGTCTTTGTTAGGGGACTTTGTGTTTAACAACTCTTTTAAAGCCCTGATTTAAATCATTTACAAAAGGTCTCTTGATTAGTATATATCAAGATCATCATTAGTTAACCTCATAAAGATTTTACATTCACTTAAGAGTTTGCCTCCCCTGAAGTTTCCATTTTAAATACTATAACCCCTAACTGATGATAGCCCGTACACCAACTGGCAGACCATTGAATGATCTAACAGCTGTATGAAATTGTGGTTCCCTTAGTTGCTCTCCAGCATTACTGGTCCTGCGTTCTCTACGAGTCTCTGCCCTTCCTTTGCTGCTTAAATAACGTTTTCATGTTGTTCTGGTTCTGTTGTTGTTGTTGCTGCTGCCGCTGTGGTTCTGCTGTGGTGTCAGTGTTGCTGCTGGTTGACTACGGCTCAACACTCACTTTGCGACATGTCGATCTCTTTCTTTACGCTGCGCGATAACCGATCCAGCTCGGCGGCCGCATCTGTGCGTACGGCCAGTTTCTCGGGTGTCATCATTGCATCCGTACCATTGGCCGTACGACCCGGTCCCGCCGGACTGCCGGCTCCACCCGGACCACCGCTCGCCGGACTGCCCGACTTTTTGTGCAGCAGCGAGTTAAAGAAGTTAGCCAGAACGCCCTCAGCGCCAGGCGTGGCTGGCGTTAGCTTGGGATCAATCTAATACAGAGACAATTTAGTTAGACTTAATTCGTACTTCGTTAATAAGAATAACCCACCTTCTTGGGTGAACTCTGGCCTGCAGTGCCGGGTGTTCGGGGTCCGCTCTTGTTGCTACCCACACCCTGCGATCTCAGTGGAGATTCTCCGCGCACCTGGTCGCCCTGCTTAAGGATCTCCTGCTGTCGGGCCAAAAAGGCCTGCTCGTCCTCCGTCTGCACTTCTGCCTCCCGATTGGAAACCGCCTAAAAACGGAGTCACAAATGAATATAAAAAGTATAAACCGAGCAAGCTGGGGGCGACATACTTTTCTAGTTGGCGGTGATTTGATAATGTCTGTGTAGGGATTTTCGGCCTTGACTCCATGCATATTCTCATACAAAATACTAATCTTCTTCAGGCTATCCCAGCCAGCCGGACTGCAATGATATTGATTGATTATTTATAAAGTTGAATAATATTGAAAAGATAACAAGGACACCCACATGAGTACCGCATCCTTCTCAACGACTAGCGCTGGCGTACTAAATGGTAGACCATAAATTCGATGCGTCAGATATTTGTAGAGTTGATCACAGTTTTTGTCTTCTTTGACGCTCGTGTAGAACAGCGAAGTGCCGTGCCGCAGGCAGAAGTTACGTATCCACTGCTGGATGAAGTCGAAGTGCTCGTCGCGATACTCGTACTCCTTCTCCAGCGTGGTCATGTAGTCCGTCTATAAATGAAAATATTTTTAATACATGAAACAATTTAGTATATCTGAGATTTAACTGCCCACACTTACCTTTGTTACCACAACAACGATGTCGAGGCCCAGATTTGTAATTAGTGCGTCCTCCGTCAGCGGCAGCAGGTCATCCTCGTCGATCGAGTTGTTGCGCATCGTCCGCTTGACCGGAGAACCTGGATCCAGGTCATCGCCCACCTCGCAATAACTCTGCCACGTAGTGGCTAGTCGCTGGCGGGCCGCCTCCTTCTCTTTGGCGTCCAGCTGCAGGCTCTCGATATGCTGTCCCAGGACTTTGATCCAATGGTTCAGCTGCTCTAGCCAGCCCCACGGCTGCGTCATCGAAACGGTGAGGATGACGAGTGTGTGTGCATAGTTCGTTTCATTGAGCGCATAGTGTAGCAGGTTTGTGTGTCCTGGATCACCGTCCAGAACCCAAACGCCCAAACGCGTCATGTCTACGATGGGATAACAAATTAAATATTTATTTTATTTCATTACAGGAACTAATTACTTACCGTCTCTGTACTCGTCCTTGACATCGATGTAGGCATACTCCAGGCCGGAACCCTTCTTTGGATCCTCGACGCCCTGCAGTTTGGCAATGAGTGTCGTCTTTCCGGTGGCATTGTCGCCTAATACTAGTACAGATTTGTTTGATGGAAGTTTTGTGCTGCCCTGTGTTTGTACTTCATTCAATATTGCCGACCTGTAAGGAAAAATATGGGTTTATGTTTGCATTATTAATAAAATATTAACTCGCGAAAAGTTAAATAAGTTTGTAATCAATAGAAGACAACATACAGTTTCATAGTTTTCATTTTAAATCAATTTAGCATAGGACCCAAATCCTAACTTCCCACGATCTTCAAACTTTTTGGAACTTTGCGAATCCTACGCATTATATTTCCTTTAGCTTTTCCGCTTGACACACGTAATCGAATTCAGGTCACAGGTCCGTCATTCATTCACATTTCCCTTTTCGCAACATTCCGCCATCAAGTTAATTGACGGGCCTCCCCCAACGAACCCACACACTATATATATAATATATATATAGAAATTTATATGTAAAAGTCCCTCTCATATTTCCCAGCCCACGGTTCGTGCTCAATTTTAGTGTTTCGGAACTACTACGTCAATATTTGATATGGTTTTGCATGCGATTTTCAAACGTCGCAGCAATGTCTGCAATTCAATTAGACCAATTAAATAATTTTCAATTGATGTGGAATGAAATACTTGTGCTCGTACCATCCTGCCGTACAGACAGCCCGGACAGAGTGTCCTGTCCTAGCTGCCTGGCTGCCAGAACATGCAAATTGACCAAAGGTCTTGCTGCTGCCCCGCACTCGCCACCTCCGCGTCTCCCGATGGGACTATGGGGAATATCGATTGCCGACCGAGCACTTTTCCAGTTCGTTTCGATTGTTTTGTTTTGGTCGGTTCCTTTATTGAATGCGGCGCTTTCTCATTTGCCTATACGAACAGGAGGCACAGTGGTTCAAGCTGTCGTAATATGATCATCAGATAGATTTTTATGATTACTATTGTTAGCAAAGAATCAAATTAAACAAGGACTGGCTAAAACTATTCAATGCCTTTAATAAGACTCAAATAATCTAAATATTAAACGAATCCTATTAAATCTTCTTCTTGTTGTAATAAAAATAAACCATTAAAGTCCATTTCTCTAACATACTTTTGCTTTCCCTCAAAAACCAATTAAATTCCGCATCCTCCTCTATAATTTTCCCAACCTTACTCCAACCTTTGACCCACTTCGAGGGAAAATCTACCTGCGCCCCACTGTGCACTGGTAAACGAACGTTTTAACGTTCTCCATTTGGTGGTGGCTAGTTGGTTGGCGGGTACTTCGTGGACTCCTTCGATGGGGTGGAGGCGAAGGTGGTAAAGGTGGAGTGGTTCCCCGTTGGCATGGTGCACGCGAAAAAGCCAAACGAAAAGTACACTTTCCAGGCAAACTCCAAGCTGCCCTCGAGGAGTCCGTCAAGAACTGTTGGTCGCGTTGGTTGGATTCTACATTGATTGTATATTTTCCTCATTTGAAAATTTGAGCTTACGTTATAATACCATAAGAGAACTTCAAGATGAGTTTGCTTTTGAGGCGACGTTCGCGCAGCGAGACGCGTCCTCAAGAGATTCCGGCCGATAAGGCCAAACATCAGGAATCGGAGAAACCGGACAGGCAGCAGCAGCAGCAGCAGGCGAAGCACCATCAAATGCGCCACCATCCGCATGCCAGTGAACAGAATCTTAACAAACTGGGCCTGGTTTCCAGTGGCTCTAGTGGAATGGGCAGGCGCAAGACATCCGCGGAACTCATTAGCGAGGCCAAGATGTTTCTTGGCGAATCCGTTAATGCCGTTCCCCTGATGGCCACCGGTGGTGCCCGTCTGGTCAGCACTCGACGACCTATTACGCCTCGCGAGTCCGGACGCGTTTTATACGGCAAAGTCGCCCTGGCAGGACGGCCACCCAGTGCTTTTTCGTAGGTTATCCTAAGGGAAATTCGATGACACGACTATTAAAGATTTTCCATTTTCTTCTTCCTTCTTACAAAGCATGCGGTATTTGCAAAATGAGAAACCATCGACCCCACGTCAGTTGCCGGCTCTTTCGGGTTCTGGACCGGCCACGCCAATGCCCACCAGAAACGGAGCTCTACTGTGTCAATCCAGCACAGAAACCCTGATTGAACTGCTAAAGCAGCACAGTGGTCTCAAGGATTGCAGTGATGAAACGGTGCAGCACATAAATGCGGTAAGTATGTGGCATGTTACAAGGTTTCTGGGAAATCCCATTCGATATGGCGGATTCCATATTCCCCTTTCTGTATTTCACAATTTTGGTCAATAATTATTGATATTTTATGAAGGAACCATTTACCAGTCCCTAAGGCGTATTTAACTGACTGATTGACACATTTGTACCCATCACAGATCCTCCAGGAGCTTTATACTCGCGTGAGAAAGCAGGAGCGCAACTTCAAGCGTGGTTTCATCCTGGGAGGTCTCTATGGCTTGGTCGAATGCAGTTCTCCGCGTGTTCTTTTGGCTGTGGCTCGAGTGGTTTTGGCAGTGAGTATTTCCACAAATACATCGTTTATATGATTTTATAACACATTTCACCTTTCAGCTTAGGGTTACGGGCAGTAATCTTACCGGTGCCTGCAAGCTGATCTTTAAGGTGGCCAGACACGAACAACATGATGCCTTGTTCCACGAACACGATGTACTTGAACTGCTTATTGATGGCTTGGGACACGCCTCGCCTTTGGATGAGCCGGAGGCTTGCATTTATGCCTATGGTTGTATACGTTTCTTGACCGCCAGCAGTGCCCAGGAGCGTGATGATGCCCTGAATCGGAATTGGATTGGTTTGGAGAACACCGGCGAAAATCATTCGCTGCCTATTCCTGCTCTTATGCCTCCTGCTCTGACAGCCATAACCGCTGCCCTTTGTCCTAGAAAATTGACGGGTCAGCAAACGTTGGTTTCCCGTCTGGCTCGTCACGGCGCCGTGGAACTGATGATATTGCACCTGCAGATGTTGAATGAGGCGGGAGCCACCAAACGCCTTCAGGGTCCGCCGCTTCACACACTCTATCAATTATCGGCCGCCATGAGAGCTCTGGCAGATGTTTCCCAGCAGCAGCAGCGTCTGCAGCTGCAATTACAACTAGCCTGTCCGCATCTTATCCGAGCAGCCGAGGTTTCCATGGGCGAACTGGAGGTTCAAGCCAATGTGGTGCGCACTCTAAGGTGGGATTAACTTTAACTTTCTATCATTTCTTACTCAAAATCGATTCCCTTTCTAGTGTTCTTTCGGAGGACTCTGATTGCTGTGAAACGCTGCACAACTATGCTGCCAGGATAGGCCTGCTTCTGGGCCCATCTTGTGCCGGTGGTGGTCAGTGCAGTGAACGTCTGCTGGCGGTACTAAGTCGATTGGGCTACATGCTGGGCAATATATTGGCCAAACACGAATCAGCGCGGATACAGGTGGGTTTTTTCAATAATCCTATTAATTAATATTAATAAATTATATGCTTTTTGCAGTACTTTCACAACGATGTGGCCATGGAGTATCTTCTGAATGTCCTGGAGCAGCTAAATGAACGCTCACCCACCAGCGTGGCTCTTTTGGATGCTCAAATCAAGTTGATACGGGTGGTGGCCAATATGAGCGTGAATGCCGAAGTGGGCGCTGGCTTGGGAAATGTCCGTTCCTTGGGCGCTGTGCTGATGCAGCTTTTGAGCAAAACCAGCGGGGAGTTGGCCAAGAAGAAGGTGAGTTTTTAAAGCCCCAATGATCATGTCCAGAAATTAATAGTTTTTATGTTCTTATCATTGGATTAGTCCCCGGAACAACAGGAACTTCTACATGCCACCTTAGGTGCCCTGCACAATCTTTGCTTCTATCAGGACAAACAGGCAGCTGTGCAGCCTTTGGCTGAGGGATCTCTTCAGAGTCTGATTGACGACCTGTCCGGTTCTCTGGCCAAAGTTTTAAGCAGCTGTCAGACGTCAGTAACCAAAGTGGAATTGGCCCGAGTTCTGGGTAATCTCACAAGGAATGAGCGCGCACGTCGTTGTTTCTGTGCAGCCGGAGGATTGCCATTGATGGTGCAGCAGCTGACGAAACAGGCAGCTGGCCAGGATTACGAGCTGCGCACCTGTGCCATTGGTGTTCTAGTGAATCTCTTGGGCGATGGCGAACAGCGAGGTCCCTTTCTGCAACTCCGAGGAGCAGAACTTTTATCCCTACTGTTGCGCGGATCTTTGGAGCAGGAGGATTGGTTCCTGGCCAATATCGTTTGCCAGGCCCTCTGGAATCTTCTCATCGATGGACAGTGTGCGGCTAATCTTTGCCAGAGCGGTAATATTCTTGATGAAGTGAGCGATCTGCTGGCCGATTATCTCGATGAAGATCGATTACTTCCCGGCGATACCGATAACGATGAAGAAGAACCAGACGGGGAACAGGAAGATATAGATGCGGCGGAAACGGATCCAGAGACTCATGATGCTTTGTGGGAGGATTTTGCATTGGTTGCCACCGATTTGCTGGAACGCATCCAAAACAATTTCGATAGACAGCAGCAATCGCAGACTTTGGTGCCACAGCATGCCGATAACGAAGACGATAAAGATGTATTCATCGAGGAAATGTAGTGGAAGTTCGTTCGAATAGTTTTTTAGTATTTATATGTGTTTGCAACATTATTCGATAAATATCTTAAACCAAATAATCAAAGCCAATAAAAATATGTTTTAAAATACTCTTCTAATTGTTTTGAAAGTTAAGTTTCATACGATAAATCAATACTGACCCTACATTAAATATTTCATTAAACAAATAATAAATCATGTTAAATTACAAACATTAAACATTTATATGATGAAAATGTTTTGACAATGATCATTTATCAATATCAACAAATATGACGATTACTTTTAAAAGAGGAAATGTTTATGCGAACAAGTTATTGTTGTTTAAAAACACTAGGCTACATACTTTAGGTTTTTGGTTTGCAAAAAGGGTTTACGAACTGAGTCATCTGCTTTCAGAGCTATAGTTAGCCTTTTCCTGAATTTTAGTTTAAGATATCTTTGTTTACTTTAAATATCTTTAGATATGGTATTCTCATTAACGCTGCATATTTATAATTTAAAAGAAAACGACAAGCACTTGTGATATATGATATGATCTCAGTATAACAATGTTTGGTCATAGAAAACAATTGTTAACGCTTCTGTTTCTTCCAAATTTTTCTAAAGAATCTAAAGAGTATCAGTATCAGTATATAAAACAGCTGTTCTATATATATTTCCCAGGTGCTGTGTTAGCTAGTGTAGTTTAAACCAAACGACATATTCAAGTGATGACAACATCGTTAGCACACCCATACACCAGCGGAAACCAATACACGCACGTCTTAAAGCCAAGTTTGGGTTCCAATTGGAATCGGTCTTATTGGCTGCTAGCCCATTAAGCTGGGTTTTATTTATAAGTATGAGTGTAGAAAAATTTATCAATAAGAAAAAAGGTAAACGCTGCCCTCGATTTGTTTTTCTTTTTTTTTTTTTTTTTTGTTTGGTGAATTTATGAATCATCCCCGCACATTGTTGCTCTTTCTTTCACCCTCTCTCTCTCTCTGCTTCTGTTTTCCTCTCTGTTTTCTTTTCTGTGCGTCTTTATCTCCCATTCCTGCTCTTTTCTTTCTTGTAATATTATTTACGCATTTTGTTTATTAATTTATATTAGCAAAAGCTTGTAAATATTCCGGAAACATTTGAGGTTAAGTAGGGAAATATGGGTAGAAGAAAAGAAGAAATTACAACATGCCGATGGAATCAGCTGGTTTTTTTTTTGACTCTAGTTAAACATAACTCTGAGTTTGCCGGCTGTCATAAACCGAAATTCGAAATTAATGAATATCAGTAACCAACGGCCAAAAAAGTAAGATAATAGTGGTGGCAAAAATCAGTTAGCAAACGTCATCTAAAGAAAGTTATCAACAAAAAATAATTAAAGAGAAAAACAGAGCGCCCGCTCTTATGGGTTTCTTTTTTGTTTATCTTTTCGAATTCTCTTTTTTTTTTGTGGTCTAATTGCATTAATTATTGTACCTAATACGTTTTCTATATATTTTTTAATCGCTATCTAGATAGGTTGGTTTTTCTTTAAGTTCTATAAGGTGCAATAATTATAGCTACCAGGTTTCCCTTCCTTTGCTATAATCCTTTAATTTAAATACCTTTTGATTTTATCACTGAGATTAACTAGTTCTTTTTGCAAATCACAAAAAGGCAAATTCCTTAAAGGAATCGGTTAGCAAGAGGACATATTCTCCGCTTATTTGGAAACCTATTGGTGTTTCATTCATAAACATATTTTTCAGGGGTTTTTACGGTTTTTGGGTTACACCCTTAGTTATGCTCATTTGATTACTTGGGGCTAAGGTTTTCTGGGGGCTCCTTTTTGGGGATATTTCTTGGGGCGGAATTTGCACTTACCATAGGTTCTCCTTTTCCGTGGCCGCATCCTTTTTCTTGGTGGTGAAGGATGATGTCAGCGCATTCGTTTGCGTACCACTGTCCAGTGCCATGTTGTTGTTGTATTTAACGGCTATGCGATGCAGTACTCCTATTGGAACGCTCTCCACTCCTGGTCGGGTCCAATTGGGAATCGGGATGTGCTGGCGCTATATGAGAAGGGGGGGAAGACAGAGTGAGAGAGAGTGGTGGGATAGAGAAAGAAGATGAGAAACAGTTGGCAAACAAAAACAAACACATGCGCGGCAGAGCGAGACGGCTGCCAGGTGTCGGCTGCATATGATTTTGCAGTCTATTTAAATCATTTTACTTTATTTGTTTATGGCAATGCAAGGCTGTGCACTTGTCTTTTTGTTTTATTCCCTGTGCATTCGTCACCGCTCTCTCTCTCTCTCTCTTTCTTCTCCACTCCTCTGACTATCTATCTCTAGCTTTTTTGTTGCTTTAGTTACGACGCACAGCTGCTGACAAATTCGCAAAATTTCCTCTTCTCTTCTCGCTCTTTTTCCTTCTTTTTTTTGGTTGCCCACTTTTTTTTCTTTTCGTACGTACGCAGTTTCTCACGCTCTTCGCTCTCCGGTGAAAACTCGCGGCCCTGGATTTTCACGCACGTCCGCTGGGCCTCCGTTAAAACGCTGCAATTGTGGCCGACAAAAAATAACAAAAAACTATTGACGGGCAAGCGAGGAAAATGAGTTTTTCGCTACGGAAAAAATATTTTGTACGACAAACTAGTGCTGGAACAGAAGTCTATGTTTTCGCGATACATCGATAACTCCCAAGCCAATCGATGGTTACATATCAAAGCGCAGTATATATTTAGTATATTTTTAAAGTGTGCTAGCAGTTTTTATCCGATGAATTTCTAAATTAACTATCGTTACTTTTCTAACTTATTTTTTTAAAAAAGTGATCGCCTATTTGTATTAATTACTTTTTTCTACTTTTTCGATATATTTTATGAAAATCAACACCAAATGTCAACAAATTTTATCTTAATATTTGTAACATATTGTACAGCTTAAAAATTTGTTTTAAGCTTTTTATACCTATTAAAATCCAAATATAAATTTTCCAATTTGTCTCAAATGATAATGTTAGTTATATTCAAATCTTATATTAATCTAGTAAGTATTTAATTTTTATGTTTTCATTTAAAATTGTATTTTTATTTGCATTACATTATTATAAGTTTAAAGGTAATTATTTAATAAAAAGACTTTCTTATATTTTTCGTGGTAGGGTAATTTTGTACGCCTGGTAACACTATATCACGGTATTGTCTGCTTAATCTTAACATATTTATATTTTTACCACTCATTATATTGTTTAATAGAGAAAGAGAAGGGAAAGGAAGACGGGAATATGCAATCGAGTAGCCTTTTTTTGGCTGTGATTTTTCTAATAAGCATGGTCCAAATCGATGGTGAGTTCGTGTTCTCGTTTAAGTCTTTTGTTTCAGTTGCATGTGTGTTGTGTGCATGTTGCATTTGTGTGCGTGCTCTACTTTTATTTTTAAACGGGGAAAACAGCGAAAATTAAATAATAAACAGGGTATATGTTCTCGAAATTGTTTTTGAATTTGTTATCATTTTTCCTTAAGATCTATTAGGATATTTTTTGCTTTTCCAAATTTTAAATTAATTTCTAAAAGTAATATAAAGAAATTATATTTTTAAATGACTCACTTTTATTTTGACAAAAATTGTTAATACTTTATTCATAATTACATTTAGTTAAGCTTTTTTACATAATTTAATTTTTAATTACAGTTTTTAAATTGAAGGTCAACAATTTTGTAATTTTCTTTAATAATGTGTTTGTAAATTTGATTGCTTTTGACTTATTTAATAATTTATAAAAATGTTTAACCTTAACACTAAAAAACCGCATCACGGGATTTCAAATTTCATTATTAGTTTTTATCCAATGTCTGGCATTTTGCTCTATAAAATTATTTTTTATACAAATTGCAGGCCTCTTGCGTCGATGCTACCAGTGCCGATCCCGAGGAGAGTTGGGTAGCTGTAAGGACCCGTTCACCTTCAATGCGACGGACGTGGAGCAGGAGCCGGGAGTGGCGGCCATTCCCTGTGCCAGCGGCTGGTGCGGCAAGGTGATCGAGGGTGGCGGTACCTATGCCATCGACGACTATGATCTGGCCGTTCAGCGGATGTGCGTGCAGCGTGGTCCCGATGACAACATGGATCGCTGTGCGAACACCATTTACAACTACAAGAAGGTATACATGTGCTTCTGCCAGGGCGACCTGTGCAACGGCACTAGAAGTTGGTCTAGTGCGCCTCCAATGATCATAATCCTGATTCTGCCGCTGCTCGGCGTCCTGCTCCAGCGGTTCCGGACCTAGACTGCTTCAGTGCCTTTAGCCGCCTGCAATGTGTATATACATTTTTTAATACTCATCAAAACGAAATGCAATATTTACAATTTCAAAATACAAACCTTTTTTTTTGTTATTATTTAAAAAGTGTTTTCCTGCTTTTCAAGGGAGTCATAAACTCTGATAAAGTTAATCATTGAGTTATATTTACTGTGACCAAAGTAAGCCCATGCTTTATAAACGTGATCACCCGCTAGACTTCACACCCCAAGTAACCAATGGAGGTCAGTCGGCTATCAGGAAATCGCACTCAGAAACAATATAATAATAATATTCATATATTTATTTGAATCACTTTTACGTATGCACATTGCTACATACAAACTTAACTTGAATAATGCGAAAATGTAGAAGAAAACTTTTAATCAATTTTATCCCTCGCTCTTGGCTCAAAAAAAGAAAAACGTTTAAACTCGAATGACAAATTAAGAACTTTCGATTTAGCTAAATTTTGAACGAAGGCAGAGGTCTTATAAATGCCCATGTCCATTCAACTGAGAAGGCACGTTATTTATATAACAATTTGTGGTTTCATTTTGAAAAACAGAAAAAAAAACTTAGTATCAAATATCCAGTTCACTTGGTATCACGCAACTTTTCCACAGCGGGCATCGAGAATTCTGGAGCTGGGTTTGCTGGCTATTTTTGTATTTATTTATTTTTAATATCTCTTACGTATGCACATTGCTACATACAAACTTAACTTGATTAAAGCAAAACTGTAAAAGAAATCTTAAAATCAAGAGCGAGCTCAAAAAAAAAGAAAAAAAAAACGGTTAAATTCGAATGACAATTTAAGAACTTTCGGCTTAGCTAAATTTTGAACGAAGGGAGGCGTCTTATAAATGCCCATGTCCATTGGACTGAGGTGGCAACTAATTTATACAACAACTTGTGGTTCCACTTTGAAAAACAGAAGAAAAAACATTTTAGAAAGTATCAAATATCCAGTTCACTTGGTATCACGCAACTTCTCCATGTGCTCGCGGAAGCACGGCGGGCACCGAGAATTCTGGAGCTGCATTTGCTGGCGATTTTTGGTGGCCTCGTGGCAGTCCATGTGATAAAGGCCACTGCAAAAATGGCAGTACATCGCTTCGGGTTCTGAAAAACAAGCGTAAAAATGAAATTAGAACAGGTTTTAGGAACAAAATTAAATCTAGTTATTTAATATTTAATATGTATGCATATTTAATTGTTAAAAATTTTGCATATTAATTAATCTATAAGACTGCAAAATCGGTGGCTTTCGTCACCAATTTTTTTTATTAGCTACTAGCCTCCGTCATCAGCTTGACCCGTTTCTATATAATGATTTTGTAAATTAAGGTCATTGGAGAAGTTGACGAACTATTGGTCGGACTCAAGCGAAAAAAAAAAACTCAGATTATGACTCACCAACACGCCGTTTGCACTCTCTGCACTCGCGGCATTTTCGACACTTGGAGGCCCCGCCCTCGCCATGCTGACAAGATGATACTACAGATCCTGCTCCTCCTCCACCGCCGCTAGAGTTCTTCTCTGTGATCTTGTCCGGCGATTTGCTTTTACGTGTGTAAGCCCTCTTTGAGTTAGCTTGCAACCGCTTCTCCTTCGGCGATAGTAGGAATTCCGGTTTATCCTTGACCTTCTTGTGACCGCGAGTACCCAAGACCAATGTTTCCATTGCATTTAATTGCTGGCCATAGTGGAAATCCACACCGCTGGCATTCTGAACGGTGCGACGCTTCCGCTTGGAGTGGCGTTGATTAAGCTTCTTAAGCACCTCTGGCGTGTATAGGCCAAAGAGGCCAAGGAACGACTCCTGGCCGTAATCCATCGGCAAGGTACGAATCTCGCGCGGTTCATCGCGCCACTGAGCGGCAGATGCAAAAAGCCTTTGCTGCTCCTGCTGCAGCTCCGCATTGGAATCATCGGAGCTGCCGGACGGAGATACCGCTGGCTGCGGCTGCGGCTGAGAGTTTGATGTGAGCGTCGGTGAGGATTTCCTGCGAGTGTTTTTGGTCTTAGCCGAATTGTTCTTCACTGGTATCTGAGGTGGAATTTGTGGCGTGGATTTCTTGGTTAAGGCATTGGGTGCCTGGTTGGCGGCAGCGTTTGTGATCTCCAGCGGTGACGGTATCTTCCTTGGCTCGCTGGTCTTGTTTTTCCGATTGTTTTCCAGACTAGTGATCTCTATATCTTCCTCCTCGTCGAACAAGCGAGGCTGCTGCTTGGTCTTTCTGGCCCTCTTTAAGGCCTGATGCAAGTTCTTCCGGCTCTGGGCCACAACCTCGAAGTCTATTGGAGGATTATTTGGTGGTTGCGGCGGCTGTGCTGGTACTGTCGATGGAGCCACTACTTTTTGTGTTATGGGCGCCAAGGGTGGTGGTGAAGTGGAGGTGATATTCTTACGCTTAAGCGACGTCGAATCCAGCGAACGTTTCATCATCTCCGACTGGGGTTGAAGTGAGGGTGGCACTGATGCTGGTGCCTCCTCTGATTGGGGCCACTGGGCCTGGGGATTAACAGCTGCGATCTGCTGACCTAATCCCTTTACTGGCTGAGCCAACACCAGGGATATATTCTCGTCCAGTTCGCTGAGTTTCAGCGGCGGCACACCAGCTTCATCGTCCTGGCTCAAGAGGAAATGCTTGCGAATGAGCATCTCCTCGTTGTCCCGACACATCACCGACTTCGGATGGATTTTATAGTTTGCATCGGCAATCAACGGCACTACCTGGCTGGAAACGAACTCGTTGGCTAATTCCGGCAATACAGCGATGTTGTTCTCCTTCAGCTTCATGCAGAATCCTTCCAGGTCATCGTTCAAGCGCATCAGCAGGAACTGCTGTTCGGCGTTGATCTCGTACACCTCCTCCTCCAGTTCGTCCAAGATGCGGCGCATCTGTACGGGATCCTAATGGGTTAAGCGAATGGTTTAGTAAGCGTGAGCTTCATATTAAAAAAATGTCAGTGGTTGGATGGTGTTTGCTGGTGGAATCGCAAAGTGCTAATGACCATTTAACCCTCTCATGGCCAACCTGATCAATATAAGTAAACTATTTTGTTTGGTCCGCGGTTTTCTTGTTTTGATAACAGCTTAACTTCTATAATTTTTATATTTTTATTAAAAAAGAGGGACCGAGAAACACGTGGATGCACGAATTTGCGCATTTAAATTCCGAATAAACAAATAGATTTACAACTTTTTGTATGGAATTAATATGATCCGAAATTTATGACATTTTTAAAAGTTTATCAATTTACTTCTGCGAAAAACTATATTTTTTAAGTTTTTTTAGCACGAGAAAAAAAGTGAAAGTATTTATTCGCTAAATTGTGATGATGATTCAGTCTTAAGATGGGGCGCTTGTGCTAAAAGGGCTCAAAGGTCCAACATAAAATATATTATAGATTTAAATTATGACGTAGATCCTTCTTAAATTTATACTTCTAACCCAAATATTGAAAATAAATATTGAATCATAGAGCTTTTAGGGAAATTCTTGGTGTGTATATCATTTCAAAATGATATCACTAACATAATCATTGCTAACGCTTAGCTTTAAAGCTTTAGAGTAACTCCTTCTAGAAGTACGTTCTACATACAGTTCTTTGTGTTGGAATTCAGTGGGTATTTGGGGTGCTTTGCTACAGAAGCCTATGCGTCCACCAGGGAATAAGTGTCGTTGGCAACACTGCTCCCGCCGCCAAACAAAGGCTCTTCTTGTTAACCCACCGCATCCGCCTGTTCCCTGAAGACGTCCGAGACCAACTGTGGGGTTAAGATGGAATTTTGGAATAGAGAAGACAAAGGAATTAAGTAATGCATGTGCCGACATGTAATGCCATCAAAAAACTTACCCCGTGGACCTTGAGGAAGTCGCGCAACGCACGCTGGCAGTAGATAATATCATTTTTCAGATCCAGCGGCAGCACGTAGCACTTATCCATGTAGTACTTAAACTTGGTGTACTCCTTGAGCGTCCGACTCATATTGGCCCGATTATATGGCGGATATATAACGACCGATATAGTGGGAATCACGCACGCGACTGTTGGTTTCGATGCGAATCACTTGTGGGATTTCATTGGCTACTTTTTGGGTGGATTTCCAAACAATTAAACCGGTAACAGATGTTTTTACGAACTAATAACTTAGTATAGTTTCTGCCTGATATCTAGGCAATGCAAGGTGGGTCGAGATTTTCAAGGAATTTAGTGTTCAAAACAAATGGCTCAAATGTGTTGCATCAACTGGCGATGTTGCCAGATCGATGCTATTTCCAGTCCAAGTAAGATAGCTAGTGAAGAGCAAGTGCAGACCAAATTAAAAAATTGAGGTTTGCGATAGTCCGTTTGCATGGGATGGTGTGCAGCAAATTGTTTAGCAGATTAATGTTATGTTTGACTGCATTTACTTAAAATTCTCTTAACAAGAAAACCTGTCTTCTTTTTATATAAGAGTTTTCTGAGCTGCCGTACAACACAGCATTTGAAACCAAAGTTCTAGTGAGCTGGCACAACGGATATTTTTAAATTAAACTCACTACATATCCGGACTGAGTCTGTACTGACTTAGTTTGGACATAAACCTTTATCCGAGGTTTGCTCGAAATCCAACGGATACTTAGATTCAAATCGATAGATACGATGTCTTTACGTTAGTACACGATTATGAAATTATTTCCTCTGACAAATATTTCATATTATTATAAATATCTTAAGACGTTCAAAAACTAAAATATATATTGAGTCGAATCCATTTTGTAGTTTCTCCACTTCCTTTGCTTAAACGAAAACTCCTTTTATCTAACGGCAACTAAAGCACGTGTAATACTTTTCTATCCGTTAAAGCTTAAATTATTTTTACTATCGAAAATGGATCGAAATGTTCGATATATTGATACATTTTTAATAGTTGACCCAGCTCATCTGGTGTAGAAATTTTGTGATTTTTGTGAGAAATTCAAATAAAATTACAAATGGATAAATGCTAAAGCAATTGTCAGTTCTATTTGCAAAACTATCGAAACCAAAATAGCTTCCCAATTCACTAGAATATTCGATAAATATGTTATCGATATTTGATTCAGAAGTTAGCACAGCTCTACTTCAGCAAAGAAAGTTGTGATTTGCGAGGAATTTAGACAGCGCACGTAAAGTAAGTAAATCCCGAATCGAAATATTCGTTTAATTGTTTGTGTGTGGAATAAGTACTGCCTACAAAGGCACTTTTGCAATGTGATTTGTTGAGTGCTGGCAATGAGTGGAATTTGCCCTTCGACGCCTTTAACCCGGCTGCAATATGGTCGACGGCGTCGCTTGCTATTAATTGTGCGGTTTGTCTCGGCAAAACATGCTTGGCTTGCCAACTGGTAAATATTCACCCGTTTCTCAGCCTGCATTTCCATCAGGCAAGTGTTTGCCGGCTGGATCTGAAGCTGCACACATACTGTGGAAACGGGCTTCCAGAGATTTCCCTGCGAACAGTGAACAACGAGGTGGTTGTCGCCGCCTCGTGCTGTGTTCCTAGCTTTTCGGTTTTGTTATCCTTTGGTCGTAACACTCCGTCAGGATGACTAGCTCTTCTTTTCAAACTTGAAACTTGGAAATGGCCTTGTAATTGGGGAATCGAAAGGTCTAACCGATTACCATGCCATGGCAGCGCCGACCGCATTTTGTGAGGTTAAACATGAATCGCAAAAAAACGGCGATGAATTTGCTTCATGTTTCTTCTGCCGGCAGCGCCGCCAACGCCGGCGTCTGTCTGCGTGTGTCTATGCTTGTGTGTGTATGAGTATTAGAATTCGATTTGTTATTTTGAATTTAATGCGATTGCCGATTTTCACGTGAATTGCGACTGGGCTGCAAATAAACAAGAGGCTGCATCATTTTACATGTGTCGGCGTTTTTTTTTTTTTTTTTTTTTTTTGGCGCGCTTTGCGGCGTCCACAGGTTTCCACAAATACATACAAACATTTCTACATAAGCTGTAATTTGCCGGCGTTACAGGCCGCCCTTTGTATAGACAATTCTTTGCTGTTCCGTTTTTTGCTTCTCTCATGGAATGTTGCGCTTGCGCAGGAATTCTGAGTTTCTGATTTCACAATCTTGCTATCCTGAAAATTACAAAATCCAAATTGGCAAACTATGACTCATTCGAAGTCAATTTTCAGCGATTTGCGAAATATTTCCATTTTGTATTGTTTAATCTTATGAAATTGATTCTCATTGATGTTAAAAGTGTTGGAAAAAAGCTTTTCTAAATGATTTTCCCTGTATATTCAAGTTTTTACAAAATCTTAGTTTCTAAGACAATATTTTCAGTGCAATACTGATACCTAATAATCAAAACACGCTTACTGTGACTACCTTACAGCTTTATCAAGAAGGTTTTGTTCTATTAAACCTAGAAGTTATTTTATATTACCGATTTGGCCCTTTATAAATATTATTATTAACGACATTTATATAAGGACTAACAAAGATTTTTAAATATCAATATGAACTAAAACGAAAAACATCTAAGAAGTTTTAAATTTGTTAATTTATAGGCACTATTTTTTTTGTTTGCTAAAATCTTTATATTTTTGTCGTGTAACATTAATTCGATTTGTATATTTAAGGTACAAAGTAACGTTCTTTTTATGACTGGACTTAAATTAGTATTCCTTTGAACATTATGGGTCAGATCGGTGTGTCTTTATGGGTGTTTCTTTTGTGTGACGAAATAAATGTACATGAACTGTTTTCGCATCGCATGAACGTGGTATGTGTGAGGAAGATGTGTGTGATTGCCTGCAAAGTATATCCTTCCGCCTCCCTGACATTCGCCCATACGTTCGTCCGTCTTGGCTGCTGTTGTTGTTTGGTGCGTCAGGAATTTTCGCTTACCTGCATTCGGAAGCAGACCCTGTATCTGTCTCTTTCGCTCGTTATCCTGCGGCCCAGCGGGAGCGGCAGCTGCAGTTATCCTTTGTCGTCATCCTGCTCGCTCCCTTGCCGAACAGCTGGTTGCTGTCCTTGGCGGGCTTTGACGCATCTTTTGTGTACGTCACGTTTTTGGAAGGTTCGCAGGAGTCGCAGTTAGTCGCCTGGCGCTCGCCGAACCATCAACATCCTCGTCATTCCTCCTTGCTCTGCTGCTCCGCTTCTAAGCCGAAGCCTTTAAAAAAAATAAAACAACAAATTGCAAAATATTAACAAGTCAACACAAATCAGTCGAACAATCTCCACAGCTCACTTCCTCCATCAAAGTCTAGAAGACCACGAGTAAAAAAGAAACAGAGTGCTTAGCAGGATGGCTCAGGAAGGTCAGGATATCCCCACATTTAAATGCGTGCTCGTCGGCGATGGCGGTACTGGAAAGACGACCTTCGTCAAGCGCCACATGACCGGTGAGTTCGAGAAGAAGTACGTGGCCACACTGGGCGTGGAGGTGCATCCGCTGATTTTCCACACCAATCGTGGCGCCATCCGTTTCAACGTGTGGGATACTGCTGGCCAGGAGAAGTTTGGAGGACTGCGCGATGGTTACTATATCCAGGGTCAATGCGCCGTCATCATGTTCGATGTTACCTCTCGTGTCACCTACAAGAACGTTCCCAACTGGCATCGCGATCTTGTCCGCGTCTGCGAGAACATCCCGATCGTCCTCTGTGGCAACAAAGTCGACATCAAGGACCGCAAAGTGAAAGCGAAGACCATCGTCTTTCACCGAAAGAAGAACTTGCAGGTAAGTGCTTCAACCAAAGGCAAAAGAACGAGGAACTCCTTCAAATTGATTGAGAATGGATCCAAGCTGAGGCTAGGAATCAATTTTTAATAGTAAACTATTAGTGTTTAACTACTATGAACTACAAAGTTCAAGACAGTATCTCAAAGATAGTTCAAAGTGAATTTGAAGAAGTTAAACAGGTTATGTCTATCCTAAGAACTTGAAAGACTAAATTGATATATGTTTTCTCCTACAGTATTACGACATTTCTGCCAAATCGAACTACAACTTCGAGAAACCATTCCTTTGGCTGGCGCGCAAGCTGGTTGGTGACCCCAACCTGGAGTTCGTCGCCATGCCAGCCCTGCTGCCGCCCGAGGTCAAGATGGACAAGGATTGGCAGGCGCAGATCGAGCGGGACTTGCAGGAGGCCCAGGCGACCGCCCTGCCCGACGAGGATGAAGATCTATAAGCCTATTTATAGTTAACTGAGAAAGATGGCCGGCTTAGCACACAACATACACCACACACATACAAACACACGAGAATCAGGGCAACAGGATAATAGGCGAACAGGAAGATGAACCGGATCAGGAGCAGGCACCAGCAACAACATCTACTGAATAGGAGCAACAACTCAGCAATAAAACACAATCTACAACATTGGAGTGCCAGCAAACGATCGATCTTAACCAGCCAGCAAAGCCCTGCAAGATCTGCCAGCCCTTCTGCCGTCGATCGTAACATATTTTTAGATCCACTCATTGATAAGTCGGTTATAAATGATTTTTTTTTATGATTATATTGTTTGTTTCCATTGCGTTTGCTTTTGGCAGATACTGAGTATGTCTTATTGGTAGAAAAAACAAAACACAGAAAACTTACCCGAACGAAACCCAAGTCAAATAAAAAATCGAAACACGTATTTTTTTAAAACTTGCAACTACTATGTTCTTTTCCAATCGTACAACAACAATAACTACTACTAGAACATCTATAACGGCATTGTGCATGTTAAATAGAAGGAGACGGCAAGCCTTGTGCACGGGAATGAGCGAGAGCGATAGCCCAACAGCAGGCAAATTAACTGTGAACTGTGTCCCAAAGGATAGATAATAACAAATTCAGAACAGGATCACACTTAAAAAAAACAATGAGAAGATAATATATAGAAAGGCCGCCGAATCCACATCCACATGTTATTAATCTAAGAAACTAAAGAAATACAAAATAAACGTCGAAAAAATATTAAAAAAAACTAGCTTTGCTATAAAGTCCGAAATGGAAATAGCTTTTTTGGTAGTGAGAAATAACTTTGGATAATAGCAGTATGAAATAAATATGTTTCATATTAGATAGAACCTATGATACATGATGTCTGGTTATCTGATTACATTTTATTAATGTTCTGGAAGTAAAGTTTAAATCCAAATTGAAATATATCATAATTTTTGGAAAGTTAGTTAGTTAGTTTATTCAAAATGACAATGGCATAACATACATTTAGCAAAGATAGTATTTTTCATTTTCCTTAACTGTTTTTTTGGAAAATCTTTGTAGCAGAACTTCTATTTAAGAACACTTGAGGCAGCAGCCTGGGAAAACGCCTGTAAAGCGATCCTTGTTGGCGCAAGTGATCTTCTGCTGCCCACATCTGCAATGAAATCGGGATAGAATTAGCCCATATTAAGAGGACTATTCCAAAATCAAGTTGCGAGGGTTTTTGGAAATATCATCACGAGCTTAGATCAACATTTTTAGCATTAGGATCTAAATTTAACAACATAAACACTTCGCCATACCCATTTAGTTTTATCTGTGAAAAATCTAGAGCCCATATACTCACTCCTCCACGATGGTCTTGAAAGTGTCTGTGCAGATGGCCCGCTTGAGGCACTTGCCGTCCTTGCCAAAGTCCACATAGTCCTGACCGCGTCTCAAAAGTGGCAGGTACTTAAGGAAGATGGTCTCATCCTCCGAGTTACGGTAAGAGCAAACGGGCTCGCTTACTAATATGTTTAATAATATTAGACTTAAGGATAGTTGTTTGAATATTTTCCAAGCTCACCCGCGTTTGCGGTGGGCAGCAGTGTCTCTGGAAGCAGGAGCGCCATCATCACGGCGGTCACCAGCCACATGGATCTGTTGTGCATCATCGTGGAACGTTGAGAGGTAACTGAGCCGACCGCCGGCCAACCCGTTTCCTATTTATAGTTCCTTTAAATAGCGACTTGGATGTGTTTGTTTGTTTGCAAATTAGCAGCAGTGATTTGCATTTTCAGCTTGATTGAGAGGGGCATAATCCCTCTCTGGCACTATTAATTGTCTAATTGTTTGTCTGGGATGGGAGGAGTCCAGATGCGTAGTTTCTAAGTAATGAAATATTTTGTATTAATATAAGAATTCAAAATTAAGAATTAAAGGAAAGATCCTGTAGATTAATTCTGTTAAAGAGAAATTCTCAAAGAAGCTACTCTAAAATCAATATTAAGATCTCGTATTCCTTATAAGGATACAAATATTAGCCATATAAGAAACAAGGATATTAGTTATATAACAAACTAAGTTTTTCTTTAAAATATGTACATTTTATTTACTTTTTAAGATTTATAGTTGTGCTATAATAACATAATATTAAAAAAAACTTATCCCTATGGATATTTTATAGGGAAATTTATGCATTTTCGTTGATCAACCGATGAACTAATTAAAGTCACCAACTTATACAAGACAAGCTATTAAGAAAGAAAGGACAAGCTAATACTAATCTGTGGATCCAGCCTAGATGTAGTTGCTCTCCGACTCCTGGCAAACCAACTTGGGACAGCACTCGGGGAAGGTGCGTCGCATGTCCGAGGCGATCTTGCACTTGTCCGTGGGCACCAGGTTGTGACGGCCGCAGCTAGGAAAGTTTATCATTAATACATATATAATATAATACTTAAGATCAATATAGCCAAGCTTACTAGCCAATCTCTAGAACGTAGTCCGGCCGACAGTAGATCGATTGGCAATAGCCCTCGCGATTAATCGGCTTGTAGGACTGCTTTTTGGGTATGGCCTGGTTGAGTTCCTCATAGTAGCACTGTCCAGGATAGTCTAAGAGTATTTTGTTATATTAATCCATAAAATATTGTGAATTTATTAACCATCTGGCAAGTTTTAGGTAATCACTTTAAACACAACACAAACTTATCAAGTAAATAAAATCAGAAATAGATTTTTCACTTTTTCTATAAAGATTTCTAATCATTTTGCTAATCACCTGGGTGAACTGCATTCCCGCGGTATGTAAGATCCGCTTGAGCTGCACCACAAATGCCCAGGAGCACCAGAAGACAACCAACTCGCATAGTCACGAAGTAATGTGGACGGGAAATTAAAGTCTGAGATTCCGAATACCAATCTAAAACCAAAACCAAAATCGACTTGGCTGTTGTACGCTACCCGTGCGACTGAGTCAATTACAATTAATTGTTGTTGCTTTTATATAAAATTAATAATAAACATTGTTGTGTATATGGGCATTACCACATATGTGGATAGATATATATATGTATAACTGTATTACTTACACAAAGATACCATTCTCCGCCAGAGGCTTTTGTTTGACGACGACTTAAGGCGTCCGCTCTAGCTCTAGTTTAAATTTAAATTAATTAAGCCAGCCCTGAAAGCGAGAGTGAGATCTGGCGGGGATCGGGTATGAGGCTAGAGGGGGGGATCCCTGGCAGTCAAGTGACACGGTTCGAGGAACTGTGGCAAGGTTGCTGCGCCACAAAAAGTAATCAAAACGCGCAAATAACTGTTTTGTAAATCCGAATTTCGGCCAGCTGCACAGAGAGAAAAAAGAGAATAGTTCTTAAGAATCTAAACTGGTTTATAATCCCTAAAACTATACTAAGCAGTTCGCTTTTAAATTGTAGGTTTTGTATGACATATACAGACAGATATCACCATCATTTTTGCTAAGTGTACGATCTATACAAGATTCCCGGGTACGTTTTACGTAGATGCATTTATGCAAATTTCATGGGACTCACGAGTGCAAGTGCATTGTGGTTGGTATTAGACTGAATTTGCATTTATTAATTGCAGTCGAGGGAAAGAGATGATCTCTGATATCTAAAATATCATATTAAAAACTAAAGAGAATGCATTTTGCATTTGATTGAGAATTGATTTTGGTTTTCTGACGTTAAGTTAGTGCTAGCTGTGGGCTTTCTTTATTAACACAGATCAAGTTCAAAGGTTAGGTTGCGTTTTTTTCTACCAGTACTCATCCATCAAATTTCCTAGAATAGTTCTAGCACTTAAGCAGCAATAAAGTTAGCAAGTTTAGTTATAGAATTACTTACTTGAAGAATGTATTTACCTGAAGTATATTTTCCTATTCTCGAGAACACGGATTCCCTGCTTCGATAAGGCCAGACGCAACTTCCTCCATTTCCAGTTCGAGAGCAAGGCAAACCCCAACGAAATTGAATCAATCGAGGGGCACTGGAGCAGTGATAGAAAGCTGATAAGGCAGGCCCTGCTGTGATTGCCCCCCATATAAGAGATCGCCCCCATTGACGGGCCATTGTTAATTCCAAAAACTAGAGCAACCATGTCGGGAGCACCTTCGTTGTCTGTGGCTTTCGTGGCCTTTCTACTTGTCGCATCGGTGGCCGCCAATGGCTGGAGCACCCAGTATAAGGGTCATACGAAGCATCCAACCATTCCGGAGCATTGTCTCTACGATGAGCTGGACCTAGCTGTTCCGCTTCATGGAAAGCTTCTGCCCTCCGGACATGACGGCTACTGCATCCGGTTGGAGTGCACCGACGATTATCTGCTGATAATCCGACAGTAAGTCCTGACAATTGAAAATTAATCCATCTAAAGTTTTCCATTTCCAACCAGCTGCGACAAACAACCGTTTCCTAAACCCGGCTGCCATCTTTCGGCCAACGACTATGACCTCCAATTCCCCGACTGCTGTCCCCAACTCGAGTGCTCCAGCGGATTCTAGGTTTAGGATAGCTCTATTATTTCATTTTTACAACAATTTCTCATTCTTATGTGGATTTGAGATATAAGCCACAAGGCCCAAGCCACCAAATATTACTAGAATATTAAAGAAATATATTAAGATCTTTAAGAGTTTATATTTTAGTTACAATTTAATGGTGGTATTATTTAGACTGCATCTGTATAGCCCGTTTGAATTGTGGATGTTTTTGTAACCACTTGATAAGCCCGAAGCTACAGCTGCGAAGACGCAATCACTGACACTTTGTGATCTTGACCTTTCAATCTAATCGCCGGCGCGCCCCAAAAGCAAACAACTATATAGTCGGGCAGCTAAACGTTTGACAGATCAGTTTGCTAAATAAGATGAAGTCGGTCACTTTCGTACTCTGCCTGCTTGTGCTGGGCGCCCACTCGCTTCTCGTTTTCGCCGGTAAGTAGGCCACCCACTCCTCCCACATCATATCCTTCACATCCGAGTCTTTGCTCCTTTAGTGGACTGCGAGATTAGTGGCCAAAAACTAAAAACCGGAGAGACATACAGCCCGGAGGGTCGTTGTATCCAGTACACCTGCCGGGGACATAAAAGTCTGTCGGCCTTGGCGTAAGTGCCTTTGAAACCACATAGAACTCTTCTCAAATCACTCACTGCCCTATTCCAGATGCCCAGCTTTGGCGTCTTTAAAGCCCTGTAAACTGGAGGAGGACCTGACCAAGCCATATCCCGGTTGCTGTCCAAAGTTTAATTGCTAAGAACTGTTCCAAAAAGAACGTACGGCTCTGGAAGTTGATAAGACAAACTAAAAATTCACATTTTATGCATATTAAAGACTAATATATTTCTTCAAATAATATCAATAAAGTTGATATTGTTAATCAATGTAACTTAAATCAAATGATACCTCGAAACTTAATCAGTTATAATAATACTAAATTAAAACGGATATCCATAATGACAAACAAGAAAGATTCTTTTTGAAATAATGAGCCAATGTTGCTTACAAAAACCAAAATTGCGCATTTATTTCGAATTCGATTTCGGTTTGGTATACAGGCTTGAACTTAGTCGTATTTGCTCATACATATAGTAAATATACAATATACAAGTTGTGTTCCATGTGTATACATATATAAATATTCTCGTGTCAATTGCCACTAATTCACCATTCACTTGGACATGCACATTGTTTGCTTGCATAACAAGTATATATGTATACATATATATATCTCTGCTTAACTACATATATGAATTTGTATAGTTTTCTAAAATAACGAGGAGATGCCTGGCAGTGACATCCTGCCTCCGGCAATCCCCATTAGATAATTAATAATCGCATTCATTACGCAGACACACACACTTGGTCTTACGTTTACAGATACAGATTAGATTAATTGGTATATGGTAAAGATACAAATACGAGGCGTTCTGCGATCTGCGATCTGGCGCATCTGCCGCAGATTGGTTCGGTTCAATAACTTGTGCCGCAGCTATATAGCATTGTAGATTTAACCGTTTTGTAACCTGAGCTAGTCTAAACATTCTTTAACTATGGTCCGGCAGCCTGAAGGCTATTCATTAAGTTGATGTTGGGTCTTATAAGTTAATACAAATTGCTACTTTTTAATGTGTCTTCTTATGGGGACAGTAAGGTGATAGAATGGGCTTATAACCAGTAATCTTCGGAGCGCTTTTCGAGGCCCGTTTTCTCAATTTCACGTTAAGCTTAAACTAGCTTATCAACTCCATATAATTTCATAGTTTACCAGCTACTTTTAGCTCACAATGAACATGTGAAAATGGGTCTACCATTTGGATAGTACATATTGCTGGCCTTTCATAGAAGCAAAATCGTGTGAAGGACTTTGACTTTTGCAAATTATAATGATACGTTAAATTTAATGTTATAAAAACACAAGAAAATTTGATCAATAAATTTGTTAGAATATATAGAGTATTTTCGATCTTACGCTCTGTTGAGAATGGATAATTTAAAGAAACTAAAAATAAGTCAAAAGAATAAAAAAAATTTTGGAATGCCTAAACAACTCAATTGAACGGCGAAAAAGAAGTGCTTAAGAAAAGAAGACATGCGTGATCTTCTCTTGAGCAGGTTCTTTTGTCTTGAGATAGTCATTAGAAAGTTTTAAGATTAAATTAATCCTATGGCTCACAATTGTGCTAGGATTTCGAATCGCTCCTAAGATGTCTGTTCAATAAATTCGACCCACTCTGTCTATGGTTTGGGGGGAAATTAACCTAGTCGTTAGATGAGGGTGATCCTCGCCTCCTGGTCCTTTTTAGTCCGGCGTCGTCAGTTGCGGCGCCAGCAACTCCTCCTCTCATTGGCGCGCTGCCCGCTCTGTCTCCATGAGGCATTCACGCACCAGGATGCGAGCATGAACAATGCCTCGCTTGAGCCGCTCCGTGGAGCTTCGTGAGCCAGTGTACGTGGGTCTGATATCGCGTCCCATCTCCTCGATGACTGCCAGCAGTTGGGCATACTTGGTCAGTCCGTTACCCGGTCCCACGGACGGCAAGCTGGCCGTAGAGGTCAGCGGTGTGGTGATGTTGGCCGAGGTCTGGGTGGTCACGACCACGGGAGAGGTGGAGGGTGGCGGGTACTTCAGCTGCGAGGAGCTCAGGTTGAGGCCCATGCTCTGGCCATTGTTGGCCGAGGAGGAACCTGAGCTGGAACTTCTTTGTCCGCCGTTGCTGGAGCACATGTTGGCCAGGGAGAGGGCCGCAGCTGCAGCGGCTGCCGGTGTGGCTGTGGTGTTTGATTGTTGCTGGAGGAGTGCCAGCTGGGCCTGGAGGAACTGCGGGGAGTACTGGAGGGCAGCGACGGCGGCGGCAGCAGCTGCTGCATTGGCCGCTGCAGCAGAGCTTTGTTTGCTGGAGGAGCTGCTGTAGTCACTGACGGATGAGCGCTCCCGGTCCCGCTTCCCTCCGGTGCTCGTTGAGTAGTCCGTGGCCGAGTTGGCGGATCCGGATCCTCCTCCCCCGGATCCCCTGGAGTGGTGGATGGCCGAAATCTGGATTTGAGGCTGCTGCTCACGCTGCTCTCGCTGTTGCTGGTAATTGTAGAAATTTTGCACTTGGCTGCGCGGTATCGGTGTCACCGTGACGTCACTCAGCTTGGACTCTACGGCCTGAATGTCCATGATGTCCATTGTGAAGCTAGGTGTTTTGGTATCGATTCGTCAATGTGGTGACTATGTTCGGCTCCAAGTACTTTTCTTTTCTGGGTGTTAAATTTATAATTTTAAGCCACTTTTTTGTATTTCTTTTTGTTTTTTTTTATATGATATCGATATCAATCCTCGATATCAGGCGTTTTTACGCTTTCCTTTCTACGCACAAACAAATGCACTCACACCCACAACCAACTAGAGGCGGAACCACGGTCAATGTTTATACGATGCTATCGATATATACTCAAGTGAAATGCATTATTTTTTTATTTGACAAACATGACAAACAAATTCTAGAGTCAGAAACTAATTAGTTACGCATTAAGTAGTGATATTTAAAATATATAGACAAGATTAAACGATAGGTATATATTTATCGAATATCTATCGACTGCTGTATTGCCACAGGGTATTTTTATTGGTGAGAAGACTTTTATTATTTCGATATATTATTACATTATGATTTCTTGAATGGATGGCCACATTTTTCTGAAAGCTTTTGAAATATATTTAAATACAATACGAAACGTTTACAGTGAAGTTGTACCTAGTATTTCCAATAAGTAATGAAGTACTTTCATACTTGTAGTTCAAAATATATTTTCTGGCTTATTAAAAAATAAAAAAAAAATTGCGTAGAGCATAGCCATTGGTTATTGGTTTATTGTAAAATGTTGGGAAGTAATTACCCAAAAAAATGCAGTCAAAATTTACTTATCTTGGTACAAAGCTATTTATTTGGTATATCAACCTATATTAAGTTGGCTATATCTTTTTAATTATATTTATAATAAGTCTTTTTTTATTGTTCTGAATTTATGTTTTAAAATTTCAATTCTTAACGATCAATTTAAACAATTCATTTTAAACGTTTTATTTCAAATGTTTTATTTCCGATAGCCTTGTGCGTCGCTTTCTCCCGCCATCCATTTCAAAATGCAACACTGTTGGCGCCTTTAGAGCGAGATGGTTAGATACCATGGCATGACAGTGTGGCAACACAATGGCGAAACTAAAAAATTGTGTTGCTGACATCTGGTCGTTGCAAAACTATTTCGAGCAGATTTTGTGATATTTCGTTGTGATCGGTCGATGAATCCCCAAGTTATATTTTAATGGAAAGTGCGAATACGTTTTAGCGGTTGGATAGACAGCAGTTAAGGTGAGCGAAAGGCAGGAGATTGCGAAAAATTCATTTATATTTCCGCGACCGTCTGTTTTTTTGCATCGGTGTTTGTGTATGAGTGTGTTGTGCTGTATGTGTGTGGGAGCTCTGTGTATGACGTAAAGCGATAAAGCAAACGCATTTTCAGTGTTTGTGTGCGTGTGTGTTTCTTTTTTGCATCTAATTAGGAGCCCAAAGCATTGATTGGTTGTCACAAACCGTAGTTTGTTTTTTTGTTTTGCGGCCAAAAGGGCCACCGCAGCTGCATATCTGTGTCGCTATGTGTGCCGCTCGGTTGTCAGTGTTGCACAGTGCCGGCCAGTGCCCACAAAATGGGCGCACAACAACAACGGGATTGGATTGGATTGGATCGTTCCCTTGTTTAGAATTCCCCATTTCCATTCCCATGTCTTCCGTGTTCCCCCTTCCCTGCAATCCAATCGCCGTTTTTCCTTTTTGTTATCCGTTGCCAGACGCAACGAAAACGACAGTTGGCATTTAAATTCGACTTAAACACAAACACACACACTTACATACTGGCCAACAAGCAGCACACACACACATGTAGCCGAAAAAAAAAAACAGACGCTGTCGGCGACCTCGACAAGCAGTTGCCTGCGATTTAACGTCACTGTATTGAACACGATTCGGGACTTCATTTCCATGTTCATTTCATTTCACTTCAGTAGTTAGTTTAAACAGAGCAAGAATACTTTAAATTTCACACAAATTCTAGCGTCAATTCTTTTTTTTTTTTACGCAGACACATTTTGCACTTCAAAACTTAATAAGTAGTTCAACGACTAACTAACGGAACTCCTACTCCTACAAGCAGTAGCTGCCGCTGTCCGTAAAGCAGTACTAGGAGTTACACGATTCACCGCAACAAAAAGTAAAACTCAGTTGAAATAGGAACCCAACAAGGATCAACACCGAAATGGACATGATCACGGTGGGGCAGAGCGTCAAGATCAAGCGGACGGACGGCCGCGTTCACATGGCCGTTGTAGCGGTGATCAATCAGTCAGGCAAGTGCATCACAGTCGAATGGTACGAGCGTGGTGAGACGAAGGGCAAAGAGGTGGAACTGGATGCCATACTCACGCTCAATCCGGAACTAATGCAGGACACCGTGGAGCAACATGCTGCCCCGGAGCCCAAGAAACAGGCCACCGCCCCGATGAATCTCTCGAGGAATCCCACACAATCGGCAATCGGTGGCAATCTTACCAGTCGCATGACCATGGGCGGCAACATGCTGAACAAGATTCAAGAGACCCAATCGATTCCACATCCGCTGGGCAATAGCAATAGCGTAAATACGAACAGCAACTCAAATGCCACGGCCGGTGGAGGAGCTACCACAACCACTGGATTACAGCGACCACGGTATTCGCAGAATGCCGCTGCTCAGCAGCAGACTAGAATCGCTTCGGCGGTGCCCAATAACACATTACCCAATCCCGTAGCGGGATCCAGTTCTACTGGTTCAACTGCCCAATCTGTAGTTGCTCCATCCAGCAACACGACCCAGGGAGCCGGTGCCCGCCGTTCGCACGCTTTAAAAGAAGTAGAACGGTTGAAGGAGAACCGCGAGAAGCGACGCGCTCGCCAGGCCGAGATGAAGGAGGAGAAGGTGGCCCTGATGAACCAGGATCCCGGCAATCCCAATTGGGAAACGGCGCAGATGATACGCGAATATCAGAGCACACTGGAGTTTGTGCCTCTGCTCGATGGACAGGCTGTCGATGACCATCAGATCACAGTGTGCGTGCGGAAGCGACCCATTAGTCGCAAGGAAGTCAACCGCAAGGAGATCGATGTCATCTCAGTGCCGCGCAAGGACATGCTTATCGTGCACGAGCCGCGCAGCAAAGTCGATCTCACCAAGTTCCTGGAGAACCACAAGTTTCGCTTCGATTACGCCTTCAACGACACGTGCGACAATGCCATGGTATACAAGTGAGTATCTAACAAATATGTTTCTAGAATATCTATCAGCTAAAAGCTAGCCCCTGACCATCAAAACAATTCCGTAAAAGGATTTCGTTAAAAACTATGTGCAGCTGTTGTACAGTTTGAGTGCCTCTTCGCTGAGTTATTAGTGCTTTTAAGCAAACATCTGATCGTATTCTCTATATGGTATCTTCACATTCTTTCGAGTGTTTGTAATATTATTATTTACACTTCTTTACTTACTGATCATCTGTAATGCCTCATGTTTCTACATTTAATAAAAGCGATTAACTACTATAATAATCACTAAAATGAAAACTTAATCTAATAACAGATTTAAAGTTATATTTTTTAATATATATACCGCCGGCAAAGATATATTTGAGATTGTGTTTGACCAGTTCTGCCGTTCACATTCAAATTAAGTAAATATTTATGCCGAGTCACACTTTAAGCATGTTTTGATGATGTTGTGACTGGAGACCGCTTGGGCATCTCTGGTGGAGCGACTCATTGACTCATTGCCGACAGAGACGGCAACAGAAACATGCATCAGAAAGCTGTTGCTCCCGAAATAGCCAAGTTTGCTTCACATATATCTTTTTGCTCGCGTTGAATGACTAACTTGGAAACCCAAACGCTGCCTCCCCCCTCACCTTAACGGCCGATCTACGCTCAAAACTCTCTAAATTGAATTCTGCCCATGGGCCAGCGGAAGAGATTTCGAAAAGTAACTGCCTTTTGGCCCGGCATCTGCCCATTAGTAATTGTTTGCCTTCAATTGAATTAAAGCGGCTCTTGACTTTGTTTATTTGCTGCTGCCTGACTGCCAGACTTTAGTTTGCCTTCTTCCACACCTTTCTCCGCTAACTTCTTAGCTTCTTTTTCCGGTTTTAGTGATCGGTTGTTTTTGTATGGATCTCTGGAATTGGTATGGTAACGTTGCGTCACGACAAACGCTGCGGAGTATACCCCATGAGTAATGGCAGCGGGATTGATACCTAAGACTGTTGATTATGGCGAATTTGTGTTGACAAACCTTAACGAATGAATCAACAGCTGATTGGCGAAGCGTCATGCGGTCTTATCAGCACCCGAAATAAACCTAAACTCAATTTGATCTTCTTTGCATTTTAATGAGTATTTTTAATTCGATTTCTTATCAAATTCTAGACTTTCTTATCTTGTTTGTTAGAAATATTAAAATAGATTAGATATCAGGATAACGTTAATACCAAATAGCTGACTAACCCAAGAATGTTTTTTAACTTTGAAATTTGATTTATCATAGTTTTCTGTAGGAGAGATATTGAATTTAAGGTCCCAATATTAAATTATGCAATTACAACTCCCACTTTACCTCTGCAGATACACAGCCAAGCCATTGGTTAAGACCATTTTTGAGGGCGGAATGGCGACGTGCTTCGCCTATGGCCAGACAGGATCTGGCAAGACGCACACCATGGGCGGCGAGTTCAACGGAAAGGTGCAGGACTGCAAAAACGGCATCTATGCTATGGCCGCCAAGGATGTTTTTGTGACCTTAAATATGCCGCGTTATCGCTCCATGAATCTAGTCGTTTCGGCCAGTTTCTTTGAGATTTACAGCGGCAAGGTAAGTGACATGCCAACAACTTTGGCTAAAAACTTATCATTGATCCTGTATTTTTAGGTATTCGATCTTTTGGCTGACAAGCAAAAGCTGCGAGTCCTGGAGGACGGCAAGCAGCAGGTGCAGGTAGTTGGTCTCACTGAGAAGGTGGTGGACAGCGTGGAGGAGGTGCTGAAGCTCATCCAGCACGGCAACGCTGCCCGTACATCTGGCCAGACGTCTGCCAATTCGAACTCGTCGCGTTCTCATGCCGTCTTCCAGATCGTGTTGCGGCCTATGGGCTCCACAAAGATCCACGGCAAATTCTCGTTCATCGATTTAGCGGGCAATGAACGTGGTGTGGATACCTCGTCGGCCGACCGTCAGACACGCATGGAAGGCGCCGAGATCAACAAATCGCTCCTGGCCCTCAAGGAGTGCATCCGTGCCCTGGGCAAACAGTCGGCTCACTTGCCCTTCCGTGTCTCCAAACTTACCCAGGTGCTGCGCGACTCGTTTATTGGTGAGAAGAGCAAGACCTGCATGATAGCCATGATCTCGCCGGGACTAAGCTCCTGCGAGCACACGCTCAACACGCTGCGCTATGCGGATCGTGTCAAAGAGCTGGTGGTAAAGGATATCGCAGAAGTCGGCCCTGGCGGCGACAGCGAGCCAATCGAGATTATGGACGATGAAGAGGAGGAGGAGCTTAACATGGTGCATCAACACTCGCATCCACATCACCAGAATTCCCATGCGCCGACTTCGCAGTCGCACAACCAACGTGTCGGCGGTCCTGGCTCTCATCACTCGGGAAGTGGTATGCACAACAACAATAATAACAATAACAAGAACGGAAATGCCGGCAACATGGACCTGGCAATGCTGAGTTCGCTGAGCGTAAGTATTCATGTCCTTATTCCCGATATTTTCCACGTATTCCTTATTCAGAATTCAACAAAACGCCGCGCTAAAGTTATTGGAGTTAGGAAAACAACACAAAACATATATTTAATTATTTTTGGGCTTTAGTAGCAATTAAAAAGCCTTTTGAAATATTTTTCATATTTTCAAGACATTTTTAAAATATTGTTTTTTTAAAACCTTTTTAACTTAGTAGTCCACATTTATTAAATTCCGAAGGGCAAATCATTCACAAGTTGGCCATGCCTTTAGCTTTAGTTCAGTCACATCCAGTTTGGGCTTAGTTCACATCAGTTTTCACAGTTCCGGTTGTAGGTTAAACAGAACAAGTCGATCGATTCGTAACACAATGCTTCCATTCTCGCCTAAGCGTATTGTCAATGAACCGAAGTCAAAGGTCCGTGATAGCAGCAAGCTAAATATCGCGAAATATACCAACACCTCACGGACTCTGAAAACCGTATATAGCCGTCAAGCTGGTATCGTGGGCAACCAGGGGAAATTGAATACTGCTGGAACTAAGACTAAAACTACTGCCGCCTTACCGGGAAAAGTGAACGACCGTCCGATGCCTACCCCTCCACGCGTGTGGAACTGTAACAAACCGAAGGTGGCAAAACCAGCCAATAAGACTTTTAACGTCTATGCCAAGAAGAAGAGCAGTTTACCGGGTAAAGAGGGACCGGCATCCAAGATGATTACCAAGCCTGGTGTTAATCCACCGATGCGTCCGAAAGAGCAGATGAAGGAACGTGAAATGCCCATCGAGGAAGAAGATAATATCGACAAATTTAATCCGGTGTGCCAGGCTTTTTTCGTATCCCTGGACAACAATAATGAGGAAGTGTCGAAGCCGAAAATAATGAATAACAAAGCTTTTGATGACGATTACAAGAAGTCCGGCAATTTAGTGCTTTGCAAGGATCGTATGAAGCCAAAATGGATATCATTTAAACGTTTGTTGCCGGCAGGAGAGCGTTATGAGATGGTCAAACTGATTAAAGAGGTTAGGATGTACCGGGAATCCCAGACCGCTGGACAGGGGATTATGGAGTGCGAACCATTGGTGCCGCCGCCGCCGCAGTTCGCCGAAGATCCCAAGGAGTCTGCGAAGCGCTTTCGGATTGAACGATCCCGCACTGTGATGCTCTTCCCTAACATAAACTGTGATGAGCTGGTGTACAAGTATGCTTGCCGCCTGCCTTTTGTCCAAGATCCAGAAAATCCTGATGTTAAACCCCCTCAGATGAAATGACTTTCGTTCCGTCCGCAACCGGCAAAGATCTAAATTGAAAAATATTGTATATTATTTTGATTTGAACATATTTATATTTTATTACTTGCCAATCATTGTTTTTGACTTTTACTGCCGTAAATGGGTGGTTTGGATGTTACGGATCATATAGGAATGTTTCTGTGAAACTAATGACTAGGAAAGCTAATAGAGCCAATATTAGGAGCTTGTCCTATTCCGAGTGTGTCAATGATTTATAGTAAGAATAAGTATTAAATTTAGTTTAGTTTATACAAAATCTACATACACATTCTATAAACATTACACATTAACTATTCAACAGGAACACGAGATGTCCGATGAGTTGATTGTACAGCACCAGGCCATTGACGACCTGCAGCAAACGGAGGAGATGGTCGTGGAGTATCATCGGACCGTGAATGCAACACTCGAGACCTTCCTGTCCGAGTCGAAGGCACTGTACAACCAGACCAACTATGTGGACTACGACCAGGACTCGTACTGCAAGCGGGGCGAGTCGATGTTCTCCCAGTTGCTAGACATCGCCATTCAGTGTCGGGACATGATGGCTGAGTACCGGGCCAAGTTGGCAAAAGAAGAGATGCTTTCGTGCAGTTTCAACTCGCCGAATGGCCAGCGTTAGATACTCTTCCTGCACATCCGTTTCGATTACTTTCCTCCCTTACTTTTTTACATAACACACTTCCCACTGGCTTCCCATCAAGTTTGTTTTTCGAATGCCAAATGAACTCTCACAAGAACCTAAATTTTTTTTTAAATGGGCCACCCACGTGGTGGAATGACCTCCTTGGAGGCCCCGATCCACACTTGAAGTCTTGGCGTGGTGGCTACTTTTACACAGAGTTATGAACAGTCCGAAGGACGGACTGAGGGCAGAATCGACCTTAAAATAGGCGTTTCTCTTTCCAATTCGATGTCGCTGCTAGGCGGTTTATTAAGTTTTTAACTACATAAATAACCGAGGAGCGACACAGTTGAAAGCCTGTTAAATATATACTTTACGAACTAAGCACGGGAACACAGATTTACCATGACAGCAAAAAACTCACACACACCTATAACACCAAAACAGCAAAACTCACTCACAGGTTTTCTTTGAATTATGATTATAATTAATTAAATTATGACTATAATTTCTGCGCAGTCGATTGATACTTTTGTAAAAGAAAAAGACATTTACTATATTATAATTACCACTTACATACGTTTTACTCTATAAATAATATGAGATTCCATTTAATATAATTACCTTATGCGATTTGTTTCAAATTTTTAGTTTCCTTTCATTTTTGTCGCTCAACGGCACAAATCTTTAATTCTTTTTATTATAACTACGAACTAATCGCGCATTGTATTTATTTAAAAGAAAAACAAAAAACAAAAAACAAAAAAGGCCACAAAAACTGTATTTAATTTGTATTAATTTATTAAAATACTATTGCACCAAATCCAATTTACATACGTATTCCCCCGTAACTGTAATGATTATATCTTATGTAAACCCTAACCGAACTGCAATCTTTGCCTGAGAGATATTTAGCCAGCGAGTGTTTGATTTTTGGATACTTTTGATCTGATACTTCTCTTATCTTCTATTATATAATTTACATTATATTTTTTTTTTTCGTCACGTTAAGCGACTTCGGTGAAGAATTTAGAATGCAAACTGTCTTTGCTATTATTTATTTAAAGATGATTTGCATTTCATTTTGTACTAATATTTATTATATATATTTAATTACGTTTACACGACTAAAAACTAAAAACAGAAACCACTAAAAACTAAACTATCGAAAGCAAATCAAACGAAACTTAACCAAATCATGGATTTTCACACACACACACACTGCTTGTACTGCGTTGAAAATATAAAAAACATAAGACATAAAACACAAATTGGTTCCACATACCAGAGAACGTAGTAATTTAGTCTTAAAACAAAAAAAAAAAAAAAAATAAACAACTAAATCGAAAAATAAAAAACATACTAACGTGCTTCTCCTAAAGTATTTATATCCAAACAAGACGTTTAATTATTTTGTTATTGCATTTCCTCAAAGCACTATAAAAAATAATAATAAACAAGAAAATATCCCCCTCCCAAAAGCAGGCGAATGATAACAATTTTTTAATCCACCAAATGCGAGTTTTTAAAACAATGTTAATATGGAAAAACCAACTAATTGAGTGCTTCGATATTATGCGGTATAAATAATGAAAGTGTTAGGACATGGACTCTAATAATGTATTATTAAATATAAATAATAAATTATATTGTAATAAAAAGTGAAAATACACAACTAAATTTAACATTAAAGATGTGTAAAGCAAAAACAACGTATTTTTATTTTTCAAAGTGGATTCGTCTAGCAGAAATGGATTTTATTTATAAAACAAGATAAACTGAAAATTGGGAACACCAATTTTTCCAAATTGGTTCAAGTTATTCTTATTCAGTAGTAATACTTATTAGTTTATTGCTATATTTGTACTAAGAAGTATAAAAACATTCGATCCGTTATAAAAATGTTGTCCCTTATTTTTAACAGATTTGGAAAACATTTTCAAAATCTAGAGGGATATTTTTTAGTTACTTAATTAGTTCATCGCTTCTGGAACATAAACAAAATTAAGAGTTTTAAAAACCAATATTCTTATTATTTTTATAATATTTTTAATAGCATTAATAAACTTTTAAATAGCTTTACCATTAAGAACCTCAAAGAACACCATTTTGTTTTTATTTTATATTCAAATTTATTTCAGTTGTAGATAGTATTAAGGTTTTTAATCTATAAGTTTCCGAATTTAACATTTTTAAAATTTAAATAATCAATGTTTGCCGCGTATTGTCGATAACGATATCCCACTGGCAGCGAGCAGAGTGGCATCTCTGGGCAGCAAAGTGACGTGGAAAGTGTGTCAAATTGATGCAAATGCAATGCTAGATTGTGTTGTAAACTTTGTCGCGTTGTTCAAACTACCGAGTCGGAAGAGTAGTTAAAATGTTAGAATTTGTGGTGATATTCACCAAGGGTGGTGTGGTGCTGTGGCACACGAATGTGTCCGGAAACAGCTTCGCCTCCTGCATAAACAGCCTGATACGTGGCGTCATCCTGGAGGTGAGTGGATATTCAGGTGGAGGTAGATGTAGACTGTGTACGGATGGATACTAATCATTTTTGGATACAGGATCGAAACACAGAGGCCAAGTACTTCGAGGAAGACCATCTGGCTGTGCAATTTAAGCTGGATAATGAACTAGACCTAGTCTACGCGGCCATTTTCCAGAAGGTGATCAAACTGAACTACCTGGATGGCTTCTTGGCGGACATGCAGACGGCCTTCAAGGAGAAGTACGGCGGCATTCCCGCGTCAGAGCAACTGGGCGGCGACTATGATTTCGATCGGGAATACCGCCGGGTGCTCAGTGCCGCCGAGGAGGCGTCAGCAAAGCAGGTGAAGGCCCCTAAGGCCATGCGCTCCTACAATGAGTCGCAGAAGTCGAAGAAAACTGTTGCCTCAATGATCCAGGACGATAAAAAACCGACCGAGAAGCGGGTCAATATCCAGGAGAGTCCGCCGCCCACCAAGTCGCAACCCTCGTCCCCGCAATCTGCGTCCGCCGTCAACATGGACAAACTCATCCGGCGGAAGCTACGCGAGAAGCTCACGCCCACCAAGAAAACCTCGCCCAGCGATTTGAAGCCCAGCAAATCCACCTCTTCCGAGAAGGCCGGCAAGAAGCCACGCGTCTGGGATCTAGGCGGCAATTCCAAAGACGCCATCAATCTAGATCGCTCCAAGGATGCGCCTGAGGATGTGCAGTACCAGAACATCAACACCGAGGTAAGTTAGGCTGGGCAACTTTCACTTTTATATTGCAATTGGATCTTCTAAAGTAACATTATCTATTAATATTACCATAACCAGTTTATAGAAAATAATTTGACTATTATAAAACTACTTTGGGGGGTTCAGAACACAGGTATTCACTTAACTCACTGTTTTCTGTCTTTTTGAAACGTCAGCTGGTTGGCACAATGCAAGGCGTAATCCGCGACCTGGACGTGGAGAGCGAGGACGAAGATGAGAACGAGGAGGAGTCTTCTGATGAGGAGGAGGTGGTGCAAACGAAGAAGAACAAACGCGGCGGCCTACTTTCTTATTTCAAGGGAATTGTGGGTGGCAAGACCATGACGTTGGCTGATCTGCAGCCGGCGCTGGAGAAGATGCGAGACCATCTGATATCGAAGAATGTGGCCACAGAGATTGCGGCCAAGCTTTGCGACTCGGTGGCCACCAGCCTGGATGGCAAGCAAATGGGCACCTTCGACAGCATAGCTAGCCAGGTAAAGGAGGCTTTAACCCAATCGTTGGTGAGGATTCTCTCCCCGAAACGGCGCATCGACATCATTCGCGATGCCCTGGAGTCAAAGCGAAACGGTCGACCATATACAATTATCTTTTGTGGTGTAAATGGTGTGGGGAAGTCCACTAACCTGGCAAAGATCTGTTTCTGGCTGATCGAGAACGACTTTAACGTCCTTATCGCCGCCTGCGATACGTTCCGCGCCGGTGCCGTTGAGCAGCTGCGAACACACACCCGCCACTTGAACGCCCTGCATCCGGCGGCCAAGCACGATGGTCGCACTATGGTGCAGCTGTACGAGAAGGGGTACGGCAAGGATGCTGCCGGCATCGCCATGGAGGCCATCAAGTTCGCCCACGACACACGGGTGGACGTGGTGCTCGTAGACACCGCCGGACGCATGCAGGATAATGAGCCGCTGATGCGATCGCTGTCCAAACTGATCAAGGTGAACAACCCAGATCTGGTGCTCTTCGTGGGCGAAGCGCTGGTGGGCAATGAGGCCGTCGATCAGCTGGTCAAGTTCAACCAGTCGCTGGCCGACTACTCCTCCAACGAGAATCCGCACATCATCGACGGCATCGTGCTGACAAAGTTCGACACCATTGACGACAAGGTGGGCGCCGCCATCTCCATGACCTACATCACCGGCCAGCCAATTGTGTTCGTAGGCACGGGTCAGACGTACGCCGACCTCAAGGCGATCAATGTAAATGCCGTGGTCAACTCTCTGATGAAGTAAATCCCTTTATCCATTCAACACCTTTCCAATTTCCAATGCTCTTTGTTTATATGTCCTTTTGACCCAATCAAATACAGTTCGTTTTTCTATTTTGTTGTTGAGTAAGATTGCCATGGTTTTCATCTGGGTGGTTTCTGTATTGGTTCGACTTAAATGAAAGCCATCCAAGAAAGTCGATATTCTTGTAACTTTTCAAATACGAGTTGTTTTATTAATGTTATATAACTTTAGGCGTACAAAGAAGTGTAGTGTATAGGGACAATGGGTGGGAAAAAATGTTAAGCTTAATCTATTTGTAGAACTCGTGCTCCTGCTCGTCCTTCTTGATATTATTTTTGTATCCCTTCTCAAAGTCCTTTGCCAGGACAATGTAGCGGTTCTCGCGCACAGCGTGCATGCCCGCCTCTTGGCAAATAGCGTTGATATCGGCGCCAGAGATCTTATCCGGTCGCGCCACAAACTCCTCAAGATCAACGTCCTCGCTGAGGTTCATTTTTGATGTGATGGTGGAGAAGACGAGCCGCTTCTGTCGACGATCGGGCAGCGGGAACTCGATCTTTCGATCCAGACGACCAGGTCGCAGCAGGGCAGGATCCAGAGTGTCGGCCCTATTGGTGGCCATGATCACCTTGACGTTGGTGGTCTGATCGAAGCCATCCATCTGGTTCAGTAGCTCGAGCAAGATGCGCTGCACCTCACGATCAGCGCCTGTCTGTGCATCGAATCGCTTTGTGGCAATTGCATCAATTTCGTCAATGAAGATAATGGCTGGAGCGTTCTCCTTGGCCAGCCGGAAGACGTCGCGAACCATGCGCGGTCCCTCACCTAGATACTTCTGCACGAACTCCGATCCGACAACGCGAATGAACGAGGCCGTTGTGTGATGTGCCACCGCCTTGGCCAACATGGTCTTGCCGCATCCAGGCGGGCCGTACATGAGCACTCCGCGCGGCGGATCAATACCGATCTGCTTGTAAAGCTCAAAGTGGGTCAGAGGCAGCTCCACTGCTTCCCGGATTTCTTGCTTCTGCATATCCATGCCACCAATGTCCGCGTAACTCACATCGGGCTTCTCGTCCGGCTGCAGCATTGAAATTGAGCTATCAGCCTCCGGCGGCAGAACATCTACCAGGGCATTGCTGTGCTTGTGCAGGGCTACCGAGGCGGAGGGCTTCAGCAGTTCTCGGTCGATGGTGGACAGGATGCGCACATAGTAATTTGAGCCGGTGGTGGAGCCCACAATGCCTGTGTTTTGGTCGACGGCCTCCAGGAATTGGCCGATCACCAGCGGCACCGACTGAATACGCTTCACCTCCTCCTGGGCGTGGAGGTATTCCTTCTTCAGATTCCGCTGCTCGTCCTTGATGTACTCCTCCTGCACCTCTATGAATTCAAGGGTCTTTTGCAATTTCTGTGATATGGTATACAAGGATTAAAATGGTTGGATCAATGTAAATATCTGGAAGCCAATTTGCTTACCTTGTAGCGCACATACAGATCCTCCGTGTCCAGTTCGTCAAGAGAACTGTGCGCATCCTTCGGTTTCAAGTCGGAAAGCTCGTCCTGAGCAAAGATAGTGGAAAGGAGACGTTATTAAGCTAAGCAGGCGTAGAAAAAACAATTATATACCTTCTCCGGCATCAGTACGTCCATGTTGTACGGCATTGTTTCCGTCTAGCAGTGAGTTTCGTTTTATTAGTTTGCTTTTTTTGCGAGGCGACTAAAATGACTCGTCAAAAACAAGCCTGCACTGCAACGGGGTGGCAACGCGGCTTGCGGTCACACACAGCAATCGATAATCGGCGAGTGGCCTATCGATAAGCTTATCGCCATTAGAGTACTTTTAATTTACCTATCAAATGGGGAAAATTAGCTGGTATTTCGACTACTGATTTGCCAATAAGAAAATAAATAAAATGAAGAGACGCTATTATTAAGTAACGAACTTTAAATTCTTTGGCTATCTATCAAATTTATTAATGCAATATTTGTTGTTGTTGGTATACAGGAAACTAAATATTCAGAACTTTTTAAATTAGCAGAGATGTCCTAATCTATGTACCAAAATATTAGAAGTAATCAATAGTCCCGCAAAAGTTATATTTATTTAAATAAAATAATGATAATGATAATACCTTAAACATTTATCTAAAATCTTGAGTAAAAACTATCGGATTTCGATAATTTTTAAGTTGAATTATTTGAGTTTTGGGTAAGTTTAGAACTTCAATGATGTTAGATACAAATTTGTATAGAATATTATCTAATTTAATGAAAATTAGTTGAATAAAACATCTATCTCTAGTGCAGTGAGAACTATCGATAGCTTGAGCACTTTGCGACAACGAGACAAGTGTGTACACACTGGTAAACCCGACCATTTTGACGCGATTTCGATTTCCCATAAGAAAAAAGAAAAAAACACACATTTAACTCGGGCGCTCCTGCTGCTGTGTTGTGTGCGTGTGAACGAACCAAATATATACACACATGAGCTGGAGGACAGTGAAATCGGAATTAGTGTTTATATAGCACTTTTGATGGCTGATAATGCCGCCGCCGAAAAATAGTTTGGCCATCGTTAGTATCAGTATCAGAACGGGAACGAGTACAAGTACGAGTACGATTGCCAGAAAGTATCGTCGTCCTGCTGAACCCCGCCCCCTCCGCCATCGTCGCCGCCCCCTCTGCGCCGTACGCACGCATCGATTTGGGCTAAACGTTAGATACCTCCTAACGCAGTTGTTAGGGTGGAAAGAAAGGCCAGGGAAAAAATAATACAAAATACGCAACGATACTAACTGCAATGCCGTGCGTTATTGGTTATTCGCGTGCAATCCGCTGATCCGATACGGATCCGGTCCTGCTTTTGTCCAGGTCCGCATCCCGCAATCCTCCCCCAAAAATATAGAGAAGAGAAAAAATCCAGAAATCCCGGAAAAGTGCAATACAACGAAACGAAACAAAACGAATTGTAGCGAAAAGCTGGAGAGACCAAGACCAAGTCACAAAAGTCGCAAATCGAAGTGGAAAGTGGAGTGGAGTGCTAATAATGCTATAGGCCAAAACAATAACCGATAACAGATAAATCCGAGGAGTTGAAAATGTTTATTGTATAATTTCCAATTGAGCAGGTGTGCGTGCGTGTGTGTGTGAGTAGTTTTTGTTTTTTCGCTGCTTCTTCTTGCGGTTTATTTGTCAACAAAAAGAAGAAGGAAGAACGAAGCAGTAGTGCAGTAGTAATTTGTTGTTTGCCTCGCACTGCTTACAGGAGTGACGAAGCAGTAAGCTTGAGCAACGAACCGCCCGACGGACGACCAAGTGGCCTCCACATGAAGACCATGTCGCGCTTTGGCCTGCGCCGTGGCTTCAAGTTCTCGGAGGAACAAGTCAACGGCAAGAATCCAATTGGACCGACCACACCCCCAGCTACAGCTTTAGCTGCCGCTGCCGCTACCACTGCCCCCAATCCACGCAAGAAACGGCAGACCAGGCAGGCGGAGGAAGTGGACGTAGAGCAGGAGGATTTGGAACCGCACGAGGATCAACCAGAACCGGAGGCGGATCACGAACCACTCTCGCTAATATGCAGCCTCCCATTGGAGCGACTGCCCCGCCTTGTGGAGAAGCTGCATCAGATGACGGAGGAACGGGAAAGGGAACGGGACCGAGAACGCGAAAGGGAACGAGAGCGGGACGAGGCCGCTGGGCTAGGAGGAGCAGGCCATTCAAAGGTCCTGTGTCTGTACTGTGATAGGAAGTTCGCCTCCGGCAAGCTGCAGGCAAAGCATGTGGAGAAGTTTCACACCGAGCGGCAGGAGCGACGCTGCAGCGGCCGTTCCACCAGCTCCAATTCCCATCCCGCCGGTGGCTTCCCAGGTTGCCAGTGGTGTGGGCAACAGGCCAATCGCCGACAGACCACGCCACCCCAGATTTGCCTGCCGGCCAAGCATCTGGATCAGCTATTCCAGCACCTAAGCGAGCAGCATGCGGACAAATACTTTGGCTGTCAGTCGTGTCGCCTGCGCTTCCAGGATGCGGACCATTTGTCGGGGCACCAACGACAACAGCATCCGTTGCAACATCCTGAGGATGCCCATGCCCCCAAGCCTGGTCTAATGGGTGCTGATGAGCCGGTGCTCTTTCGCCTCGGACTCACGCAGAACCGTCTGCCCAGCCATCGGAATCGCAATCAGCGCAAGGAGGAAGAACCGCCGCCCTTAGCCACGCCCAGTGGCAAGTCTCGGAGCAGCAGCCGGGCAGCAGCTCAGCGGCAACAACATCAGCAGGTGCAGCCACAGCAGGTCACACCGGCTGGAAGTCAGGCTCTGCAATCGCAGGAAGCTGTCAATCCTGATGCAGTCTTTCGACTGCCAGCAAGCATGGCTTGCGCCTCCTCCTCATCCTCCTCCGCCGTCAGCTCAGTGTTCGATGACAAGTTCTACAAGGATGTTATCTTTAATGTGCGCCACAATCTGCAGAATCATCTCGACGGTCGGCTACTCACGTCCGCGTCGTCGTCATCATCCTCATCGTCGTCCGCATCCCAGAAGCAGGAACTGATCATGCTGCACGGTCCAAGCCAGCTGGGTCCCGGTGGCGCATCATATCCCACGCTGCTAACCGCGGAGCAATTCGGCGGCACGGGGGAACTGTTGCCACTGGCCAAGTTCCGGCGGAGACCGCATACCAAGCACAGCTGGAAGTGGAAGTGGGACTACGTAAAGAAGTTTACGTTAATCAATGAGGGCGGAAGGCTAATAAAGAAGCTGAAGCAGCCAAATTACCTGGGCCTTCGCGATCTCTCCAAGCTGGACATGTGGACCCAGCTGACGATGCGCCAAAAGCACGATCTCTCACTGTCGTTAGCGGAAGAGCAGAACCATGAGCAGCGCCGCTTGTTAGAGCAGCTTAATCTCATTCTGGACCACCGTCTGTTGCCGCACATCATCTTAGAGCAAAACGAACAGGCGGTCATCAAGTGCGAAAACGAGGAGGAGGACGATGGACGGGATTTGCATCCTGGAGATGACCTACTGCCTCAGACTTTTGCCGACGAGAGTTTCCTTTCCCTGCTGCAGCTTAAACCGAAATCTGGGACCAGCGATCAGGTCCGGGAGTCGGACCAGGAGCGAGAACGGAATAGGAACCGAAGGGCCGTCGTGCTCAGCGGCGAGTGGGCACGGCCACGACTCTACCTGTGCATATGTTGTGGCGCCAAGTTCGACCAGCGGAAGTCGCTGGAGGAGCACAAGACCTTCCGCCACTCGCACATCTACGCCACGCACTACGAGGTTGTTGGACGGGAACTGCTTGCTGGAAACTTGCTCCGCCACCTCTTCATACCCAAACGGGCGCTAGGACGTTTTGCTGCCGCGAGCAACTGCATACGATGGCCTCAGATTGCGCCTGCACCAGTGCAGCAGCCCAAACAGGAGCAGGAGCGGGTGCAGCCAGAGGAGGAGACCAGGTCGTCTGCCTCTTCGCGCTCCTCGTACGAGGTGTCCACGCCCACTCCGCTTTCGGGACTAGAGCAGCAGCAACCATCGCCGGCCTCGGGATCGGGTAATGCGTCCTCTTCGTCGTCCTGCTCGCCCAGCTCATCCTCTGCCTCCACTCTAATGTCGGCCGCCCCTACTTCGATGTCCAACTCCACCTGCATCTCCTCCACTGCGACAACGACGCTGTCGTCCTCATCGTCCGCTCCTTCTAGCTGCACCAAGTGCGGTCGCAAGTGCAGCGGTCTTATGGATCTCTATCGACACATGCTGGACTGCTCTGGCGACTATGTGTGGTCCCTGGCCAAGAAGCGGAAGTATCGCTACTACTGCGGCACCAAAAAGCGACGAGCCTTCTCCAAGAAGCCGCTCAAACAACTCTCCGCCCGCAAGAAAGAAAAGTTGGAGGTGGAAGTAGAGGAGGGAATCGGAGATGGCGAAGCCGATGGAGATGGCGATGGAGAGCCCGAGGGCGATGAGAGTGGCTCCAGTTCATCCAAGTTGAAGAATTCGCCGCGCCAAAGGCCCAGCGATGGTAAGTTACCTATGAGTTACTATCAATACCAATTTCTTTATTTATTCACTTAATTTTTTCAGCCGAATCCATAAGGAAAATGCTGGAGAATCTTCCCGCCAAGCGCATCTGCAAAAAGATATTCCCCGTTGACAACAAGGCCAAGCGTAAGGCTAAGAACAAGGCCAAGGCCAAATCCATGGTCAAGTCACTGGTCAAATCGAAATCCAAACAGCAGCGCAGCAGCACCAAGAGAATCTACAATCAGCACTTGCTGCGCACCACGAGATCCCGATCGAGATCCTCTGTGGTGACGACAGGCTCGTCGGCAGCCGCTGTCGCCGCTAAGCAGCAGCGCAGTCGCCGTAAACAGAAGCAACAGCAGCAAAAGGCCAAATTGGACAAAGCCAAATCTCCGCCAGAGCCACCGGCTACAGCCGCGTCGGAGGATTTGCCAAGCAAACCTGAGGCGAAACCGCCCGCACCCACAGTCACTGCCAAGTCACGATCTCCCGCTGAGGAAAAGCCATCCCTGCGACTTGAGCTGCCCCTAACACTTTCAGAGGCAGCTGCTCCACCTGCCTCTGTGCAGGAGTCGGAGCCCGAGCCCGCATCGCCTACTCCCAGCAAGCAGCTAATGCCCACACCGCCCACAACTCCTGCACCAGCCACCAAATCCCCGCAATCTGTAGCTACAGCTCCACCATTCTCCACCAGCACTCGACTAACGACGCCAAATTCGACTGTAAAGCGTAGCAAGAGGATTAGCGACTGCATAGCCATGCTCACCGGCAAACTGGAGGAGAAGCTTAAAACGGAGCAAGTGCCTCCGCCTGTGCCATTTGAAAAGGAGAAAGAAAAATTGGAGCAGATTAGGCCGACTGAAAAGGTGGAAACGACACCGAAACTGGTGGATTCAAATGCAGTTCTTGCGTGTGATAAGGAACGAGTGCAGACAAAGACGCCCAAACGTAAAGCAGTTTCGCGGCGAATCATTAAGGTGGATGCCACACCGGAACCCGTGGTGGAGTCTTTACTGGCGCCAAAACCACCGGCGGAGCTGGCAGAAGCAGTTACGATTCCGCTAGCAGTTCTTCCCTTACCACCAGTTGGTCCTCCCACTTTGGTTGCAACGCCTGCTGCACTTCCTCCTCCTGCTGCTCTTACACATCCTGTGTTTAACAGTATACCAGTGCCTGTGCCGGTTCCTCCGCCAGTCGTGGCACCAGCTCCTCTGCCAGTCGCTGCACTTGCTCCTCTGCCAGTCAATGCACCTGCCACTCAGCCAATAACTACTTTGACACATCCGCCACCGAGGCGTACGCCCACCAAGGCGGCGGCCAAACAGATGGCTGCCCCACCACCGAAACCAGCCTCGTTGGCTGCCCTGAAGCAGTATCCTCCGTTGGAAGCGACGCTGGCAGTACCGCCTCCTATCCCTGCGCCCGTATCTGTGGCCGTTCCTCTTCCTGTGCCAGTCGCAATGACGTTGGGAATGCAGGGAATGCCAGCTCCACTGCCAGTGGGACCAGTACCCGTACCCGTGAACGTTAATATGTTGCCTAAGGTGCCATTGTATATGCCACAGCTCCAAGGCAATACAAACCCTAATCCAGCACCAACAACCATGTTCGTGATGGATCATCAACCCCTGAATCTGACCAGTCAGCGAGGAGTGCTTCAAAAGCCGTTGATTAGTGGTACAACGGGGGATCCTGGACTCGTTGGACTACCGCATCTTCGCACTGGAGGTATGCCTGCCAGAAGGCAGACAATCTGTGGATTCGAGGCAAGAAACTTGATCGGTTTGGACATTGATATGGAGCCCCTGGATCTGTCGAAGAAGTCAAGCAGAAAGCCGTCTCCTGTGCCGCCGCCAAGGATGCAACAGGAGATGACAATGCCCCTGGTCCCATTGCCCTTGGTGACGGGAGCAACTGGTCTGCCATCTCAACAGCAACCGGGTGCACCCCTTGCAACCACGACTCCAGGTGGTGCTCCAGTACCTTGTCAGCTGCCTATGACAGGGGGAGTTCCAGCCCCACTGGCATCGCAATATTACTCCAACCTGGACCTGCTCAAGATCCCACAGGTGCGTAATCCCGGCACTGGCGTGGTGGTGCCGTCCAGCGGTCCACCATCCGTTTCTGTTGCCGCATCTGTTGCTGCGCCGGTTCATCCAGTAAAGGGCTCAGGTGGGAAAAAGCGTTCTCTAGAGGGAACTGGGAATTCTAAAAAGGACAATGGTAAAGGCCAGGCCAAGGTGTTTCCACGCATGGATGAGGTGGTTAACAACCATATCGACGATGCCATTAACTCAGTTATTATGGCTGTCCAAGCGAGTTTGCCGGACTATGATGAGGAGGGAGCAGGCTAAAAGGAAAGAGAGAGGGAAGTAGAAAGAGAAAGAGAGAAGGAAAAGCTGGAGGAAACGCCGCCCAAATCAACAGCAAGCAACTGCATCTTGGCGTTACAACCCTCCGCAGGACTACCATTATTACCAGCTTTTGACAAATGTCAATCTGTGAATGCTATTCCTGCGGCTGTTATTCCTTCTGCTGCTCTAGTTCCCGTGACTCCAGTGCCGCAGCCTGCGCCTGTCAAGAACTTAGCGCCTAAGAAGCGTTCCATGCGGTCGCGAACCATCGATTGTCGCTCAGCCCTGCTAGCCTTGGAAGAGACGTTACCGGTGGCACCTTTGCAGCAATGCATCCCGCTGCCGGTGAATGGCAATGCGATAGGTGAAATTCATCCGTTGCCAGATACAATCCCGGCTCCAGCTACAGTCCTGCCCCAAACGCCCGTCCTAGTTCAAGGTCCGGTATTGAGTCTGAGAGAAAAGAAGCCTGATATTATACTGTCGGCTACTGATTCGACGACCGTTCCTGTCACCACGTCTGCAGCCACTCCCCCGCCTATTTTTAGCCAATCTCCGGAATCTCCTGATCCTGTTCCAGCGATCGTTACACAGCCGGAAACGTCTGTGCCTACTCCTGTGCCCGTCTCCGTAATTTCCGTGGCACCCGCCTTGCCTCTGCCACCGCGCACTGCCACGCCCCCGCCAACCACGATGGCAGAGACCAACTGCAGTTCCCTGATGGAGGAACACAGCAGCAACCTGAACAACAACACCTCCTCGGGCTTCCACAGTCTAGCGCAGTCGGAGCAGCCAATACCAACGACAGCCACCACACTAGCTGAGGAACCAGCTCCGGCTAAGGAGGAGGAGGAATTGCCCACCAAAAAGAAGCAGCGTCGGCGACGGAAGAACGAACTGGCGGCTATTGTGGCCGATCAACTGTTAGAAAGCTTTAAGATCGACAATGCCCGGAGGGATAATCTTAAGAAGCTGGAGAATCTGGCGTACGAGAAAAGTGAGGACTTGCTACTCACCGGGATGTTGCTCATGTCTAGCACCAAGCGTAATGCTGCACTCGGGCCTTCCTCCGCTGCTGCCGCCAAATTAGCGAAGAAGGAGGTTGAGACGGTAACAGAGTCGCCGCCAAATCCTCCAGTGCGTGGCAGGCCGAAACGTCGTCAGAGTTGCTACTACCGCCGGGGCAAAGCCGGTGGAGTTGGTGGCGGCGGTGGCAAGGCTACCAATGAAAACATTAGTCTGCTCAAGTCTTCGCTAGAGTCCTTCTCTATTGGCATCGAGAAGCAACTGCTCGCGAAGGAAGCTAGGGAGGCCAAAGACTCACAGCCGACGGCAGGAGCCAACAGCCAGACTCAGCCGCCAGTGAGTTCCATACTGCGGCCAAGCATCCTGAGCAGCGCCGTAGTTAGGGATCAACAACAGCAGTCTAAGCAGCAGCAGGGCAGCAAGCAGGAGAAACAGGAGCCGATACCGCCGGCACCAACTTTTAGTCGTGATCCACGACTTAACAAAAACATACACAAGGAGCAGGTGGAGCACAAGGAGCCGGCTAGAGAGCAGTCAGCTCCCACGACGAACGACAATCCTGAAGAGGAGGACAACTATCTCACGGAGATTGCCAAGAACGTAAACGAGAAGATCATGTCGGCCACTACCAACGAGGACTTTGAGTTTGCCCACGACGAGTTCGACGGGGAGGGAGATCCCGACCAGGATCAGGACCAGGACAAATACTATCGTCCACCCACTTCGATGAGCGTGCGTAGTGCACCGAATCTGAATGATGAGCACTCGAACTTCGGTTCCATGTGTGACGATAACACGAACACCGAGGTGATGGACATGGATCTGGATGATGAGATGAGTGTGTACACTAGTTACTCCCAAGATCTGGGACGCGGTGGACGCGGGCGCCGAAGAAGAAGACGAAGGAGTGTGTTGCTCACGCGACGTCCAAAAAAGCGGACGCAGCGTAGCGAACTGGATGCTGAGAAGTATGGCTGCAAGTTGTGCGGTAAAAGCTTCTTCACGGCCACCTCGCTATCCAAGCACAACATGACCCTAGCCCATGTGTCTAAGCTGTCTGCCCAGGAGTACTTGCAGTCACAGACAGCTCCTTCCAGTCCCCAGCATGCGCACGAATTGGATAACAATAGGGATGACGGACAAGCTGAGATGACAGTGCAACATCAGGAGGAGCAGCCGGCAGCAGCTCCACAGCAGATGAGAGCCTCCGTGCTGATGGTTCCCTCCCAGGTGGCTCACCAGGAAAGGGAACGAGAGATGCATAGGATTCAGGAGCAGAAGAGGGCCCAGCTACAGAGGGAGCATGTCCATCATCATCAACAGCAGCAGCAGCAACAGGAGCAAGTGCATCATGTGATTACAGAGGCAAGTCTGCGGCTGCACGACAATCAGCACAGTCCGACAGCTCAAACTGGGTCTCGTCTTAATCTTAATCCCGACGAGCGTCTATTCTACGAGTGCTGTAATATTCTGAAGAGCGCCGAAACGCCACGTCCCCTTCCCGGCGGAGGTGCTGGTCCCGCCACCACATCAGTGATAGTGACGGCGGGCAGAAAGCAACCGCCACCGCCTCCAGCTTCACCGTCGCCATCTCGGTCGTCTTCATTGCCGCCACCAGCATCGCCATCGCCGTCGCTTCCACCGCCTGCGTCTCCTTCGCTTTCTCTACCACCGCCGGCCTCACCGTCTCCGTCTCCCTCGCCGCCGCCACCCGCAGAGGTACCTGCTCCTGTTCCTGCTTCTGCGCCAGTTCCTGCTCCTCATCCAGCTCCTGCTGTCTGCCATCAGCCGGTCATCCAACAGCTGTTCCGCAACCCGCCCGCAGTTACGCCCACCACCACTCCCACGTAAGTTTAAATTTGTTGACCAATTTTACCCTTTTATTACGGTCTCCATACTAATACATACGTAGAAGAATGGGGTTTTCTATTATTTTCAGTTTTTAACCAAGAAAGAACGCTTTAGTGTAGTGCCGCGAGTATCAGTTATCTTTTTACCAAACGGATAAACGGACAAACGGACAAACGGACAAACGGACATATGAAGATACGGAAAAGTCCTCTTTTTTAGTGACAATTTTTAGGGAAACATTAAAAATTAAAAACATTAAACTGAACTTTCGCACTCGCCTCTTTTTTTCCATTAATATGGATTGATCCTTCAAAAAGAACACTGTACGGCTGATCACTGATCCATTAATGCAATTTCCGTAAAGCTGAAAACTTCAAAACTTGAATGACGAAGATCAAGAAAAGATACCATACAATGTCTGGAAAAATGTAACTAAGAAAGGTTCTTCAATTACCGACTTTTCTCATGTAAACCTCAAAAGAGTATCCCCTGAGTTTTATTTAATGTTTAAACATTAGCAAAGCTCAACGCACAGGTCAGTAGTAAACATTCCATCAAAGCATCCACATCCCACTCTTCCTAACAACAACTGAAATTCAATAGCTGCTAACAAATGAGTTGCGATGAGGAACGGATGTCGGTGGACGAGATAGTGGAGGCTATAAGCAGTGAGGATGATCACCTCCAGCTCCTGGGCACAGAATCTGCCCGCAAGATGGTCATTGGAGAAAGCACTGCATCCATAGACCTATTGATCGGGCATGACATGGTGCCCACTTTCGTAGGCTTCCTTCAGAAAAACGAACATCCAATGCTGCAGTTTGAGGCCGCATGGGTCCTGGTTAACATCGCATCCGGGACATCCGATCAGACGCGCTGCGTGATTGAGAACAATGCGGTACCGCATTTAGCGAAACTTCTACAGTCCGGCTTCATTGATCTGGCTGACCAGGCGGTCTGTGCGCTCGCCAACATAGCTAGTGATGGAGCTGCTTCTCGCGACATTATCATTCAACACAACGTGATCGAAAATATTATGCCATTGACCAACAGGAGGTCTCCGATCACCATCCTACGAAGCATAGCATGGCTGATGAGTAATCTGTGCAGTCACCAGAATCCGCCGCCACCTTTGGATGAAGTGAAGACTTTTGTGCCGGTCCTTTCGAAGCTTATGTTAAGCCATGACGCCCAGGTGCTTACCGAAGCGTGCTGTACATTATATTGCATTTTGGAGCGGGACCACAGCATGATCCAGGTGCTGATCGACTTGGGATCAGTGCCGCACCTAGCTCAGCTGATTCAAAAGTTTGAGCCGAGCATAGTTACGCCTGCCCTACGAATTGTCGGTATCATCGTGGCTGCCTCGGATGAACAGACAGAGGTCGTAATCGCCTCCGGAGCACTTCCGTGGATACGAATTCTGTTATACCACTACAAAGCTGAGATTGTTGAGGATGCTGCCGCAGTAATCAACACCATCACGGCTAGATCCCAACAGCGGATTCAAGCGGCCATCCAGGCCGAAGTATTTGATGGAGTTCGCGAAGTGCTAAAGAAAGGAAACTTAAGAGCCAAGGAGCAGGCTGCTTGGGCGGTGACCAACGCCATGAGTTTCGGCACTCCGGAACAGATTATTGAACAACTGATTGATAGGTTTATGATTTTAAAGCCCTATTTAAATCTGTTAAGTGCAGACGACACTGGTATCCTTAAGGCAGTCCTCACCGGGTTGTGCAATCTGTTTGTCTTGATCGAAAAGCTTGGCTTGACAGAAAGCTTCTCTGAGGTGGTCATTGAGATGGGCGGGCTAGACAAGCTGGAAAGTCTACTGATGCACGACAGCATGGTGGTCTACAAGAAGGCTAAGACCATAATATATGATTACATTATCATTCCGACGGCGACATTCTAGTTCGGTTTAAAAAGTTTCACAGTTATCACACTCCCTAACCTGTACTTGTATGTACTTGCATCGGAATTATATATATTTTTACATAAACACCTCGTTTTACTTATATGATTTTCTACCATAACGTGACCACCATATCTTCGCGTTGGACTCGCTACCTAGCTCGGATCTTTAGGGTACTTTTTCGTTTCGTATCGCAGGCTTTTCTTGAAGCTTCTTCGAAAACGGCCAACAAAATGCGCAGGCCTACAAATTCAAGACCATCAACGTGCAGGAATAACCCATGCGCCACCTTAAGGGTACCATCTAGTTGGGCAGATTCATCTAGATTCATCATGCTTAATCTCAATATTCTAGCTTTTATAGTTTTCAAGACAGCGTACAGCGTTCATACAACAAGCGGGCATGGCTAGGTTATTGATCCTGATCAAACTAATAAGTAAACTTCCTACGAATTCAATATACCCCTTTGACTCTACAAGTAGTGGGTTTAATGTAAAACCTTTTATATTAACCACTCACTCATCTCTTTTATATCTTTTACAGCAATCACAACCGGCTCTCGCCCAGTTACTCGGCTGTGTCTCAGTTTTCCGCCACCACAACTTCTCGCTTTAAGACGAAGGCTGCTATGAAGGGCTATGAGAACGTGAACCTGCAGATGGACTTACTGGAGCTGGCCAAGACGGGCAGAGGAGTCTGCAAGCTGACTGAATTGGCGGACATTGCACTGGGCAGTGAGAAGCCCGGCGGCGACTTCCTGCCCCATCTGCCGCCTGCACCCGCGACTCCTGCCGTACCAGCTTTACCATCTGCGATGCAACAGACTCCCACGCCAACGCCCACGCCCACTGGCACGCCCACAGTGACACCCACCGGACCAATGGAGCAGCAACAGAGTTCCACGTCCTCGAAAACGATAATGCACGCCTCCATCATCAAGGCGGCAGCGGGTGTAGCCAGCTCGGCGACACTGCCTCCAGCGTCCGGACGGATAATCATTCCCGACCGGCCTTTCAAGAACATTGGACTGGAGGAAAAGGCCCCCATAACGTTTCAGAAGCCCAAGACATGTGTTAACTTGCTGCAGGAGCAGGATAACAACAGCGTCTCGACCGTTAGTTACTCCGACCGAGATGATTACGATTTTGGGACACTGAGTTGTGACGGCGATGTGGACCCGGAGCCAGAACCTGAGGTTAGAGTTGGAGTGCCCGCAAGTCGTGTAGTTCCGCCGCCAGCAGGAGGGCGAACCATGTCGACCTCCAGCTCGTCATCCTCATCTTCCTCGTCAGCGAAAAATAGCAGAAGTGGCAGCCGGAGTAGCAGCAGCAGTTCTAGTCGGGCCACGGCCAAAACATTTGAGAATAAGTCGCTGATCATGGGCCGGATTTTCAAGCACGCCAGTAGCGCCAAGGCACCGGTGGTGGCTACATCAGCGGCAGTTCTGCCTGGTCCCAGTGTGGTGCCTGGAATGGCCAAGATTAAGGCGCTGCCGAAAAACCAAGCGAATCTCGACCAAATCTTTGATGAGCTGCGTGGTGGCGGAGCGGCTAAAGCATCCGATATGGAAGCTTCCCCAGCCATGATGCAGGAGAACTGGGAACGGCATCATCAAGCGCTACAGCAGCCACACCATCATCAGCAGCATCACCACCATCACCATCACCACCACCATCATCAGGTGGAACCCATGGCTGCGCCAGCAGCTCCGGCAGCGCCGGCGGCAATGCCCGCACCCAGTGCATTACCACCGGGCAGAAAGCCGAAGAACTCAGTAGCAAATACTACCAAAAAGGCCACCAAATCCACCCCGGCTAAGGCAAAAGCCAAATCAAAGGTAGCCGCCGCAGCCTCTGGATCCTCCTCATCCAATCGTAAGCCGCGCAAGGATCTAACCAAGCTGCAGTCCGAACTAGGTATGAGTCACGAAGAGATAGAACAGCTGATCGATGAGGGGCAACGCAAGTCCAAGCGACGCTGCGCCACCAATCGGCCCAAGAAACTGGTGGAGACTTGGAGCTCTGACGAGTATGAGGAGTTCTTGTCCACCAAGGACATTATTGCATTGATCGAGCAAAAGGAGCAGCAGGAACAGCGACGCAAGCGTAAGACCAGTGAGGCAAACACCCAGCCGGAGCCCGTGGTTCCACCGGTGGCTAGCAAGAAAGCTCAAATGCCTCAGGCAGCTCCAGCGAAGCGGAAAAACCGCGCTGGCGATAAGAAGCAAATACCAGCTGAAGTGGAGCAACCGAAACCGCGGGCAAGGCAACGAAACCAACAACCGCCCCATACACCTCCTGCTCTTCCAACTGTGGTGAACGCTCCTCAACCAGATGTTGTGATGCCTCCTGCTAAGGGAAAATCCAAAACAACTGCCAAGAGTAAAACTCCAGTGGACAAGGCAAACAACAATCGTAAAAAGCGCGGCAATGAAAAGCAAAAGATGCAGCTGAATAAGGAGGATGAGGAAGAGGAGCAGGCAGAGGCGGATGTGGAACCAACAACCAGGACACGCAGGTCAAGGCAACAGCCCAAGGCAAAGGCTGACCAGGAAAAGGAACCGACACCACCACCACCCCTGCCCGTAGCTTCTCAGCAAGAACCTCAAAGGGAAAGGATAAAGGCGCGTTACAATAATCCCCAACAGTTGCCGCCGCCTCCGCATCCCAGGAGTAGCTCAGTTGCCACCACCAGCAGCACCACCAATAATAACAACAATAGCAGCAGCAGCAACAAGAATCTTAAGACCAAACGAAGATCCCAGACCAATCGCCAATCTCCAGCGAGAAGAAAGCGGCCGGCAAGCGAGAAGCAACTGTACTACTGGAGCAGCTCCAGCGATGATGAATTCGGGCGCTTAGACGACGAGGGTGAAGCGGCCGATGCAGGTTCTCGAACAGGAGCTGGAAGCGAACAGAGAGACGGGGATAGGATGGAGCTGGAGACGGAGGAGGCGTCACCGTCACCCGGCAAGCACTTTGAAGAGAACGAGCCGTACCAGAAGCACGGCTGGATCGTGGGTGACTCGCACAAGAAGCTAGTAAAGCTACTGGCCATTGCCAAGGGCAGCAAGAAGGGAGACAACTGCGGTGTCAAGCGGCGCACGCCCAAGCGCAAGTGCTAGGAGTGGGAAAAAGGCGTAGAGCTACATCTGGATAAGCACACGCTGGATGAGTATATTCTCCTGCCAGAAAAGTCATAGCCATAGGCCTCGAGGGCGGAGTCGGTGCGGGCAGCCGACCACCCATCGCCGCCATCGATCACATACGTACTGCCATTGTGTCATCGTTAATCGTTAGCGCCAGTGCCAGGAGGGGATCATCTGGAGATGGAGCTATAGCTGAAGCTTAAGCTAAAGATAAAGAGCCCATTCGCCACGCAGATGCCTCCCGGCCCTGGTCCCATTAACCGTATGCGGAGTATATGCAACATATTTTTCTTTCTTTTAAACATCTAAGCGTTACATTATTTAGGTTTTTTTTTATTAAATGTATTTATAATTAATAAACAAAACAAACAAAAAAGCGAAAAAGCAACAAATATAAATTTGAGCACAACAATTAAACCAGTTGCCTTCTAATTTAGCAAAATGAAAGAGTACGAAACGAAATTGCAAATTTTTCCTCAATTTAACTTCTGTTTTTTATTTTATATTTTACAACTAACGGTATCTTTACATATATAACATGTAAAAAAATAGAGTTAAGGAATAGTTAAAAAAACGGAGAACACAATGTAAGCGATGGGGTGTGGCAGAGCAAACGCAGGAGCCTCGGCGAGCTCACATCCAGCTGGGTTGTATGATAGTTGATTGATTGATGTTTCTGCTTTTGCCAAAGGATAAATGCGAAGCAAAATAAGGTTACATCAAGGATTATAATGCGTGTGTAGTCAAAAGAGGGGTAGTATGTGGATGGATTGCTGGATGCACCGATGTAAGAGATATTGGTGGGTCTCGCGTCGACTGGTGTGACTGATCATGACATGCGTTCGCTGGCCATTCTACGACATCGCTTCACATCATGACTTAAACATGTACGCTGGCTTCATCTCTCTCACTCTCACACATCAGGCGGCTTACATCATACCACCCATGCCGCCCATGCCTCCCATACCGCCCATTCCACCCATGCCGGGAATGCCAGGAGCACCCTCCTCCTTAGGGATCTCAGTGACCACAGCCTCGGCGGTAGTCAGCAGAGAAGCGACACCGGAAGCGTCCGTGATGGCAGTGCGCACCACCTTGGTGGGATCGATGATTCCCTTTTCGATCAGGTTGCCGTACTCGCCCTTCAGAGCATCGTAGCCGTAGTCACCGGACTGTGTCTCCACCTTAGCCACAACCATGGCACCATCAACGCCAGCATTCTTGGCAATCGTCAGGCAAGGCATGCGCAGGGCACGACGGACAATCTCAACGCCGAGGTTCTGTGAGGGATGGAAGTTAATTTAATATAGATTGCTAAACAGAACGAAAGCGACTGCTCTTACCTGATCCTCGTTGGTGGTCTTAACAGAGTCGAGCTTTTCAATGCAACGTAGCAGAGCGGTGCCACCTCCGGGAACGATTCCCTCTTCAACAGCAGCACGGGTGGCATTCAGAGCATCATGAACGCGATCCTTCTTCTCGTTGACCTCGACCTCGCTGGAACCTCCAACGCGCAGTAGGGCAACACCGGAGGCCAGGCGGGCCAGACGCTCCTGCAGCTTCTCCTTTTCGTACTCAGAGGTGGTCTCTTCGATCTGATCCTTGAGTTGTTCAACGCGACGCTCCACAGCATCCTTCTTGCCCTTGCCCTTCAGCAGCAGAGTGTCGTCCTTGGTAATCACAACTTCGCCCACTTGGCCCAGGTCGCTGACCTTAACATCCTCCAGCTTGACGAGATCAGCATCATCGCCGAACACAATACCGCCAGAGGCGATAGCCATATCGGTGAGGGTGCTCTTGCGGTTGTCACCGAATCCAGGAGCCTTTACAGCAGCCACCTGCAGGCCGATCTTGAGGCGGTTCACCACCAGGGTGCTTAGGGCCTCGCCATCGATATCCTCAGCAATAATGACCAGGGGCTTGCGCTGTGAGTTGGCCAGCTCCAAAGCGGGAATGATGCTCTGGACCGAGGAAATCTTCTTCTCGGACAGCAGGAGCAGAGCATCCTGGAACTCCACCTTGGCGCCCTTGGAGGAGTTGATGAAGTAGGGAGAAATGTAGCCGCGATCGAACTTCATGCCCTCAATCACCTCCAGCTCATCGTTCAGGGTCTTGCCATCCTTGACGGTGATGACGCCATCGCGTCCCACCTTCTTCATGGCCTCACTGATGAGACTGCCGATGGCCTGGTCTCCGTTGGCTGAGATGGTGGCTACCTGAGCGATCTCCTCGGGGGTCTTCACCGTGCGCGACATGGTCTTAAGGTTGTCCTTGACGGTTTCAACGGCCAGCATAACACCACGACGAATCTCAACGGGGTTGGCGCCCTTCGAAATCTTCTCGAAGCCCTCCTTGGCAATGGCGCGGGCCAGAACGGTGGCAGTGGTGGTGCCATCACCAGCCTCCTCGTTGGTGTTGTTGGCCACATCCTGAACCAGCTTGGCACCAATGTTCTGAAACTTGTCCTTCAGTTCAATGGCCTTAGCCACAGTCACACCATCCTTGGTGATCTTGGGCGAGCCCCAGGACTGCTCGATGATCACATTGCGACCCTTGGGTCCCATGGTCACCGCCACGGCATCAGCCAGCACATCGACGCCCTGGAGCATCATGGCGCGCACCTCAGGACCGAATCTCACGTCCTTAGCATAGCCGCGCATGGCCAACTGGCGGCTGATGGAGGTACGAGCAAGCGAAACTGGCAAACGGAACATCTGCGAAGGAGAGACGAAGATTGGTATTAGGTTTAACCGAGACTATCAGACGGTGGGGGAGCTACTGGCCCCAATCCGAGCACGTGCTCTGGCCAAGAGTTTACCCTCCCCAAGATGGGGTGTCTTCGCGTTGTTTACCTCGTATTCTTTTAGTTGATAAGCAAACAAATCAAGCGGGTCAAAGTACAGAAATAAATCTCGATCTTTATTTTAATGTAAAATTTTGGAAATAATGTGAACTGACGAAGTTCTACACACGAAATGAACTTTCTGATGACTTGTACTTGAAAAGTTGTCAAATCAGTTGTGACACTAAAATCGATGAAACATTTTTACTTTATGGCTTAAAAACCACTTTAAAGATACAAAAGAAAATTACATAAACATATATAAAAAGTCCAATATTTCAGATTTGTTTTATATAAAAAATGTAACAATAGAAATTTCAGAAGTTTTCTGTTATAAGCTTCAGAAACTGACGCAAGGTATTCATGTGCATCAGCAACATATGTAATCCACGTGGATAAGAAAATGTTAATGGCGAATATTTAAGAATACAGAAAAATAAGGAAGATAAGGTTTTTAAATAAAACAAGCCAAAATTAAAAGACTCTTTTGGGAGGTTACGCAAGCCATTTACAATTTTGTAGATGTATACACAGAATCATTAAAAGTGCAATAAATATAAATAGTGTTTCATTGTTGATGTAGTTACATAAATTACATGGAGAAATTAATTGATAAAAAAAAATAAAATTGAAATCCTTGAAAAACAATTTCCTATTAAAAACTTGAAAAAAAGATGTCCTTAAAACAACTTCAATAAGTACATAAAAACATGAAATGAATTGGCATGTTCTTTACTTTAGATTAAGAACCAAAAGATTAGATCACCGATGTTTCACTGTACCGGCCAGGCCCCCACCTCCCATGGAACGAACAACAAAGGCATCTCTTAGCACCGAGCATTCCAGAAGAAACGATTTATGTAACGAGTCGAGGAAGAAAAATAAGACCCCCTTAAAATTTAGAGGGCCTGTTATTTAACAAATCCAAAACATCAACGAGAGAAGGGAAATGGAAAGAGCTAGCAGCACATGCAATGCCACTGATAAATGTGAAATTGAACTTTCGGTTGCCGGCAAGCAGTGAAAAAACATGTGCGCTTTTCCCAAGTCACTTTTTAGCGTGCATTTGCGTATGTGTGAGTGAGAGAAAGTGATTAAGGAAGATTAGGATTTGACTATTTATTATTAAGAAGATAACTTCTACTTTCCACTAATTAATGGACAGAACTTTCTGGAAACACGATTTGCCGGCTATCTGCCAGATTGCTCGCTCTTATATAACCGACAATCATACAGGCACACACTCACTTAAAATGCATGTTGGAAAACGGGAATTCTACAATCGATGGTAATTGAAATGCAGACTTACTGTGAATAAAACTTGTAGTGCGAATTATTAACAAGACAGTTAAACGAATGCTTCCGAATTTATATTTGATGTGAAACAATAAGCTCACTTCACTTCAGTTTACTCGCTTCGAAATGTGCGCACAGGCGGACCGAACTTCCTAACCTTAATGTGAATTAGTATTACCGTGCGTCGACCCACGAAATATGCCATGTACTATCGATTGATAAACGATTATTATTAGAAGTTGCTATCAACTTTTTGGTGTTCTTATAAGGGGGATTCACAAATTTAATGCCGTAAATATATATCGCAATACTTTTCTTTAACATTTGTTAATATAATAGAAAGTATAGATAATCCTATAAAAATATATTTAAATAATAAATGAAATATGTCGTCACTTAATATCCTTTACCAAATACGTTTATTCATTATCATTGAAATCATTTGAAATATATGAAAATATGTTAAATCTATGTTCTAATAATCTGGGTCCTATGCTCAATTCCAGTGGTAATAGGTCCCACGGCGTTCATAAAATCTATCAAGGCATCCAAATCGAAAGGACCAATTCTGGGGAGAATCGAATTATTCATTCTTAATTAAATTTTAATTGACTTAATTTGTAATATTTACTCAGGATCCTCTGCGTTTTCGCTGATTACGCCAAAACCATTCTTTCCATTTGCAAGGTAGTCCATGACTACAACACGGTACTTCTCTTCCAGATCCAATGGCTGATACAGGGGCACATTGCATTTGGAGCAACGGACACGGACACTGGAGACGCGCTGACCAGGGCTGGCGTTCAGATTGAAGACAACTCGAAGACCGGATACCTGCAGAAACCGAGAAGATCTTGGGGATGAAGAACTGGCATTCATAGACGCAACTCCGTTCTCCAGCAGCTCGAGAATGTGCTTCCCTCGGAGAGTTAGGGAGATCAAACGATTCTGCCAAGGAACCACGGCAAACAGCTGCTTGTAGGTGATGTCTATAAAGGGAAATAAATCATAGGATCGAAGCAATACAAAAACATTTAAAGGAATCCTTAATTCTGACATTCTTTGATATCTATAAACTTTAAAAAAAATCTCTCCATCCATAAGGAGAGGAAAATGTTATTATTTCTATAAACTTGCAGATTATATCAGAATATGTATGTGACTTCTTAAAGGATTTATGGTATATGTATGTATGTCGTTAATTAATAGACTAAACTCACTGCCAGGTGAAATGGGCACTCGAAATGTTCCTGGCGATGTCAGAGCAATGGTCACGTTACTCCAACTGGTGTCAAGGGAGGTTGACGAGGCGTCTTTGACGAACTGATGAGTATCGTTGGATTAAGATATGTCTAGCACATGTACAACCAAGCCACCAAACTTACCGCGTGAAGCATAGCATCCGTGTAAAAGTTACCCAAATTACATTCTCCACGGGAGCACTCACTCTGCTGTAGATAGACCCGACTTTGACCCACGATTCGGTTGGCGATGGGTTCCATTTCAGCTTTCCAGGGCTCCATGGCCTGCAGAACGGTGTCATCTTTAAAGGAAATATATATGTACATATCTGTATTATGCAGAGTTTACCTGATTCAAGCTTATGAGTGTTATTTATTACACTCCTAAAAAAATTCCCATTTCCCTTTATTAGATATAAATCGCTTAGATATACATAAGTTTAATCCACCCAAAGGAAACAAAGTTTTGTATTTTCCCTGAAAAGTTTACTGGGACAAATTCATGAATTTGGCAGTACATTTTATTTTATAATTCATGGTTAGTTCAGCACAGTGATGCGTCCCTCAAGTCCCTGGTAGATGGGGTTGTTGTGTTCACTGTACGAGATCAGGGCGTCCAAGTCAGTGATGCCCCACCTGCAAAAAAATATAGAATAGAAATATTATTATAGAATATTAAATATTGATCTATATATAATCGTAAAACACATTTTAATTAATTGAAAACATTTAAGATTATCTATAATTTATAATAATCTACTGTTAAGTAATTTGTACTTACTGAAGGTCTGTGCCCTCGGCTAGCATGGTGTATCCATCGCCGCCAGCCTGCAGGAAGTTGGGCGAGGTGAGGCGATAAAGTTTGTCGGATACCAAGGGCTCGTACTTGGGCACCTCGCAATCCGCACAACGTATCGATGCCGAGACAACTCGTGATCCGACGGGCTTTGTGTAGTCGTATTTCACCCGAATGCCAGAGAATTGTAGATTGATGTACGATCCGGTTACACCGTTTTCAAGGTCCACCTTGCTTACGGCCCACTCCATTGCCTCTACTATTTTGCTGCCGGGCAGATTGTAGGAGACCAAGGTGTTCTCAAAGGGCGACATACTGACTATATGGGCGTACGTTAGATCTGTGATTGGTAGAACATTATGACGTATTATTAAAACTATTTATTTACTAATTTCAGGTTGGTTTGACACGACCCAAGGCTTCTATTAAGCCATATATAATCCATCTAATCATACTCACTGCCCCTGGTGAGCGGCACACGAAGTCCTCCGATGTTCATCAGTCCGGCGGACACATTAGTCCAGGCCTTCTGCTCATAAGAAGTCATTCCCACGAACTAAAAACAGGGAGGAAATGCAATGTTATCAATGGATTAAGATCGTATGCAGAGTTTTCCACTACTCACGGAATGCACCATGGCGTCGCAGAAGAAGTTGCCCAGATTGCATTCTCCGGCGGCGCAATCGTCTTTTGTAAGGTCCACCTTGGTTGTGCCAACAACCACCTTTCCTACTTCGTCTATCTGCGTCTTCCACGGCTGCATGGCCAGAAGCACCTCCTCATCTACGGTGAACACAAGGCACAAATACACATAATATAAACACCAAAAACAGAACTATATTCTAGGACTTTACACTAGTTAATAAACACAAATCACAACTTCACAACACAAAAAACAATTTTCGCACAGAAAAAAATAAGCACAGAAGAAAACAAGAAGGAAAATGCATTATAATTACAAAAATAATAACCACTTGAGAACTACAATGCTGTTTAAGTTGGTAAAATGCATATTGTTTCCAATTTCACGGGTTTATAAGATTGTATCAGCAAATGTGACGTTTAATTAGTGACTAATCACGCCATAATATAAAATACTAATATTTAACAACAAAAGAAAACCTTTATCAATGGGAATGGCTATCATCGAAAAACCCCAGCTAAAGTGTTTTCAACTAAAGTTTCATTTTGGGAACATACACAGGAAGAAAAGTGTACATAGGAAATAACACATATAATAATAATATATTATATTTTATGATTTTTCATATCAATTTTGAAATAACTCAAAACTAAAGTTTTCGAGGGCAAAAAGTTATACCAAATTTATATGGTAAAGAAACGGCTTGAACTCGGTTTCCGTTATCACAAAAATACAAAACATATATCTAAACCTATGTGTACTTACCCTCGGGCACCGACTGGTCCATGTAGAGCGGATTACCCTCGAAGTCTATAACATCACCGTTGTCATCGAAGTAGACCACCAGGTTGCCCACATAGCGGGCGTAGGCCGAGGCCTGGACGATAAGGACACGATGGCCAGAACTGTGGACCACCTCGGTGGGGTAATCTCCGGCTGCGCTGTGCGGACCAGGCGGATCACCAGTGTAAAGGAAGGTGTGCGAATGGGAGCCGACAATGACGTCGATCCAGTCGCCGGCATTGGCTGCGATCTCCTGGTCGACATCGTAGCCGCAGTGCGAGACCACGATGATGATGTTGGCACCTTGGGCCTTCAGCAGCTGGGCCTCTTCGCGGATAGTGTCGCTCTCGTTACGAAAGATCACCTTGCCTGTATTGGCCAGATCCTGCAGGAGATCAAGACATTGTCTAAGGAGTCAACAAGAATGACCCTCCCAATTCCACTCACGTAGGTCGTCTCCAGGATAACGCCAATCAATCCAATCTTGCGACCCGATCGCTCAATGATCATTGACTTGTTGTACTTGCCCTCCATTGTCGGTTCGTGAGCGCAATCCATGTTAGCCACCAGCATATTGGTGTTCACCGTCTCCAGGAAGGGCACAACACCCTCTACTCCATGATCGAACTCGTGATTGCCCAGGGTCTAGAAATAGTTAGTATCTGACTTGGTAGCTATGACTTAAAATACATTTTAAGGGTTTATCTAACAGAGTCATTTCTACTTGGAACCAATCACGTGTCTCTTGATATTATGGGAACTAAGATTAAGATAACCACTTACCATGGCATCGGCGGGCAAAAGGTTCAAAAGCTCTTGGGTGACGTTCCAGCGGCCGATGTTGTACCACAGTGTTCCCTGAAAGCTGTCGCCGGCATTGATGTAGATGGGATTGAGCTCGGCGTGCTCTTGGAGGAGTCGCTTTACTGTGTAGACAGTGCGAGGATAACCGCCAATACAGTATTCGCCATCGTCGCAGGTACCACCGGAGGTGTCCGTAGGATCGAACCTGTTGAAGATCACAATCGAAGCGGGGATTAGCAGTTGGAGTGTGGGCTCGTGTTGGAGTTCCCAATGCCGTGTATATATATCGTTATCGGGATCGTGATCGGAATCAGTACGTGGGCCTGATATGCCATGGTTTACGGCCATGTGTTGGCCATAAACCGATTCAATCTGATTAGTCCAAAGACTCTGGATTGCTGGTTTTCGGCCTTACCTGGCGTGCAGGTCGTTAATGTGTATGATGGACACGGGAAAGCCTTCCTTGTCGGCTGCCTCCGAAGCTGTCCACATGGCCAACATCACGGCCAGGGACAATAAAATTCGGTTGTAAGTGGTTGCCATTTCTCCAGCTGCACTTGGAATTTGGTAATCACCGAAAATAAAACAAAACAAAATTTATTCAAGTGTAAGCACACCCAGCCCGATGGCCGTCGATAAGGCAACTGAATGGCCAAAATCGCCACCAATCCAATGCCTGCGAATTCTGAATGGGTTTCGGGCCCTGAGACACTCGCACCGATCAGATCTGGACGATGGAGCCCCTCTCTCTTTCTCTCACTGATAATAGTATTGTTATAATAGGCACTTCATTCTCGGACTGCACTGAGGGAAATACTTACCAACATTGCTAAAAAAGATTGTCACAAACGTTTATATGATTTTCAAAAAAGAAAACTATTCCTTGATATTCTATTCTATTATTTTTGGCTTATAAAGGCTTACATTTTAGATTACAAAATCTTAAGACTTTGATATAGCTTATTATGGCAAATCAGATTAAATTGTAAGCTTAAATAATATCATAAAAAAATATATTTTTTTCTGTGTATCTCGTCGATTGCACATCATAGCATTTTTCCATTTTTGATTTTCCCACCAATTCCTATCAGATAAAAGACTGAATTAGTATGCAACGAAGAGATCAACTTTTGGATGAACTCCAGTTGGACTTTGTTTAGGAAGTTCTTAATAAGAACTAGTATGTAATGTGTAATATAAATGCTTACTTAAAGTATAACTAAGCTATAAAGTAAGAAGGTTTATGACTGTTTGTTTACTTTGTCTTAACACTTAGTTAAAATATTAAAGCTACTTTGTCATTTTAACACGAAATAGGAAATAAAAACTGAAGTCATAAATCTTGTTAAACAATTTTGCAATTATCTGTAAATAACAAGTTTGTTTTTTCGAAATATTTTGGTAACGCATATCCCTAACCTCATGAATATCCACTTGAGGGCTTTTTTCATAGGGTATCAAGCACTTAATGATATGCAATCATGATACCCGATAAGCCATTTGGTAAAGATACGGAAGAAACGGATACGGAGGGCGCTACTCTGGTAATATTCAGTTAGTGACACATGTTACACATGCTCTGCACTTGATGTATGAAGTGGCCTAAAGCCTTCTCTCAGCCGTGTGTTTATTACGTCCTGGCCAAAATAAAAACAATATATATGAGCGTGGGACCAGAACAGGCCGTAATATAACCGGCAACCGATTTGGTTTATTGCACCTTTGGCCAACACAAAAACAAATTGGCTTTATTACAGATTACAGTTAGACGAAAACCCGATCTGTGGCGCATTATCCGCACTATCTGCTCATATGTGAATAGACAGTATGACGATAATGCCCACTATCGCACTTATGATACTTGAATCTACCATCAAGTTCTGAAGCACTTCATGTTCTAGGTTATATATAAATAGATTATACAAATTACAATATCTATAACATTGGAAATTGTATTCATTTGACTTAACTTTGAGTTTATCTTCTTAACCCTCGAATAATCATCACCAAAAGTCGCTAATCAAAAATTATCTTACTGCTTGAAAGCTTTGGATCCAAAACAAGTATATTATCCGCTGATAAACCAGATTTTAATCAATTCTTGCCCAATAACGACTTTATATAAACCAAAGTACTTTAGATAATGCAGATAATAAACGGTTGAGAAAAACACGAAGGAACTTAAGAGATCTCAATAAAGTTACACATATCCAATATTTGTTCTGTGCCAAGGTAATATCAATTTTCTCCTTAATATCTACGTAAATATTGCATGTTTACCTATTTTTCTTATCTTGCACTTTCCGATCAATGCAATCAGTATGATGTACGAATGTAAAATGAAAAAATAGTAGCCAAGATTCAAAATCAGAGTCGTAATAGTATAATATTTTTAACTTGACTTTTTACAAATGTCAAAGCTTTGGATAGCTTCCCAATGAAAAGCCCACAGGGAAAGGGTTAAAATAAAAATCGTACGTCTGCGGTATTCACCCGTATAGCCATCAATCCCCGCAGGGGTAGATCGAGTATGGCCACAGGATTGTACATATCTGTATAAAATAGTACAATGATTTATTTGATTCTCATTGACAATAGATTTAGAGCTCTTCGTGTATTACTCGTAGGTATAAAGCACACTATGCATTTAAGTATTATGTTTGTCTGTATATAGATGTCAGCGCAAGTATGTATATATATAATGTATGTATATATATATATAATATATATATATATATAATATAAAGTGTATATAAATATAATGTATATGTAATATGTCTGTGTATAAGTATCAATGTTTTAAGTTAATTGCTTAGCGTAAAGCACAGAGAATTTTGATATGAGAATGACTGAGAACATTCCTGCATGCGGTGCGCATAGAGATCGGATACGGGCTCCACTTTGTCCTAGTATGTAGCATCTACTAATCACCATCTCCATCTCCAACATCCACTCCAACGTCCCAGTCCGCTGGTTTAACGCAAAGGCAACAATGAGAAAACTACAACGGAAAAATCGACAAACAAGTGACTAGAAATTATGATAACTCTCCCTGATTTGAAAGTCGTGTGTTGAGCATTTTTGGGGCTGATTCCACAGACCCCTTCCATCTAGTGAAAAACATCCATGAACGGAAAGTAGGCCTGCTCCGGTTCGAGTAGATCGACCAGGAAGCATACGGTGCCGGCCACGCCTTCGTACAGACTATGCGGACGATCTGGTGTCCTGGCGCGCAGCTTAAACTCCGAATTGGTCAGCAGCTCCATGAACTTATGCGCTCTGTACAGGTACTTCATTTCGTTGGTCAATCTGAACAGCAGCAAGAACACATAGCCATTGCCAGCCACACCATGGCAGATTCCTGGTCCCTTGCGCAGGAATCCTTTTTTCCAAACCATATCTGCACAGCGACGTAGCGAGGCTAAGTACTTCTCCTCCTTGAAGATCAGATAAGCCTTGGCTAGCACATATACGGCACCGGGGGCCCCGTGGCACCAATGTACCAGACGCTTATCCCGGCCGGAACGCAGATCCTCCAGGGCCACTGGAAAGTTGCCATCGCTGTCCTGTAGCTCCAGAAAGAAGTCAATAGAGCGCTTAATGTCACGCAATTCAGCGGCCGGCGCTGAAATCGGAACAGTGCGGAACCACGGGCTGTCCAGCAGCATGTGCAGAATGGCACATAGGCCGTGGGCTGCTCCTAGGTACTCCGTACCATGGTACTGGTACATTAGCGGACATGGCGAATTGTTTAACTTGCTGTACTCACGGCCACTGGTCACGATCAGTTGACAAATGGAAACCAGGTCGTCGTCGGTAATCTTCTTTTCTGGCAGAACATCATTCAACCAATAGCAGCCAGATAGATAGCCGGCACGGCCCACCAGAACTTCGTCACAGCCATATTTGGTATGCATAAACTCCTTGCTGGACGGGATGCCCGACTTGAAGTTGGCAAGGTCATTGGACAGCTCCTCGGTGTCTTTGACCGCTTGCGAAATGGCTGCCGAAACGGCGTAGATGCCGGCATTACCGCAAAGGAAGGAGAACCGCTCAGCGGAGCGTTTCTTGTACCGCTTCGCATTCGCCTTGGCGTTCCGAATGAAGGAAGCTGCGTGATCCAGGGCTGGATATAAATCGCGTGTCTGGTCGCAGCTGTTCAACTTCCAGAACATGAAGGCTATGCCTGCATTGCCCACATATAGATCGCCACGACTGTCCTCCTCATCATTGTTCGGATGACAGTGCTCCAGAATAGCATCCACGTAGGTGCAGATCAGGTTCTTAATGTGCTCTTCATCGCTGGCGAACGGTGTGTTCTCGCCTCCAGCAAAATCGGCGAAGGGATTCTTCAAGAAGCGACGCTCCATGGCAAATTCTAGGCCAGAATCGGCCTGCTCGTCCGTTTGGTTGGTGGTCACCTGACCTGTATGCTTGGCGTCCTGTTCGATTGCACTTGCAATGGCACCTGGTGTAATCAGGAATGCGATTTATCAGTGCAAGTCAAGAAATCGATTTGCCGGCTTTAAGGGCGCGGCCGGGCGTCTGGCCACCACATCTCCTCCTCCTTCATTACCACTTCAGCTAAACTTACCTGTCTCTGGTGGAAATGGCAGTCGGGACTTGGTTAAGTACCTTCTGGCGATGGGATAAATCTGTAAAATAGAAAAGTTATGTTATTGAGTATGATGTGACATTGTATGACAATTTCGTTATTACCGAAATACGAGATGTGTTGCGAGTGACGAGAGTGCTTGTGAAGTGTGCTCGATTTGGGAAACCCGTGTGATAATTTCACAGCCAACTGAATTTTGAAAAGTTGGCACTTCTATGGAATAACTAGTTTTTTGCTGCCGAACTGACCGACACGAAATATTTAAACAATTCCTGGCAGGAATACTCAGGTCCTGTCAGAAAAGCTAAAAGAAATATCGATGTCATATCGATATATCGCTGATTCTGACATAATTTCCCCATTGATTTTGAAATTAAGTATAAATGTTTAAAATACAAATCATTATTATTACTTAATGAGATAACAATATTTAATTGGTAAATGGTAACGAGCACTAATGTATAGTGCTGAATATATCGATAAATTATATCGGTTTAAAGTAACGTACAAACATGCAAGGTAAAAAGTTACTAACCATTTAATTAAGTGGTTAATGAAGAAAATTAAAGAAATGCCATTATTGGCGGTCAACTATCTTATCACAACCATATGAACACTATGGTCAAAATAAAGATTAGCTTTAAGAAATTTTGATATCAATCTATCAATCATCTATCTTCGTGTTAAACTGATCTTGTCCTGAGTTTAGTTCGAAAAACAATGTTTTACATTTTGCTTATTAAGTCGATCGGTTTATTTTAACAACAGTATAAATATATATCAGGAGTATAATCCTTGCATCACATGTCCTTGTTCGGGGCTCACTTCCTGCGCTGACCACCGCTCAGAATGGTCACGATGCGGATGAATATGTTCAGCACATCCATGTAGATCGACATTGAGCTAAAAGAAAATGCCATATTTTAATTTTTTTCAGAATTGATTCCCTGCGGCATTCATTGACTTACGCGTTGATGGGATCGAAGGGAGTGTAGCTGTACTGGGGATGGATCTCAGCGCGACGCACCATTCGCTGGGTGTCGTAGAGCAGGAAGCCGCTGAACAGGACAAGGCCGCCGTACAATGACATGGAAGCCAAACCTGCGAAAAATAAGATTCGAGAGTCAATACAATTAAGAAACACAGTTTTTTCTGGAATAATCTCGACACTTACCAGCGCCCAACGCCGTAGTAGGCGGTAGCCACATGGAGGCCAGCGAGGAGGCAAATACCACTCCCAGACCGATGGCTAGAGGGCCACCCATGTAGAGGAACTTATCGCTGGGTGCACACACGGCGATGGTGGACAAGCCACCAACAATGCCGCCCGTGTAAAGGGCAGCTCGCGTTAGAATCGGTCCGCCCATGAAGCAGATGGGTGCGATTACGGCACCAAGAATAGCACAGTGCACGGCCCAAGCCAGATGCTTGGCTCCCAGACCCGGCTGGTATTCAATCGAGCGGGCCACCGCCCCGCTACCGATGACCAGGGCCAGCGAAGCGATGGTCGCCTTTGTGGTTAAAGGGAAGTGAAAACTTGGATTATGTTCTGTTGTGTCTGGTGTGTTTCTTTAGAATAACTCTAGGGTGTAAGGGACTTACCAAGATGCCACCACGAGAGGCCAGCTCCAGAAGGCGGTGCGAACGGAAGGTGGCTGCTGCGGCGGCTGCGGTCAGGACACAAGAGCCACCGAAAAAGGCATAGGTGCTATGGATTCGGTCCTTTACATACTGGGGCCACATGCTGTAAAAGGAATGATTTTAGTTATTACGTTTCGTTGTGCGTCTGACAGGAATAATGGCCCTTCTTCTTGGGGGTATTATTTTAAAATTAAAACTACAATATCTCATTTAATTGTATTTTCTTATACGACCACGAAGACGATCAAAATTTAGAAAGTCAATGAGAAAGGAAGTATAGTGACAAACTAATTTGTATTTCGTAAAGTAAGTCTTTAAAACATCATCTTAAATAAGTTAGCCCCAAAAATTTTAAATGATTTCCTATGACCTTAAATATAACACTCACATGGCGTTGTCGGCGATGCTGGTGTGCTTGCCCAATCCCACGCCATAGTAGCAAAGGGCGCCCAATCCTACGGCAGCTGCTCCGGCGGCAGCGCCCTTGCCCATAGAGTAGGCTGCAATGCGAGAAAACGATGGTGAGTTATAGATATAGACAAGATTACACAAGAGCTTTACCATTGGCACTTGGTGGACCCATCAGTTTCTCTTTGAGAGAAGGAGCCCTCGCTTGCTCCACGGGAGCACGGGTGCGAACAGGTCCACGGGCATAGCTGCGCACTGCGGTGATATTGGGATTGCCCCGGAGAAACTGTCCCGGAGACTGGGACAGGATTTTGAGACTCCCGGCTGGACGGGCTGCAGAAAGTGCTAGACGCAGCAACATTGTGTTGTTGTGGTGAAATTAAGATGGATTCCAATAGATTCCCTTCGGATGAGTGTTATCTGGATCGAAGTTCGGGTTCCTATATATAACGTTTGTGTTTTTACCGAATAACTGTGATTGTTAACAGCGCTTTAATATTTTGTTGTTTCGTAGCAATATTTTACTATTTTGCTGTTTTTTGTAATCATCGATACCTGAGACTATCGGTATTCGATTTTTGGAGTCGATACATGGATGGACATATCGCAGAACGAGACGAATACCTCTGATGTCGATATTTAAAAAAATATCGCAACAGTCAAAGGATCGAAAGAAAGCTTTGACTTTTTGTAACGGTTGTATTGTTGTAAAAATAATAAAACACAGTTTATGTACTTAAATTAGTTTAGGTTTATTTTTAAAGGCCAATAAATGTTATTTTTTCTTATATTTGTTTGAAGGGCGAACGTTAAGTGATCCAACAACTTTCTGGACACTGTAAGTATGTCCAGACCACTTTTCACACCTGATATTTCCTTGCCGGCGCCGTTGGGATCTCACCATGAGAACGTGGTCTCTTATCGATCACGATCAACTCGGTAAGAGAGGACAACCGCAGAGTTCCATAGTGGTCGTATGTGTTGGTCATCTCCATAGTTCCCTCGGGATTGGTTTCATAGCTCTTGCACTCGTACAATGGGCAACAGCGGGGATATTCGGGATTATCGTCTTTGGGTGGAACTCGTTTGCAGTCACCCTTCGTCAGTTTCGGCACTTGGCAGCTGGAAATTATTATGTATTATTATATAGATCGTGGCGTGAACTGTTAAATTATTATTGTTGTCTGAGTCTAAGAATGTACATACCTGTCTTCCCAAAGCCGCGAAGATTCCAGGCATTGAACCCGGATGCACTGTCCTTCTCGGGTGAAGATCTCACCTACGTAAAGTTGCCTTCCTGTCATTGTATCCATGCAGAACTGCTGATTGTCCATATATGATTGCGCTATAAAGCGAATTACAAAGTATGTACATGTAGAGATTCTTGTTCAATATATTCGGAAAAATAGATTTTTCCAATAAATTCGTTTCTTACGGCGATATGGGATTCCTTTACATCCCCCAATGATCAAAGAGATCAGTAGGATAATATATGTTACGCTGTTGATTGATTCCATTTCAGCGGAATTTTCGATCGACCGACAGAATAGCCCGACGTTTGCAAAGTTTAGCGCACAACTGAGGTCCGATCGGTTAATCTTTCTTCATTCTTATATTAAAAAAAAAACACAAAGTGCGATGTTTATTTGTATGGAATCATACACTTACGACATTTGCGCGCTTTCTCTACAATAAATTTAACAAATTTTACTCAGATCTGCTGGATGTTTATGCGTACAGGCCCACCAACAGTGCGTTTCATAATTGTTAAATATTCAGAAAGTTTAAACGAAAGTGAAAAAGGGTTTTGGAAATGAATTTACGTTTTGATTTGCTTTTTTTTACTGCAATGAAGGCATATTAATTACTTATTTTAAATCTCATTTCATTTATAGAACATTTATTAATAAGATTAATTTGATTTTCTTTTCAGATTAGCAATACAATTTTGTACTTTCACGATCAGTTTATAAAATGTCACTTTGACTTATACTTATGGAACGCATCTTACAATGTTGTGCTTATCTCCTTACAGCAATAAAAGCAAGAAGAACAACAGCAATTCATCGGAATATGCAAAAAGAAACAAATATCGATCCATGGTGTGTATGTTTAGGTATTATTATGTACATATATATATGTCCGTCTGACCTGTTGTCTAATCAGCCTATAAATACATATACTCGTGCATATATATAATAGAATTCATGAAAATATAACCAATTGAATAGTTTATAAAAACTTTGATTTGATTTTAATATATTTTGCCATAATGAAAGCAAAGTTTCCAGATCTTAGAAAAGGATCACAAGAAATTGTATTGAAGAGAAGTAAATTGATAAAATTGTATAATATTGTGATTAATTATTTGCCCACCTTCTTTCAACCGCTGCTGTATAATTTGATATGCTCTTGGTTCAATTTTAAAAATTTGTTTATGTTTTGGTTTAGCTCGCTCCGGGCGATCATGACCAATGCCATTAGATTCAATATGCAGACAGTCGGGCACTGGGTCGCGGATGAGTCATCATTAGCAGTTCTTAAATTTGCTTAAGTTGGCGCCTTTATAAGATATACTATCATATTTAAAACTGTTCTAAAAAAAAGTATTTATCTAAGAAATTTGGTTACAAAATAATTTTGCCATATATCCCATTTTTATATTGGAAGTTACCTGTGTTAAAACTAATATAAAAATGTTATTAACTTACAGCTCATTTTTCTTTTCCGGGATTTTCCCGTTTTTTTAAAATGCGGGTACCTGATTTCCACGTGACGACATGGAGAGCGGCTGGGGAAAATAAGCTGTCATCCCAATCCATGTGTGTAATCAGTGTAAGTCGTCTAATCAAACGATTAGAGCAAATTCGATGACCCCAAACGATGACTCCCAGTCGAGAGACGGAGAAATGTAGAGAAATGTTCGCACGACTGCAGCTTGTGGGACATCTTTTCCGGGGCCAAAATCCACTTGAACTTGGGTTTGGTGACGGAAACGGAAACGGAAACTGTCACGAAGACCTTTTACATTCTGCTTCATTTTTCAGTTTCCATTTTCAGCAGAATGAGTCATCATTTACAAAAAATTTGTCTTAAGAAATGTGGCCTATTTTCCGATTGCTGAAAATTCGTTCAATGCGTTGCATACTTCTTAGCTGAGTCACAAAATCAACATTTTAAAATTTTATGAGGGAAGTTAATATATATTGAAGTTTTAAAGGCTAGTGTAACATTAAGTTCTAATTAAAGTAAGTATTTATCAAACTATTTCTTATTTATACATACCTTAAATACTTACATACCCATTCTGAGTTCATTTAATGACGTTTTGTATATGTTTATTGCGATGTTTACCTAAAGCTCTTACTTTTCTTTTACTTTCAAAGGCATAATATATTATTAGATTGAGCAATATATCTCTCTTAGTTTCTGATGGTCTTGAATTTAATTAATGTGATCAATTAGCTTCAATAATCAAATTACGAATAATATTAAGGCTCAGTTAAATGAGCTCATAAAGAAACACAGTTTAATGAATTCAATCAAATTTTCCGCCACTTTTGTTTATTGGGGAATGAAACTTCATAAGGCGGACAAGCAAGTTGGTTTTCCCTACTCTTATTTCCTATGTACTTTGATTCCATATTTGTTTTGCTTTAAAATTGTATAAGTTTTTTGATATTCTTGCAGATTTTATACAAATTTCTGAACCGATTGTTCATATAACAAACTTCTTATATAAAGTTGGGTGTCTGGAATGGAGGAGTTGGTGCTTTTGAAGTTAAAAGATACTTTCTGAAAACTTACCTTATGGCAAAGTATTTGAGCGTTTGTTGATTCCTTAGGTAAAAGTAAGTAGGTTTTTGTAAATGCTCGGAGCATAGGGACTTGGTCGCCGATAAGCTTTGAGCCCTCGCGGCGATATTACACTAACAATTTTTCGTTTTCCCCTTTCCGCCTAATTACGTCACCAAATGCAATAAATTTTATTCTTGTTTCTTCCTGGAACATCTTCGAGCACTTACACTGAAATTCATTCCTTATACCTTCTGATTGCAATTTTGATCATATTTCGCATTTGGCGGGTCCGGAAAAGGTCAGTAAAAGGAGTGATGATTTTATTTCTCTCAGTGCACTGCTGCCAACCAACATAAAAACGTCACTAAATATGTGCAAGCTTTCTTTTATTTGTGCTAGTAAATGCTCCGCCGTAAGTCGATTTTAAGCACCCCTGATGTACTATATCATTAATCAGTATTCCTCTATCTTAAAGGCTTGCCTTAACTAAGATATTAGATAATAACTTACCCTATAAAGATGATTGGATTATGTTGACTGATAAGTGTATCTGATGAAGGGCTATGCCGATCGATTGGCGACGATATGACTGAGACGACTGAGCTTTGACCCAAAGATAAAAAACGGTATTGAACCTCATTCACATACAGTTTAGGGGTTGCCCTAACCGTGACGCGATCCTCACTGCGTCATTAAAAAATCAAAAAAAAAAAAAAGAAAATACAAAAGCACACCAAAGATCAATGGGTTCGGTGTGTTGCGGTGCTCATCGTCTCGTTTCAGTTTCAGTTTCAATTTCTGCTTCTGTTTCGGTTTCGATTGTATTCGGTAACCGATTCTCAGATACTCAGATACTCAAACTGGGGGTTGGACTTGGACTTGGGGCTCGGTTAAAGCCCGCCGCTCGCCGGCAAATCAGTTCTGCTCCGATCGCGCCACTGCGCAGTACGTAACGCTCATATTTTTCAGATATCTGCGACATTTCGTCGAGTGAGTTGTGCTCTTGTTCTCTTGGATATAAATTCACTTTAATACACTCAAATCATAATGGTTACATATGCTTTTTTGATCTCTTAATACCCTTCTTCTTCCCGGAGCTCCTAATATATGACTGTTTTTTTTTTTCACGTGCAAAGTGCTGTGGTGTGTGTGTGAAGTAGCTTTTGAGTTGGGGCAACCAAATGCAACAATAAAATGCAATTAAGCTGCTCAAATCAACAATAAATTGAATTAAAGCGCGTCAACAGCGCTTAACTACTTCAGCGACAACAGCGACTGAAGCGCGAGCTGAGCGAAATGTGGGTGAGAGTTTAAGGCTTCGAATACCCGGTTTATGGATCTATCTCCAACTCCGGTCTCTGATACTCGCTTGACTTTTTGACTTACCAACACGTTCGATAATGATATATAAATATTGTACTATACCTTTAGCTAATTAATGCAAAAACTCTGCTGGCTTGCATTTGCATAAAATTTACTGAATAACTTTAATGCAATTAATCCGCTGTGATCTTTCATGTTTTCACCATTTCGCCCGGTTTATTCAATTTTAATTTCAATTTATTTTCAGTTTTTGTTTTGTTTTTGGTTTTGCCCTAGTCTAGTCTGCTGCTCTCGTCGGAGCAATTTAATTAACATTTTCAGTGAGCTGTTTTTGTTGTTCCTGGTAAATATGAAATTAAAGTGCAATTAACTATTATTTGTTTTTGTTTTTGTTTTTTTTTCGCTGGGTTGAACTTGCGGCCAAAGGGATTTCCGTTTTTGAAAGAGACTCCGCTCGATTATTCGCCGTCCGTCGAATGTGTTCTGTGCATCTTAATGAGGATAAATTTGTTTATGGCCACTCCCACTATCGCTACGCCCGTTCGGTTGGTGTCTGGCAAAGGGGCGTGACTTATTGGCCATGCATTATGCCATGTTAATTGAAACTTGTCGCTTGGCTAGCTGATTATGCAGACTCAATATTGATTGGACCATGACCATGTCCTGTATGGTTGGTGTTTAAAATAATCTAAAGCGAGTTGAGATCATCAGGATTTTTGATTATCAATAAAGTTTCTCAGGTGTTTACCCGAGTTATCGCGCCAGAAATGTTCATTGAACCTTTGAGTTGCCTGGTAAATGAGTTATCTGATCTTTAAGTTGGGGTATATTCACTTTTAGTTTACATTTGATTGGTTTTTAATATAATATATATTATACGAGTATATAAAGCAGACAACTCCCTCTGCAATAAGCATATGTTACCAAATGCATTTACATATTTATTATTCATTTCAAATACCCTTAACAATGGCTTAACAATAGAACTAAAACCTGTCACTTAATTGAAGGTCCGACAAAGATGACAGTAATAGCGCATTTTGTAAGGCCAGAATTGGCACATTGTAAACACAGTACTTGACTGTCAATTGATGAGACATTAGTTGCTATAATGATATACGAGTATTGTAAATATTTGCAAATTATCAGGTTCAGGCACCTGGTATAGCCTTATAAATAAACTTTGATGGGCATTAAAATGTCTTGTAATTCTATAAAATCAAAGTTAGGAGTTTTCTTAAGGATTTCAAAGAAAAGCGCTCATTGTTCATTATATATTTATAATTTTTATTACAAATATACCAAATAACAGGGTATCCAGAATATAGGGCTTGCCAATCTTTGTTAATCAAGTTCTCGTTCTGGGTTTTTTGAATTAGCATAATATGGAAATTAGCTTGTGCACCTTACATTTCCCATTCAATCGGTTTTTTGACTTTCAAATTTAAAATCTGAATTTTATTTCTGTGTGTTTTTGTTTTAACTCCCTATATTTTTTTGGTTTGTTTTTGTTTTGTTTGTTTTGCAGTTTCGATTTCAGTCAAATGCGGCGCTAAAATGTAACTTCCACCAAAGAAACCAACGATAATCGATAAACGATAGAAAAAAATTGAAAGCCAATTAAAGAAATCGCAAGGGGTGAAGTTCGATTGTTGTTCCCGCTTCGATGACTATGTTTTGGCACCAAAATGTAGATCAACAGCCGGATCAACGGGACTCAGCAAAACAGCCAAAGAGTTCAGCTCCCACAAAGAGACTGAATATCAGCTTTAATGTAAAGATCGCGGTGAATGTGAATACCAAGATGTCCACCACTTATATCAACCACCAGGCTCCTTATTCCCATTCCCCAAATGGTTCGCCCAGCAAGATTGTTGTCCGTCAGCAGAGCAGAAGCTTCGATCTCCGCCAGCAACTGGCACGTTTGGGTCGCCAAATGGCCAGCGGTCAGGATGGCCACGGTGGCATATCCACTATCCTCATCATCAATCTCCTCCTGCTGATTCTTCTTTCGATCTGCTGCGATGTCTGTCGATCCCACAACTATTCGGTACATCAGAGTCCCGAGCCCGTAACCAAGGACCAAATAGGCCTGCTCCGTCCCAAACTGGATAGCGATGTCGTGGAAAAGGTTGCCATCTGGCACAAACATGCCGCCGCCGATCCGCCCAGCATTGTCGAGGGCATCGCCATTAGTAGCAGACCCCGGGCTCCCCCATCTTCAGCGGATTCACATTCGGAACGGGATTTGCCGGAGGAACTGCATGGTGTTGACGAGCGAGTCGTCCTTGAACGGGTTACACGGGATTGTGTCCAGCGATGTATTGTTGAGGTGAGTACATTTTTTTTTAAATTTTTATGATAAAAACTGGCAAGAAAAAGAAGAACATGTGAGGCTCTGTTTTTACTTTTTTGGTTAGTGGTTTTAACGGTAAAAGAAAGTTTACATTTTCTGCGAAGCCTTAAATTTCCTAGTTCTTTATGTTTTTAAAGCTTAGAATTCATAATTATCAGATTATAAACTACTTTTTAAAGCTAAAAACTTTAAAGAACATTTAGTACATTCTGGAATAGATATTTGGCAGGGAGACTATTGCTTAAAAAAGGTACAAATTGACATGCACTTCATGTCCTGTTTTTGCTATATCCTTGGATTAGTGTAAAATAGCTAATGAGATATATTTGTATTCCATTAAAAAACACATAAAAAATTCTAGGTTTCAGGGCTAACCAACATCCATCAGCCGTCAGACGAAGAAAAAAGCGACATTCGGGCGTGAAATGTTTACTCGTAGTTTTGCATATGTCAACGATATCGCTGAAAATCAGAAAACAATGTGAACAAGTGCAGTGCCAAGTAAGCTACATCAGCACGTAGCTCAAACTAGTTTTTTTTTTTTTTTAGTTTAGACATTAACCACTGACTCTGAATGAATTTTCCGATTGTTCAGTGGTAGTTAATCGCTTACTCGCACAACTAATTAAATGATATGTATAATTGAAGATCGTCAAGTCGGTGATTACGACGATGACTGTGGGCTGAATGAAGTGACATTTCAATTTGCCGTTGCCGGTTGTTTAACATACCAAAACTCACACCATTTAGCTCACCAGATCGGGATTAGAATCTTTCTCATTATTTGGGTTAGCTCTACATCCCCCCCTTTGGCTCCTCCTTGGCTTTATTGCAATTTGCATACTGAGTGGGTGTGTTTTATCTGGCATTTGGGCGATGTCGCCCGCCTCGTACAGCCATGGATATGGCTGTGATCCACAAACTGCCAGCCCAATATTCTATATCTCACCTATATACTCTATATATATTCATCATTTATACGCTTCTGCTTAAATTCCTGAAGAGCTTAATTAAAAATGATTTTAATTATGCAGTCGCTCGACTTCGTTTATTTGGTAAATTTTCATGTTCATGTTGGAAATGCGGATGGTTAGAGTTCAGAGGTTGTATATTGGGTCACAAATGTTATGTGATGTATGTAAAGTAAAGAAAAGCTATAAAGAAATATATGAAATGTTCCGAAAAATAAGGGTTTTTAATCTAAAAACCTTAAAAATTAAAAATTTGTTATGGTTTTCCTATCAAAAGTTTGATCATTTTTAATCTTTACTACCCTTAAGATTACAGAATAGTAGATGTCTACGTACTTGAAGCTCCACTGTACTTTGCTGAACAAAGCTAAAATGTTGAAGTACATATGTTTGTTGTGTGTGTGTGTCTGTGTGGGAGTGCGTCAGCATTTCTACTACCCTACCCCCAGCCCCATATGTACACCAGTACACCAGTATTTTGTGCTGTGTAAATGTGCGGACAGTAATTACTATATTATCGCGGGGAGTGTGTAATAGGAGTACTCTGCATCTGCATGTTAATCAGTGGCTCCACTTGCACTTCATTCATTAGGAAAGCGCCATTTCAGTAATCCGCAATTCGACACTACTGTAATGCCAGCCCCTTACCAATTAAAATTAATGATAACCGAGCGAGTTTTGCGCTGGGATTGAGAATACGAGAAGGGATTGTGTCAGAGGATTGGATTCAACTTAATGACCACCACATGGTTATTCACAATGATTTATTGGCTCATTTTCGGAGTGTTTCATATTGAAAATTATGTATTAAGATTGATATATTTTGCACAAAACAAATTATTGTAAATCTATAATATTTCTTAATCTTAACTTAGAAGTATTATTTAGCTTAATCGTTTGAGTTGGTCACTAGACCAAAAGTTCCACGTAACTGGCTTTCTCATAACCTAGAATCTCGTTGCGAACAAAAGAAATTTTATTAAGATGTTTTGCCTTGTTGGAATCGAGAGTGAGCAAAATGTTTAGTCAATTTATGTCTATATGTAGGTAGCCCCTTCTAACAATCGAGGTGCAATTAATAGGGCCATTAACAAGTATTAGAAAAATATTTATTTACTTTTAATGATAACTCGTTTGTTTCATTATAAAAAAGTCTCGATAGATGCTTTATTAGATATGTTACTTTAAAACTTAATACAAGATTTCATTACTTTATTCAACAGAAATTGCTTGCTTTTTGATATGAAAATTAATTCAGCCCGAATGTACATCCTTCTTATATTTTCTTTTATAATTTTCTAGAATTTCTTCCCTTTTCTTACAACTATAATTTTAGGCCGTGCTGTGTGTGCGCTCATCACTTCTCAAGTGTATTTTCCTTAAGCTTGCTTTTCCCGAGCCTGACGGCAGCAACAACAATGGCACAATAATGGTGTCAATAACACACCAACCCAGTCTGGCGGCGGCCTTCCCAGCCCCCAGCCCACCAGACCGCCCCCTTTTTAATGACTGTATGTGTGTGTGTGTGTGGGTCGGCTTCCGAGTTAATGTAATAGAAATTGTACAACAAAAGATGAGCAATGACGACATGAAAACCCCCAATGCCAATTAGTCTCAGACCCCAGGCTCTGGCCCAGGCTTTCGTCTTCTTCTCAAGATTTTCTCTTTTTATTTTATTTGTTAGGAGAATGGAGAATGTAGAGGGGAGAATTGAGAAAGGAGAACGGAGGGAGAGCTATTTCTGTTTGTGAAAAAGCCAATCAAGCTAAATTAATAAAATATTACGTAGAATTCTAAATTAAATTGACGCGTGTGCGAAAAAAAAAGGAAAACACAAACACCAGAAAAATACTTTAGAAAAGGGAGTGTGCGTGTGTGTGTGTGTGTGTGTGGTTGGCTGAGGGAAATCCAAATCCGTGTGCGTGAGGGGAAATCCCTTGGTAATTACTAGTCCATTTAGCAAGCCAAGGCAACACAATTAACAAAGTTTTTTGGCCATTTTTAGGAGTTTGTAATTGGTGCATGGAGAAAGAGGAAGTTGGTGTGGGGTTGTATTACCTCTAAATGGACTAAATTGTATTTTAAGTACTTGCTTTTATTATTTCTCCTTTCGTTTAGCAACTAAAACGATTGTGCATTTTCCTGACCAAAACTAAAGTACAGATTAGTTTTCACTTAACCGAAAAATGTTCCTAAACTTTCTGCTGGATGAGATTTTGTAAATTTTGAAAGGCTAAATTTAGGTAAAACAATAATGGTAGATCTTTTATTAGGCAATATTTTAATTTATTAAACCAATAAAATCCAACCAATATTTAATCAGAGTGCCTAAACGAATCTATTTTGGCAACTATCAAATTGCTTTTCTAGCTAGTTAAGTTTTATAGGTGTTGTTTTGATGAGTTCTTAGGCTTATTTTGGTGCCTCATCATCACCACCTTCAAGTTTTGCATGGTTGACCCCGTTTCGAGCCGGTATGTCTGTCTAACCCTTGGCTAGTCAAAGTCTAGGGTATGCAAATGGATTTCGGCCAAGCGCGGTAAACTTGTTTCTATTCAATTTATGCAGCAACAGTGCTTCTCGGAAATCTAAAAAAAAAAAGCAAACAATATTTATGTATACATAGGAGTATGTATACATATGTAAACAAAAACCATTTAATCAAGAGTATACATATATATCTGTTTATGTTATGTGCAAAGCTCAAAGTCTTTCCCTGCTCACCAATGATAATTTATCGGAATAATTGAGCCATTGGCAAGGCTATTGTTTTAGATATGCGGTCATTCGGCTTTTTTCCCATACAAACTTACCGCAACTTCCGTTCCCAAGAACCCAAAAAAAACAAAAAACCAAAAAAAAAAAAAAAGATACTAATTGCTTTCACATTTCTTGTTATTTATATCCCTTTCCAGGAGGATCTGTTTCTGGACGAGTTTGGGATACAATGTGACAAGGCGGACAACGGGGAGAAGTGCTACAAAACACGCGTAAGTCAGAGGGATTCGGCGGTGCCGGGGGTAATGAAATGGGATAGGGTATAGGTAATCCGACACCTGAGTTCACGCTCTGGGTTGACCACACTTGTTAAGATCAATTGGACACGAACTCAAAATGCATAATCCTCTGCCAGTCATTCTCCTTCTCCAGGCCACTGAGGAAGCCATCGAACAGGATCTTCATGAGCAATCCTCGTCCTAGTTTGGTTCTCATCCTGGGCTCCTTACCCATTCCCGCTTTCAACGTTTTACTTGATGGCACTATCGTCATTATTAAGTTGGCAAAATTTACTCTTTACCATAAATTTCATGAACTTTTTTCTATAAAATGATTTTAAAATGTGAATTTACTAATTCATTTTTTTGGCATGAAAAGCCCTTGTTGCTGTGCCTGATCTTAAACGGATCCTGATCTCTGGGAAACTGAAGGGTCTCTAATAGTGGGCCATTGCTTGTCGTGTCTTTTCTCGATATTCCTCAACGTGTTCTTAACCCATTTAGGATCCATATGAATTGACTTCTATAATAATGACTTATATCCATGTCTTTCCGCAGTGCGCCAAGGGCTGCGCCCAATGGTATCGAGCCCTCAAGGAGCTGGAGCCGTGCCACGAGGCCTGCGTAAGTGGCAGCCCATCACCAATATTCATCCTTTCCTAGAACACAATCCTGACCTCAATCCCCTAACCCGAACCTTATCCTCGTACACATACTCATACCCAGATCCAGATCCAGCTCCAGATCCAGTCTGACCGCCTTCGTTTTTTCCCCTTTTGGCCCGCCCGCAGATGTCTCTTCAGTTCTACCCTTTCGACATGCCCTGCATCGGAGCCTGTGAGATGGCCCAGCGAGACTATTGGCACCTTCAGCGACTAGCCATTAGCTACTTGGTGGAACTAACCCAGCCGCAGCTGGAGCGGGCTCCGCGGTCAGACGGACAGACCACGCCGCTTACTATTCGCTGGGCAATGCATTTTCCGGAACACTACCTGTCCAGTCGGCCCTTTAACATCCAGTACCAGTACGTAGATCATCACGGAGAGGAACAGGATCTGGAGCAGGAAGACCAGGCTGGGGGTTCCAGCGCCTGGTTTAATCTAGCTGACTACGACTGTGATGAGTACTTCGTTTGTGAGATCCTCGAAGCCCTCATACCGTACACCCAGTATAGGGTAAGCTAGAATTATTATTATTAATAATATTAATTAATATTAATTATTATAAATATTTACAGTTCCGCTTCGAGTTGCCATTTGGCGAGAACGGAGACGACGTACTCTACTCCCCAGCCACGCCCGCCTATCAAACACCTCCCGAGGGCGCACCCATTTCGGCTCCGGTTATCGAGCACTTTTTGAGTCTGGACGACAGTCATCTGGCAGTCCACTGGCATCCTGGTCGTTTCACCAATGGACCCGTCGAGGGATACCACCTGCGCCTTAGCTCCTTCGAGGGCAACCGAACAATTGAGCAGGTGAGGCATCTAACCCTTCATCTTTTTGGCATTTTCCCTTTAAAGAATCATTTTCAATTTTCAGCTGGTTCCAGCTGGGCGTGGAAGTTTCATCTTTTCCCAGCTTCAGTCGGGCACCAACTATACATTAGAACTGACGATGATCAATAAGCAGGGTGAGGGTCCGATAGCCAAGGGGTTTGCAGAAACGCATCCCGCCCGAAATGATAGGCCTGTAAAGGATTTAACCGAAGGTATCCTTTTGGCCGGACGAAGGGCTGTGCTTTGGCAATCTCTAGAGCCAGCAGGGGAGAGTTCAATGATATATCAGTCGCAAGAGGAACTAGCTGATATCGCCTGGTCAAGGCAAGAGCAACAATTGTGGCTACTTGATGTCCATGGTGAATTGCGAACGTAAGCAGGATCCTTTTCGATAAATATAATGTTAATATTAATAATATCGATTTATCACCTTCTAGCTTGAAATTTGAGTCAGGACAGATGATGAGCCCGGCCCAGAAGCTAAAGCTGGATCTGGGTAACATCTCCAGTGGGCGTTTAGTACCCCGCAGGCTGAGCTTTGACTGGCTGCATCATCGACTCTATTTTGCCATGGAGTCGCTAGATCGAAATCAATCAAAGTTCCAGATAATTAGAACGGATTTGGAGGGCGGAGCAGCTGAAGAATCGGGGAAATCCTTCGATCTGCCGGTTGAGCAGCTAGAAGTTGATGCCCTGAATGGCTATATATTCTGGAGGAATGAGGAAGCCCTGTGGCGTCAGGATTTGCATGGTCGAATGGCCTATCGCCTGTTGAGGATCAGGCAGCCGGGTTGGTTTATTGTGCAGCCCCAACACTTCTTCATCCGCCTAATGTTGCCGCAGGAAGGGAAATTCCTGGAGATTAGCTTCGATGGTGGTTACAAGCATCCATTGCCGCTTCCACAGCATCCGACTGGAACTGGAGCTTCATCCTCCGTCTGGCAGACCTTTGCTCTCCTAGGTCGATACTTGCTTCTTCCAGAGGTTGGTCAACTAATCCTGGTGGATCAAAAGAATCAGGGAGCTAGTGCTTCCTGGCCTTTAAGGAACTTACCCGACTGCTGGGCCATGATTCTCTTGGTGCCTGAAAGTCAACCTCTGACCAATGTCGGAGGCAGACCCCATAGTTTAAAGGCCTTGTTGGGATCTCAGGCTGCGAAGATCTCATGGAAGGAGCCAGAACGCAATCCGTATCAGTCTGCAGATGCCGCTCGCAACTGGAGCTACGAACTGGAAGTTCTTGACGTGGCCAGTCAAAGTGCCTTTAACATCCGAAATATTGGTGGACCCTTCTTTGGCTTGCAGCGTTTGCAACCGGACAATCTCTACCAGCTGCGCGTGAGGGCCATAAATGCGGATGGAGAACCAGGAGGATGGACTGCCCCACTGGCTGCCCGCACGTGGCCACTAGGTCCTCATCGGCTGAGATGGTCAAGCCGAGAGGGAAAGCTGCTCCAGACCGACGAACTCGGCGAGGGTTTGCATGTGCAGCAGGAACGTTTGGAGCGCCTACCGGGACCCATGACCATGGTGAACGAAAGCGTTGGATACTATGTAAGTGGCCAGGGACTGTTGCATTGCATCAATCTAGTGCACAGCCAGTGGGGATGTCCGATCTCGGAGCCATTGCATCACGTTGGATCGGTAACCTATGACTGGCGGGGCGGAAGAGTCTACTGGACGGACCTGGCTAGGAACTGTGTGATGCGTATGGATCCATGGTCGGGCAGCCGGGAATTGCTGCCCATCTTCGAGGCCCGCTCTCTGGCATTCGATTCACGTCACGGTCACCTGTACTATGCAACCAGCACACATCTTTCCCGCCACGGATCCACCCCGGACGAAGCTGTTTCCTATTATCGAGCCAATGGACTGGAGGGTAGCATCGCCTCTTTTGTTTTGGACATCCATCAGGATGAGCTCTATTGGTTGGTGGTTGGTTCTGGCGCTTTACGTCTCTATCGATCTCCCTTGATCCCTAGCAGTGATACGGTGAAGTTGATTCACCAAATGAAAGGCCTCCAAGCTATTCCCCAGAGTTTACAACTCCTGAGACCATTGGGTGCACTTCTCTGGTTGGAGCGCAGTGGCAGGAGGGCTCGTTTGGTACGCTTGGCTGCTCCTGAAGATGTTATGGAGATACCGACTCCGGAAGAAGCCTCTCCGGCTTCCGCCTTGCAGTTGTTGGATCAGCAACCACTTCCATCGCCGGATGAGGGGGTTATTCCCTTGATCGTGACTCCGGACACCGTACGTTTGGACGACGGGCATTGGGATGATTTCCATGTTAGATGGCAACCTTCGACATCCGGTGGTAACCATAGTGTCTCATATCGTCTGCTCTTAGAGTTCGGTCAAAGACTTCAGACGCTGGACTTGACCACTCCATTCGCCCGACTTACCCAACTGCCGCAGGCGCAATTGCAGTTGAAGATTAGCATTACACCGCGTACCGCTTGGAGAAGTGGTGAAACCACACGGGTGCAGCTCACCACACCGCCGGCAGCTCCCAGCCAGCCTCGTCGGCTAAGGGTGTTCGTGGAGCGTTTGGCCACTGCGCTCCAGGAGACAAATGTGAGTGCCGTCCTCCGTTGGGATGCCCCAGAGCAGGGCCAGGAGGCTCCAGTGCAGGCATTGGAGTACCACATCAGCTGCTGGCTGGGTTCCGAGCTGCATGAGGAGCTTCGGCTTAACCAGAGTGCCTTAGAAGCTCGTGTGGAGCACCTGCAACCCGACCAGACTTATCACTTTCAGGTGGAGGCACGAGTGGCAGCTACGGGAGCAGCGGCCGGAGCCGCTAGTCATGCACTCCACGTGGCACCAGAAGTGCAGGCGGTGCCACGCCTGCTCTACGCCAATGCAGAGTTTATTGGGGAACTGGACCTGGACACAAGGAATCGCAGGAGGCTTGTCCATACCGCCAGTCCAGTGGAGCACCTGGCTATCATCGAAGGCGAACAGAGGCTACTGTGGGTCAATGAACACGTAGAGCTCCTCACCCACATCCCCGGAGCAGCTCCAGCTAAGTTGGCTAGGATGCGAGCCGAGGTCTTGGCTTTGGCTGTGGACTGGGTCCAGCGGATTGTTTACTGGGCAGAACTGGATGCCAGTGCTTCTCAGGCGGCGGTCATCTATCGCCTGGATCTTTGTAATTTTGGGGGCAAGATTTTGCAAGGTAATCGAGTGTGGAGCACGCCCAAGGGCCGTCTGCTGAAGGATCTGGTGGCCCTGCCCCAAGCTAGATCTCTGATCTGGTTGGAGTACGAGCAAGGATCTCCGAGAAATGGTTCCCTCAGGGGTAGGAATCTAACCGATGGCTCAGAACTGGAGTTGGTCACGGTACAGCCACTGATCCGCCTGCATGCCGGTAGCTTAGAGCCGGGATCCGAGACCTTGAACCTAGTAGATCACCAGGGTAAGCTATGTGTCTACGATGTGGCCCGCCAGCTGTGCACGGCCAGCGCTTTGCGGGCCCAATTAAATTTGTTAGGCGAGGAGTCCATCGCCGGACAACTGGCCCAGGACTCGGGGTACCTTTATGCTCTGAAAAACTCGAGCATTCGTGCCTACGGTCGCCGACGCCAGCAGCTGGAGTATATGGTGGAACTGGAACCGGAGGAAGTGCGTCTGCTTCAGGCCCACAACTATCAGGCGTATCCGCCCAAAAGTTGTCTGCTCCTTCCTCCTGCCGGCGTATCTTTTCTAGATATCGCTGATTGCGAGGAGAGAAGATGCCGATTAAGTCTGCCCTTCATCAAAGCCTTAGATGATTGTCAGTTGCCAGTTCCTGGTGTCAGATACCAATTGAATCTCACTCTGGCCAAGGAGCATGGATCCCAGGAGCAGCCAGGCGAACCCCTGGGACAGTGGCTGCTCGGTGCTGGGGAATCCCTGAATATAACCGATCTCCTGCCATTTACTCGTTATCGTTTATCAGGAATTCTGAGCAGTTACTACCAAAAGAAGTTGGGACTACCCACCCTTGTTTTGCCGCCGCTGGAACTCGTCACTGCCTTTGCCACGCCATCGGCTCCAAGGAACTTCAGTGTTCGTGTGCTGAGCCCCAGGGAACTGGAGGTCAGCTGGTTGCCACCGGAGCACCTGCGCAGTGAAAGTGTCTACTATACCCTGCACTGGCAACAGGAACTGGACGGTGAAGAAGGCCAGGATCGAAACGAATGGGAACCGCGGGAGCGTCGTCTCGAGGCAGCGGGTGTCCACCGGTTGACCGGAATCAAGCCTGGATCCGGCTACCGCCTTTGGGTTCTGGCCCATGCCACGCCCACCAAGAGCAACAGCAGCGCTATGGTGCACGTGCGAAGTTTTACCGAGTTGCCGGAGCTACAGCTCCTAGAGCTGGGGCCATATTCCCTAAGTCTTACCTGGGCAGGAACGCCTGACCCTCTGGGATCCCTGCAGCTTGAGTGCCGTTCACCGGGTGAGCAGTTGCGGCGGAATGTGGCCGGAAACCACACAAAGATGGTGCTGGAGCCACTACAGCCACGCACCAGATACCAGTGTCGTCTGCTCCTGGGCTATGCGGCCAATCCGGGAGCTCCCTTATACCATGGCACGGCGGAGGTCTACGAAACGCTGGGGGATGCACCCAGTCCGCCGGGAAGACCGCAATTGGAGCACATTGCCGAGGAGGTGTTCCGCGTTACCTGGACTCCGGCCCGAGGTAATGGAGCTCCAATCGCTCTCTACAATTTGGAGGCTTTGCAGGCGAGGAGCGACAATCGCCGAAGGCGCAGAAGAAGACGCCGCGACAGCGGGGGATCGCTGGAGCAACTGCCATGGGCCGAGGAACCTTTAGTAGTGGAGGACCAGTGGTTGGATTTCTGCAACACCACCGAGCTGAGCTGCATCGTCAAGAGTCTGCACTCGAGCAGGTTGGTCCTTTTCCGGGTACGTGCCCGGAGTCTAGAGCACGGATGGGGTCCTTTCAGTGAGGAGAGCGAGCGGGTGGCAGAGCCCTATGTCTCGCCGGAAAAGCGTGGCTCTCTGGTCCTGGCCATCATTGCGCCGGCGGCCATCGTTTCCAGCTGCGTCCTGGCGTTGGTCCTCGTCCGAAAAGGTAAGAAATATTCGGACAACCGCTGAATATATTTTAATCCTTCCCGGCACTCTCCTGCAGTTCAAAAGCGTCGGTTGCGTGCCAAGAAACTGCTCCAGCAGAGTCGTCCCAGCATTTGGAGCAACTTGTCTACCTTGCAGACCCAACAGCAGCTAATGGCCGCCAGGAATCGCGCCTTCTCCACAACGCTAAGTGATGCTGATATCGCCCTGCTGCCCCAGATAAATTGGAGCCAACTCAAGCTGCTTCGATTTCTGGGCAGCGGAGCCTTTGGAGAGGTGTACGAGGGTCAGCTGCAAACAGAGGACTCCGAAGAGCCACAGCGAGTGGCCATCAAGGTGAGTTATCTTCATGGAAACCAGGCACGTTTCTATTGACAGTTGATCTGCCTTAACCCTATAGAGCCTGCGAAAAGGTGCCAGCGAATTTGCAGAGCTGCTTCAGGAAGCACAGCTGATGAGCAACTTCAAGCACGAAAACATTGTTTGCCTGGTGGGGATCTGCTTTGACACCGAGTCCATCTCCCTGATCATGGAGCACATGGAGGCCGGCGATCTACTTAGCTACCTACGAGCCGCTCGGGCGACCAGCACGCAGGTAATTTAAGTTTATTTCGAATCAATACGATACGAGATATTATTTTCCTATAACTTTCTAGGAACCACAACCCGTGACAGGACTCTCTCTTTCCGAACTTTTGGCCATGTGCATTGACGTGGCCAACGGTTGCAGTTACTTGGAGGATATGCACTTCGTGCATCGCGATTTAGCGTGCCGAAACTGTTTGGTCACAGAGTCGGCGGGCGGTACGGATCGGCGGCGTACAGTAAAGATCGGAGACTTTGGTTTGGCGCGGGACATCTACAAAAGCGATTACTATCGCAAGGAGGGCGAAGGCTTGCTACCGGTGCGCTGGATGTCTCCGGAAAGTCTTGTGGACGGACTCTTCACCACGCAGTCGGACGTGTGGGCCTTCGGAGTCCTTTGCTGGGAAATACTTACACTCGGCCAGCAGCCGTACGCGGCGAGGAATAACTTTGAGGTCTTGGCACACGTTAAGGACGGTGGACGCCTCCAGCAGCCTCCCATGTGCCCAGAAAAGCTGTAAGTCAAGTGTTATCTTCTTCGTGACATATATTTTCTTAAGACCTTGTATTATTCACTCAACTCCAGTTATGCCCTCCTCCTGCTCTGTTGGCGAACGGATCCCTGGGAACGGCCTAGTTTTCGGCGCTGCTACAACACCCTCCATGCCATTAGCACCGATCTCCGACGCAGCCAGATGGCATCTTCTATGGCAGATACGACGACGGCCAGCAGCTCCAAGCCGGAGCTGAAGGTGCGATTCGATGGACAGTCACAGGAGCAAAAGGAGCAGTCGACGGCGGAGAATCTTACGCTGCAGGAAGCGCCGCTAAAGGATAAGCCACTGTATGCCAACGAGGGTGTCTCCAGGCTTTAAGAAGGACTCCCTCACAAAGGACGTCTCAAAGCAAGTGGTCGGTTTTGTAACCACGATTTAGTTTTCCGCTTAATCTAAGACTAACTTTAATTTGTATGTCTATAAAAGAATATAAAATGGTTCATAAGGAAGATGCAACTTTGGACAAAGACATTTTTTCAGTCAGCCATTGCCCTTAAGTTTTAATTTCGAATTTAAACTATAAACTATTTATTTGTAAAACTCCATTTAGTTTTTAAATTTGTTAAAATCTTTATTTTTCAAATGCCAATCTTGTTTAATTTAAAAATGTTAAAACATTTTCATTAGGGAATATTATATTTCTCGACGGAGTCCGCCTGCCGTCCGTTCCTCCGTACGAAGGCTGAGATCTCGGGAACTATAAAAGCTGGAATTTTGGGATTAAGCATGAAGAATCTAGAGTAGACTGTCCAACTAGGTGGTCACTTAAAGGAGGGGCACTTGAGGCTTACTCATTTTGTTGGCCATTTTCAAAGAAGCTTCAAGAAAAGCCTGCGATACGAAACAAAAGAGTACCCTAAAGATCCGAGCTAGGTAGCGAGTCCAACGCGAAGATATGGTGGTCACGTTATGGTAGAAAATCATATGAGTAAAACGAGGTGTTTATGTAAAAATATATATAATTCCGATGCAAGTACATATAAGTACAGGTTAGGAAACGAGGTGTTTATGTAAAAATATATATAATTCCGATGCAAGTACATACAAGTACAGGTTAGGGAGTGTGATAACTGTGAAACTTTTTAAACCGAACTAGAATGTCGCCGTCGGAATGATAATGTAATCATATATTATGGTCTTAGCCTTCTTGTAGACCACCATGCTGTCGTGCATCAGTAGACTTTCCAGCTTGTCTAGCCCGCCCATCTCAATGACCACCTCAGAGAAGCTTTCTGTCAAGCCAAGCTTCTCGATCAGGACAAACAGATTGCACAACCCGGTGAGGACTGCCTTAAGGATACCAGTGTTGAGAAATAGAATGCAATAAAAAATAGAATGCAATAAGAACACTTTCCAGATAAAACGTATGGAATCTGTTCTTGATCTTCGGCTTTCAGGTTTTGAAGTTTTGCATTCTGATGGATAAACTATAGGGAACAGCCTTAAATCCTCTCGGAACCATTTCTAATCCTACGAAATATATATTTATAAGTGCAAGCTGTTAAAACAAGAAAAAAAACTCATAAGTTTTAGAAATCTTTAAAGTTTTAAGCCATCAAAAGCGATGTCTCTGTTAAGAGAGAAGAGACATTTCTTTCGGAGCTCGTTCTCATTGTAATTCCCAATCTAATTCCACTCAAGACTATGCTTAATTTTATTGAATTTGCCGAGTTTTTAATGTGAGTTGGCCAGAAAAAGTTTGCTACGCCGGCTTTTATTTTCATCATTTTCCTTTGGTTTTCCGTTGGCGCGGCATTTTCTTGGGGAAAATACAATCAAATTAAATGTGAGCGAGCGTTGGTTGGTGCAAAAGTTTGGCGATACTATGGCAGGGGAATAATGGCTGGGTTTTAGGAGGGCTATAAATAGAGCTGAGTTAAGGCAACGTTCTTGAAGGTCGCCGCCCTTTAACTAATCACTGCAGGTGAGGCAAACCACCACCCCCTAAAACACAAACACCCCATCTAACTTTCTTTTTCCTTGCACGCACGCATACGCACACGCACTCTCAGAAACACAAACCCACACCCTTGGCTACGCATTTACAAACATGCAGATTTGTCAAATGTTTTGACAAACTTTTCTCCCTCGCATCGCATTACACAAAAGCCCTGGAAGTGGGTGAGGGGGCGGGTGGGATTGTGGGATAAATCAAAAATTGTAAATAGCAGCACATAAATCGATTACCTTGCCAGGCTCTCGTTAACCCACGAAGAACGGAACATAAATAAACCATTTTTAATATGCGAATAAGCAGCTTTACGTTTTGAAATATCCTAACTGAGGGTTACACAACATTCTTGCATGGTTTCTTTCTTTTAAATTAATGATTTTTTATAAATTTTTTATAGGTATTTTTATGAGTTAGTAGAGCAAGACCCTCAATAGGTTTTAACCTTTAAATTTTGTAAAAATTAAAGTAAAAACATATAACAAATTATATAGATAATCACAGAAGAAGTGGCTTAAATTTTTTAGAATTTTGGAAAATGAATTGCCTTTGAAATTTTCCTTTTTGGGAGGGAAAACTTTATTTGGAAAATACTTACTAAGCTGGCATTTCTTTGTCCCCAAAACTTTATAGAGTATTTAAAATGCCCGGAAACTGAAATTGAAGTCGTCTTTATTTGCCAACAATATCGCTAGGGTTTTACTTTTTTTCAGTTACTGCCTTTTGCGTGCCTTTACTTTCCTTACTCCACCCGCACGCACCCCTTCACTTTTATGCAGTGGGTGGCAGTGAAACGGGAGCTGGCTTCAAGGTGACTTGCCATTGATTTCGCTTATTATTATGGATGTTTTTTTTTTTTGGCATTCCCTTATTTTTTATTTGGTAGGTAGAAAGGTGCCCTCTGCTCTTTGAGCTTTAGAGCGCGGCAAGGATTTAATTTTATGGCCCCCGGGACCGTCGCCTCGTTGACTTATTGTGCTGATATGATTAAGTGGTTCGCTGGTTCCAAGCCGCTGACTCTGGCTTTATGACAAGTGCAGGATCCGACGGGATTGGCACGAAAACCTGCGGACCGATTTTCGCCCGGCTTTTGCCAGTCGATGGTGCATGTGAGCATGTGTGAGCCAACGAGTCAACGAGCCAGCTAACCCAGCAACTTGTCAAAAAGTTCCTCTCGTGGATTCATTCTGCTTTAATGGGTGAGCTCTTTAAAATTCGCTTTGATTCGATTTCATTTGATTTGAGCCATACACCTCGAAAGTTTAGCCCACTACTTAAAATCTCTCCCCTCGCGTCGACTGGCACAATTGATTGAAATTAGATGAGCTTTTCATAATACAAGACCTAAGCCGCAACTCTCCCTCGGCAGCCATCTACTCGGATGTGTGTGTGTGTGTGTGTGTGTGCGTGTGCGTTTTCCATTAAGTTAGACTCGCTTTTCCCATTCTCCACTTTCTCCATTTTTCCCACAACAACCAGGTAAAAGTTTGCACAAGCCCCTTACTCCAGCTGTTCGCCAGACTACGGACTACGGACTCCAGACTGTCGACTACGGACCACCATGAACGGCTCGGGCAACGCTAATATCCCTCAAGTTGCCACCGACTTTGTGCCAAATTGGTTATTAAAAGAGTCAACTAGTACGAGCCAGAAATAAATTGAGAGGCAACACAGGGCCAGAAATTCCCTTGCACAAGCAGTTGGAAAATAATAATAATAAAAGAGGGCAACTTCGAGGGCCATCAGGATGTGTTGCAACTGCTTTCCGATTTTTCTTGAAAGCATTCAACGGGCAAAAGTATTCCCCAACTATTCTGACAATGTGTTTTCCTCACATGCTGAACAAGCTTTGCAGTTTTCCGAGTTTCTCGGTATTCGGTGACTTCGAAAATGATTTAAAAAGTTGCCAACTTTCGTGATGAATTCGTTTTTGAAAAGGTGAACGTATATATTTTTGGCGATATTTTTGATTTAATTAATAAACCAAATTATTTAAGTTGATAGTTAATGTACTTTTGTGGTTTAAACCTGAAAAACGAAAATGGAAAATGGGACTACTGATGATTAAAAAGATAGTAAAGTAACAGCTGAATATAAACTTGCTGACTTGACGAAAAGCTTAACCCATGAAAAGGAAAGTGCAGCCTGATGAAATTGATTTCCAGAGTGGAAAAATAGCTCACTCTGAATTGGTCATTATCAAGGAATGTAAAACGTGAACATTTCAATTAGACCATCTTAGGAAATGAGAAATAAGGATTTATATATATATATATGCATTTAGGGAGAGGGAGAGAGGGTACCTTCCACTCTAATCCAAAGAATTGTCTTGCAAGAAGGTCATTAGAAGCTTTCGAACTAATTGAGTAATTTGCTCACCTTGATTGCTTTCGACGGCACTTCTATGTGTGTGTGTGTGTGTGTGTGTGTGTGTGTGTGTGTGTAGTTGTCAGGACACTCTCACTGCACTCGCACACTTGCAGCCTTGCTAGCACACAGACACACACACACATGCGCCGCCATTTGCTCGTTCATTATTTCGCACTAATTAACGTTTCGCGACAAAAGGTGGCGCTTTATTTTTACAACTGCAACTGCGTTTTACTGCTGCTTCTCTGCTGCAACAGTTGCTGCACTGCAAGAAATTTTCACTTGCAAAACTTTTTTTCAAATATGAAAATAATATTTAAAACTGATCAAAAGATTAAAAAGTTTGGATTTTAGTACTTTTTAAGATTAAGGACAAGTTTGTGATATTTTTGTCTAAGTGTAGTGGCCCTGCTGCTGCCACGGGTATTGCTGCCACTTGAGGACCACTCGAGGGGGCGGGTTTCGCCTTAATTGCTGTTTATGAGCGGGTTGGCCCAGTAATTAAACAATTTCTTTTGGCCCGGCGAAAACGGTTTTACTCTGACGACGCCAAGTAGTGAGTTGGCCAGAGAGGCTTGGCATGGATACGGAAAACCCACCCCCAAAACCAAAAAAAAAAAAAAAAATACAGCGATTAAAAAAAAAAAAACAAAACATGGTGCTTATTGAGAAATACAAGATGACAAATAAATTAGCAAATTCTTGATTATATGTATGTTGCATCTAAACAAAGATTGAAGGCGTCCTTGGCTTTGGTGGGACTAATTCTGTTTGCAAGTCCCGGTTAATCCCGGCTAATACCGGCTAATCCACATCCTAGACCCCATCCACCGCATTCCGTTCGATGTAGTACGGTGCCGCCCCGATCTGCTTGCACTTGTATCTCAGCTTGCAGCACTCCGGGAAGGGTTCGCCCGGCTGGATGCGCTCGCCTTTGTTGCAGTTCTCGATGCGCAGTTTACCGCATCTAAAAGGGTTTATATTAAGGTTAAATTGATTTCATTTTTAAGCTAACCAGTTGTATGTTTAAGGGCCCTGTTCCTACAATAGGCAATGCCTTGCACTGATTAATTGGTATTTCATGGATCTTTGCCAAAATGCAATAAGAAGTTTACTGAAAAATATATATAATATTTCTTTATACACTAAAAAACACAATTATTTGTTGTTTATTATTACCAATGAGTGTTTTCCCTACGTTACACAAGTTGCTTGTTATTTATTTTGTTTTTTTTAATTTGACCTACTAAACCTTGAGATTGCCATTAAACCCTTCATCTGATTATGATTTTGGGAAAAGTGCCATATTGTTGTGAATAAAGCCTTTGAGTTGAGATACCAAAAAGCTTGATCAAAGGAATACAACGTCTTGAAAACTTTGTCGTGGCGTTAAAATGTTCAAAAAAAAAAAAATAAAAAAAATAAATCACTTAAAACCTGAAGAGCAAAACCCATTTCAGATCTAGGGCAAAACTTTTAGTTTCCCTCAATTTAGTTTTGTTTCCCCTACGAAAAACCGCAAGCCAAAGGATGTTTGAGATGAGGGAAATAGGAGATGGGAGATGGGCGTTGGTAGACGCCACCCCCTCCTAACACATTCATTTAGTTTTCAGCTCTTTAGCTTGACCTAGAAATTACAGTCTCATCTTTTGCGCTACTTGGCGAACTCGAAACTAAAACTGGCAAACTGGAAGCTCGGCGAGAAGTCGCAGTCGCAACTGGTTGGCATAGCGTCATCTTTGGCGTTAAGTTGGCTTGAGGGTGAGTGTGTGTGTGTGTGTGTGTATGTGTCTTATCAGTGACAACATGTGCCATAAAATACACTCAGGGAAAATGTTTAGTTTGAAGGAAAATAAGATCGAAGTCAAGTTTTTATCCGACAGAGGTTAAGTTGTCTATTGATTGGAAATCATTGACAAAATGTTTATAAGTTTATCAAAAGAAAAATAAATTTGCTAGAAAACAGTTAAAAAACTTTCCTACACTTTTCATCTATTGAAAATTCTTGGTGGTAATTTTTCCAAATTATTTTCAATAAATATTTCCCAAAGCTATAAGCTTCTTTCTGCCTTAATACCAAATTTGTTGCCCTTTTTTTTCTCAGTCTAAATGCGAGATGTTCCCGTGACCGGGTCAAGGTACTCCAAACTCACCCCTCGATAAGTATTGAATTATTCTTGTAGCATGTCAGCCGCTGGCAGGGCGAGATGCCATTGTTGACCCCCAACTCCAGGACGTCACCGCGGTAAATGCACCTACCAGGATTATCTGATGGCAAACATAATGGATATAATAATAGAAATATAGAAAAGTTGGATAAGGATAAGGGTATCCGCTCACCAGCATCCGGTGGAATCAGGCCCGAGTAGCCGCTCACCTGGGCTAGCATCAGAAAGAGCAGGCCGCCAGCGAGTAACAATGGAATAGGCGGATTTGGACTGGCGTAGCGTTCCGTGGACATTGCGATTGCTTTCGTGTTCAAAACTGGACTGACTTGGACCCGGACTCCGATCGGCGTTGTCTACTCCGCACATAGGCCAGGCTCGTTGAGATTGCCGAGCTAAGTCGTCGTTGTCCCGCTTCGACTGAAATTGCGGAGAGATTCATCAATTGTTTTTATGCCATACCCATTACTTGGTGGGTATGATGGAATGGGCAGATATTTGGTTGTTATTTGGCTATTTAAAAGATAGAATATTTATTGATCTTAGAATGTTAAAGGATCAAGATTATATATAAATATGGATTATCCAAAACAAGTAATGGGTATCCTATGGTCGATTCCCAGGCTAATTGTTTTCGTTTTGGTTTTTTGGTTTCGGGTCCGTTGATTATTGTGTATTACTATTTAATTGAAGACGCCACTCCACGACGCAACCAATCTCTTGATTCTCCGGTCTCATCTGATGAGCGTGGCGGGGTCAGGCGGTTTATCGGCTTTTGGGGCGGTGGCGGCCGGCCATTACAGCACTTTAATGCCTCAAATTGTTCTAGAATGTTTGCACAATTAATGCCAAAAGCGGGACAGAGAGCGGCGAATTTAAGAGCTACAGTTAGAGATGGAGATAGAGATAGACATAGAGAAAGGGACAGCGACAGAGAGCATGAAAGATAACGGCAAGGGACTTACAGATCGCTAATCTAGGGATGGGTAAATACAAAAATCGATATTTTAATCTAGCTGAAATAGTTTTTTTACTTAAAAATAAAGCTAGATAATGTTTTCTTGCTGTTTTTGAATTATTTAACTGTTATTAAAGCAAGAAAGGGTCGATTGAAGTCAGTTTGGCCATCTTCATACTTTAATCATAAAATCATTTGAAATTTAAAGTTGAGGAAAGAAAATTGCGTACAATTTGTTTGCTTCAATTAAGAATTCATAAACACGAGTTGACGAAACTCGCAAAGTTCTCTATAATGTCGTGAAAGTATATGTATATATTTTCTGTTAAATTTATATATGTACTTATATGCTGTTTGGCTCTCAAAAGGGTTTGGCCTAAGGCGGGTTTTGCAAAGAACGGGATTTGATTTAACCGCATTGTCAACATTTTGGGCTTAATCTACGCTGTTTAGAAAGTTTTCTGATCCATGAGTGTACATGAAACTCCTTTGAAGTATTAAAATTATTTAAATTAAGCCCCTTTCTTCCGCTCAATTCAATTAAGGAAAAGTTTCGCAGCACCAAATCGACGAATGCATTGGCCAGACTCCAGTTACGCATTTAAAGAACTAGTTCGGTGGCAAATCTTAATGAAATGCATTCGTTAGCTTAACCCGCACACAAGAGCTGACAAATGTTGTGGCAAGTTGTGCAATCCAATTGAGACGAGTCCTTCGACAGAAGGACATGCCCCTCGCACAATGTTTGCCCCGCTGGCTATTAAATTTTTAATCAAGTTAAAGTGTTGTCAAACACTTCATTCAGCCAGTTCCACTTCCATTCAACCAGCCTTTTGCCCCTTTACCCATCCTGCTCAATGGCTGGGAGTTCTCATTTTGGTAGCAGTCAGAAACAGCAGGCAGACACAACCTAGGGATATCAGATATATAGTATGTGGTGATATGGGAACATGTAACTTGCCGCTCGTAACTCCCACACACTTACACCCACTCCCCTTCGACCTTCTTTTTCCGTTCATTTGGTGTCGTGTTAGTTATGCATGCATTCATTCGTTCATTCAGCGACATTCATTTCGTTTCATTGCATTTTCTTACAACTTTCCATGGCATATGTGCCCCACTCTCTCTCTCTCTCACTGCACCACCGCCCCCTTAACCCACCGAAACAACACCACAGCGGCATAACCGCATTGTAGGAACCACTTCATCCACCAACGTTTCCTTTGGCTGCCGCCAATCCCTGTGGACACTTGTTCGTGTACTTCCCCTTTATGATGTAAGGCTTTCGTTGCCGGCTTCTTTTTGTCACTGATACCCTGTAGTAGATCGAGTATATCGGCCTGAACTAAATGCAGGTCTTACAGATTTTAACCGTTATAAAGTACATCACTTTTCATATACTTTCGATTGCAAATTTAACTTAATTTTTCCTTATATTCATTTAAAGGGTATTTGATATTCGTATCTCTTAGTCTGCTGAATACTATGCCTTTCCTGTTCGCCTTTGTGGTAAATGAAATGCAAATAAATTGTCAACTGCAGCTAAATAAAATTTTAATTTATAACGGGGGTTTGACTAGCTTTCATTGTGCAAGAGAGGGTTGGACGCGGCGGGTTGAAGGGGATGGGGCGTAACTGGCAAGGGAAATATTGCCCCAAGAAAGGTGAATGCAGCTGAAAACCATCTAAGTAATTGAAACGGAAGAAAGATTTCCTTTGTCATTCGAATGCCGTAAATATTTATTGAACTCTGTGATTCCAAGTAGCAGCATTCGATGTTTGCAGTGAATGAATAAGACAATGTCAATGCATATGGTATTACATTAAATTTTAAGTGGTTAAGAGTCGTTCTAACTTTTGGGCACTGAGAAAAACTATAAAATTGTTGGGAAAAAATAATTTTACTGAATAAAATTAAGAAATTTTAACCAGATTATTATTATTAATGTCCTAATAATAATAAATAACATAATTAATAATAATTGCTGTTAATTTTTTAGATCATAAAGAAGAAGGGTATATTCTATTCGTCGAAAGGTATGTATTGGGTGAAAGAAACCTTTTCCGACACTATATCATAGCTCCTGATCAGGATCACAAGTCAAGTCGATGTTCATTCGGCGACTTTCTGCCCGTCCGTATATCTGTCCGTTCGCCTGTCCGTCTCTTTGGCCAAATTTTTGTCCGTTTACCTGTCCGTCCTTATTTTTCCATATTTCTGTTCGTTCGCCTGTCCGTCCTTTTGTCCGTATGTCTGTTCGTTAGCCTCTCCGCCCTCCTTTATGTATGTGTATCTCTGCGTTGGTTAGTCCTTCTGTCCGTATTTCTGTCTGGCCGCCTGTCCATCCCTCTATCCTATGGCCTGTTCGTCTTTCTGTCCGTATGTGTGTTTGTCCGCCTATCCGTCCTTTTTTCAATATTTATGTCCGTTAGCCTGTCCTTCGTTCTGTCCGTTTACCAGTCCGTCTTACTGTCCGCATGTCGTTCGCTCGCCTTTGTGACTGTCACTATATCACTCTCTCTTTATAAATTCTAAGAACTGCTAAATATAAAATGAAATTTATCAAAAAATATCACAAATTTTAAGATGACAGCAAAACTTATCCTTTTTTCAAAACAGTTCATCAAAATTTTGTTCGAAGCCCTTGAAGTGATGGATCCTCTACTAATCCTTGAAGTCTCTACTACCTTTTTAGTTGACTTTAAGCAGGGCTATTGCCCTGGCAAACACTATTAGTATCGATTGGCCAAGGTCTTTGTTAACCAGAGAGAATCACCCACCTTTTCGGTCTGCTCACTGGACACCAAAGTCGCAACTGCATGCGTTGGACAAGTGACTACAAAGCGGGTTCGAAGCCCCCCTTTTGGGGTTCCTTTTTTTTTGGAACGAGACTGGAAGGCAAACATGCACGCACACCACACAGGCTCAGCTAATTCGCATTTGATTATTTAAATTAGCGAAATGAGTGACAGGCAGAGTGAGTGAGGGAGAAAACACGCGCTCAAATTGAATAGTTTGTGCGGCCGATGTCCGAAAAGATCCAAAAATAAATGGGATAGTAGAGCGTAGCGACCTGGACCAAATCGGACCATCGAGCGAATCGGCAGTGCTTTGTTAGACCGCCGAACTGCGAGGCTGCGAGACTAGCGAATTCACAGCATAGAATTTTTCGAAAATGTATTCAGTGCAGGGGCGACATTCGCAGAGGCAACGAAAGCGACAGCCATAGCACACCCACACACTGGCACCTGGCATTTGGCATTTGGCATTTGGGATCTAGCATTTGATATCTGGCACCTGGCATCCATCACCCATACATCCGTAGATCCACAGATCCACAGATCCGCCGACACGAACACGGATACGGATACCGATCACCCATACAGGCGCAGATCAAGAGCGAGAGAGAGAGTGTGTGTCTGTGTGCTTGAAAGAAAGTAGTTAAAAAGGAAAACTAGGAAAAGCTAAAGAAACCACCTCCTGACTCTCTGTTTCGTGTGTGTGTGTGTGTGTGCGCACCGGAAATGGCCAAATTAGTGACTTACATCTTCATCGCCAGCTCGTTGGTGCTCTGGTACCTCCTGCTCTTCGGGGGCAGGGGCATTAGGGGCGTGGAGGCCACCAATGGGCATGGGGGGCAGTTGGAGGGGCGCGACTTTCACCACCACGGGGGTAGCCATCACATACGCCGTAAGTACACAGGGAAAAATCGCTTGAAATTAAAGAAACTGAGGTGTAAACTAAGGGAAAATGGTCAGTAGATGTTGACAGATTGGTACAGTAAAAAGTTGGACAGTAAAAATGTTTATTTTATTAGCAGGACTTTTGTTTGACAGCTTGTTTGATATCAATAAGATTATACCATTATTATGAAATGCATCGATTGTATCCTTTTAGGTAACATAAACCATTGCTGGCGTCGTTACGATGGCTACAATCTGCAGAACACCGTGGTCAATAAGAAAGAGCAGCTGAAGAAGCCCTATGGCATACTTTGCAACTTCAAATGCACCTGGTTCTTCACCGTCAGGTGAGTAGCTGTAGTAACTTTACTCCAGTTGGTGCCCCAATCAAAATCTCTTTCTTCTTCCCTTTCAGCTTCCCAACTTGCGAGTTCATCTACGACTATAAGTTATCCTGCGTGCTATTCACGTCACTGCCCGACTGCACCAGCGTCCAGTGTACGCTCTTGAATTACTTCGAGTAACTAGTGTATTTATTTAAGTTTCTTTTTTTTTTTTGATAGCATAAGTCTGATTAATACTAGATTTTATATGGACATGTAGTGAGTGAGCGAGTGAGAGAGAAAGTATTATTAAATCAAACACCTAATTTATGAAGTCAAACTGTTTTATTTGCAAAAGGGTATTGGCCTTTGCTTGTGTCTAAGATTGTTTAATAAGGATAATAAAGGATTTGAAAGGAAGTAACCTCCATGATTAACTTATTAATGGAATGTTGAGTGTTCCCCAGAAATGAAAAGTCCTTCTTCCAAATCAAAAACTTTTACAACTTTAAGTTAAGTTGCTATCATATTCTGGTTAAGTCTAGATCCTTAAATTTCCCCCTTTAATTTGGTGTCAAAGTTCTAGAAGATGGACTAGTCCTGCCATAAGTCAGCCAGTCTATTGTCTATGCCACTTCCATATCGGATTAGGACGCATTTATGCTGGCTGCTGGTAACATATCCGGAGTCAAAGTTTACGGCTCGCGTCTCACTTAAAGTTGGCATAAAGCCAGAAAGTCAACAGTGCTGTTCGCACTCCATTTGATGGCCAAAGTTGAAAAGCCACAAAAGCTATCAATGGACCTATCCAAACCAGCTGTAGCCCTCCCTTCCTCTCTCTCTCTCTCTCTCTCTATTTCTGGGAGGCGTCTCTTTGTCTGGGCTGGCCACGCCCAATTACCTGGCCACACATACCTGTAAGCTGGCCAAAAAGCAATCCACTTTTTGTAGTAAACAAATTTGAAACACTTTGTTACCGAAGTCATTTTTACTTTTTCTTTTTTTTTTTGCCTTAGCTTTTAGCCCGGTTAAAAGCGATATATCCGTTCAACTTGATGGCTAAAATCGGAGGTTTAAAGAGCGGGAGGGGAGAGTCGCGGGGAGTTAACCAAACTTGGCAATGGCGTTGGGGGAATGGCTGTACCTGAACCTAAACTCCTGGCCCACGCCAACAGCCGCAAATAAATCGTTCGACATTTATAAGCCAGTCAAAGTTATGCCAAAGCGTTTCCTGAAAATTTGTGTATCCAGTTTTCCGAGTAGAGGGCATGGTCATGGAATGGTGTTAGTTGGGGGGGTGGGGGAGGTGTTTTGTCAGGTGCTGGCTAAAAATAAGATAAATTATGTGGCTGTAGTCAATGGAGCTGTTAACTCGCGCACCTGTGCCAGTGGGGCTAAAAAGGGTTCCCATTTCCCCCCTCCCCCCCTATACTCCATGGGCTTCAGCTTCTCCATCTCTTTGACCAACTAACTGCTCCAGAACCCACATTGAGTGGGTTGTGAAATTCCAAAGCGGAGAAGGGGCCACCAACTCACACGCCCGGGCCCCAGATGGGGCCGCACTTTAATGGAATCAAACGAAATGGCATTGATCGCTGAAGGCCAACGGACCCCGGACCCATACCCGCACCACAATTCAGAAGATCAACTCGATTTTGTTTGTTTCGGATCTGTCAGAGTATTTGTAACTGGGATTTGGGTCGTGGTCGTTGTGCGTTTATATCACTATATGTATAACGAGTATATATAGTCGGTTATAGTGGATGTTGGAGGGGGTCTTTGGCAGTGGGAAAAGATCGGTTTGGATCCCATTTTGGGGGTAACTATGCGTAGTGCGTAGTTAGCTTTATTGCATTGGGTGCGTTGGCGTTGACGGTGGCGGTGGCGGTGGCTTCTATTTCAATGTTGATTGGCAAATTACGGCAATTTCTGGGGGCTGGGAATTAGATTATTTTTAAATAGTTATAAACAAATTAATTGCGCATTACGACTAGATTGCGTGCAGCCATCTGCTGGGGCAAACTGAAAGCTGAGTGCCCATGTAAGCAGATTATAATCTATTATGGCAACCAACTCTCTGAAAAATATGGAACTTAAATGAAGAATATCTTTTATTTTATACCTAAAACTAATGAGATTTTATAGATATAAGTAATTTTGGTAAGGAAATAATCCTCAAACTGGATTAAAATGTTTTTCTAAACTTCTAAGAACTTTTTTGAGTTTGTTAGCCATCAAAATCCTCATTTCTAAAGAGTTTTCTACTCATTTAATCATATAATAACCAAGCTATTAGGCATTTGATTAGAGTGATTGATTATCTTATTGACTGATTGAGTGATTATGCCGAGCTTAAGTGACCTAGCAAATACTCTAGACATGTTGCATTCCCTCAGCTTATGCATTCATAGCGCCCCAAAACGCATCTCATTCCATACCCCCAGCCCTGCCTCTTCACCCCCCCCGCATTGAGCGATAGCTGACTGATTTCCCACACAAAAGGTGCCAACAGCCGCAACTACAATCCCATGAGATCCGAAACGGTGGCCGAAACTGAAACCGAAATGGAAACCGAAAACGAAACCGAAACGGAAAACGGAAAACGAGGATGACAAAGTGTGACTGACTCTCCCTCTTGCTCTGGGCATGCACTGAGAGAAAATCTTTATAATTTATGATAAGTTTAGTTCTTATTACAGCTTGTCAAAATGGCTTGCTATAAATAGCCCAACGCGAGGCAGCACTAGTAAGGCATTTTTGTAGCTTTTTTAGTTTTGGAATTACTTTTGGTTTTTGGTAAGAAGCAAATACTATATACTCAGCCGATATTTAGAGCTTTTTTTTAAGAATATATTATAGATTCAGTTAGCTGAAATCTCAAAAAAATAGTTAAGAAAATTGTTATATAACATTTTTTGATAAATTTAGAGACTGTTTTCTCCCCGTGCCGTAATCATATTAGAGAACAGGAGGTGTACAGAATATAGAAGAAGAAGGAGAAGGCAGCTGGGGCCGCATACCCATACAGCGGCATGCGATAATTTATCAATTGGCTTCAATTTAGTCGCACAACAGCTCAAACTCGTGGCATTTCTTTGCCCGTTTGTTTATTTGCCCCATTTTGATACGGTGGCATCGGTGGCGATTTTCGGCACACTCGCAACATCCATCGCTGGCGGCGGTTAAAACAGCGCCGAGACAACAAACGCATCGTGGCATTTTGAGAAGGCGTCCAAAGGCGTCGTTTGAATGGCAGGCTTAGTTTCAGTTTCAGATACGGTTCGAACAGATACAGATTTTGATAAAGGCGACGGATGTGTTTACGATTGTTGTGCAATGGCCAAATCGATAACAGAAAAAACGAGAAGAGCCACAAAATCAACGACAACAACAAAAGCAACCATAACTGCAATACACACACGCAAAAGTACCACAACAATCGCATTTATTCTGCTGTTAATCCTCTGCTGTTTATGTGATTACAACTATGGAAGTATGTAGTCTCCTACCAGCTCTCCCTTTTTTCCATTTTCCCATCTTCCCTTCTGCCCATCTTCCCTACATACCAGCATCCCAGCAAGCCTAATTTTTTTTGTTTTGATCACGTTGTTGTCGTCTTTTTTTTTTTTTTTGAGTGGTTGTGTCTTTTGTGGTGAAACATTCAATGGTTGTCCATGTGACGTCATTGGTTCTATGAAAAACTCAAGTTGCGTATACGCCATGTATCCGGCTTATTGTTTTCGTAACATGAAAAAAGTTTAATAAAATCCACTTATTTCTTTACTATATTAGTCACAAAAGAGTTAAATATTTCTTTTGAAATTTTTGTTTAATTAAAGTGCGCCAAAAAAATACCAAAAAAAAATGTTATTTTATATCTTAAAATAATACTAAAAAATGTTTTTTTAAACATAAAATCATGCCTAGCCAACAGCTTTGTAAAAAACTGGGATTATAAATTAGTTTGTGGAATTTGTCCTCCTGCGAAAAAGCTAACTCTATCAGTAAAATAAAGAAAGATTCTTGATTTGGATTGCTTTTGAAACTACCTAAAGTGCTTTCCCTGTAATGTCTTTCAAAGTACTCCCGTTGAGCTTCAGTTTCGAATCCGAGGATAACAATAACAAACTAGGACTTTGTTCGAAATCAAAACTGTTAAGTAACCAAACACATAACTCATAGCCCTACGACAAAAAGAGAAAATCGAATGAGTTTACTGTTAGGCTTAATTGGTAGTTCAAGTCCTTACGCAACACACAGATAAGTCAATTAAACACACACACACACACATACTCATTCATACCCACAAATCCTATTACTACTGATGAATAACTTCCAGTTATAACTGTTAAACGTTACTGTTTTTCCAGGCTGGGCATCACAATGCTGGAGGAAGCACAATTCCGGCTCGATTCAAACGCCAGACGGGGAATTTAAGCGACCCTTTGGCATACTCTGCACATATCGCTGCTTTCTCTGGTTTCCGCCAATGTAAGTTATGCAATCACTCACCCATCGCCATGCTCACCCATTTGCCACCCACAAAGAACAACCATAAAGCACACCCAACCATTGCCATTGAAAATACCCGGCCAGTACATGCAATTTGCAATTTATGCATGCCTCTGTTATTTTGTAGTGTGAATTGCATTTTAAAATAAACTTGTTTGGCTTTAGCTTGGGGTTTGCTTTTCGGACTTGAGCTCCAGGCAAACACCCACACACACACAGAGACGTACTAACATACCTATAGTACTTCCAGATATAGATATATATATATATATATATGGTATTTGAATTGCATAACAATTAAAATGGCTGGCAGCATTGTTTCGATACGTTTTGGCTTCTTTTTTGTCGTTGGCTGAAGGAGCAAACTTGCTCTCCGCCATCGGTATAAATATTTCATCAGCGATTTCTTGCATCCGCAGCATGGAATGCATCACCGCACCATTTCAAACATCCCATCCGCACTCCATACACTCCAAACATTGCATCCAAAATGGCTACCCTGTTGGCTTACATATTGTTCTGCCTTCTCTTTTTTCTTTGACTTTCAGTTACCCGTACTGTGAATTCATATTCGATCTGCGTTTATCGAGGCACTTTACATCCTTTCCGGACTGCTACGAGATTCGTTGCAACGAGACCTTCTCCTTTTTCGGCAAGGAGCCACAGTACTGACCATCATCTAGATGGCCAGCTAACCGGCGTGTGAACTCCGTTTCCCAATCCCCTGAATTGTCTTTCCACTTTTTTTTTTTCGTTTTTTTTTTGTAGTACTTAGTCTGTGACTAAGAATTGTATGCTTCAATAAATATGGATTACTGCATAGAACAAGGCATTCGTTTTATCTCTGCCGAAAGTGTGAATATTAAGAGTTGGTTTCGACTTCTCTTCGAGTGTTCTCTTTAGTTAATTGCCTTACAATGTTTGCTGTTAATGAAATGAAATTATGAAATTCTGTCTATTTTAAGTGATTTATTTTATAATTAAGTTGCCCATTACGTCAAGATAATATTAATAGCCCTTCCACCATCTATCCATCCATCTTAGTTAAGCAATCTAAGCCCATCTCCTGCAAATGGTCTATGTAAATGGTCGCCTCCAGGGTCAGGCAATCATTCGGGCTGATTGCTTTAAAATCTCACATCTCCTGGAGTCCAATGATGAATGGTTCTTGCGACCGCTCTTCACTTTCCACTTAAAGGACTCCGGAGATCCTGTAAGAGGTGTTCATTGCCTTGGCGCCAAGCTGCAGGCAATTTCCTTCACTTTCCCTTTTCTGGCTGGCTTTTAGTTTATTTCCGGTTTCGTAATAAAGGACAAACAAACAAATAAACAAAGGGCATGGGACAAAGGACCAGATACTGATACTGGATTTTGGATGCTGAATGTTGGATGGTTGGTTAGTGTATACTGAAAACTGGTTACTAGAGGTTACTGGAGGGGTGTCAACGCCCTAGCCACCCACAAGACAACCTCATTCAATTCACAAATATTTGCATACAAATTAGCATTCTAATTGACTTGGGCCCAAAAATAAAGTAACCAAACTGGGCCTTGGGGGCGTGCCAGAAAGTGTCCGTTTTCGCGAGGAAGGGGGGAAACGGAAGTGGGCGGGGTAACAGCGATATCTGTTGTCCATTGTCTTGGCGGATGGCACCAGCCGTTGGCAGCTTTCCCCTTATTCATGGCTCCATGGTTACCTTTACACTCGAAGAAGTCATTTACAAACTTTTTTGTTTCTTTTTTTTTGATATTTTATTTAACAACTTAAGTTAAGTCTTCTTTTAGTTTATTACTACAGAAAGAGAGAGCTCAAAATTCGAATAAATTTTCTTTTAAATTGAGGAATTTTCTATTCCAATTTGCCAGTGTACTTGGATTCCCCTTACCTATGCTTAGTCGCTTGAGTTAATTGTTTGCTTAGTGTCATAAAAATACAGTTTACGCCTTCCACAACAACACGTCCAGGTGAATCTCCCCCCACCACGCAGCATGCCCCACGCCCCATGGAGCAGCCGCCCATCGAGTGGTTCGAAGGATTCCCGAGTTGGTCTAGCAGCAGCGGCAGGGATGTGGCTTAGTGGAATTGGCCAAGCGGAATGGAACTCTGGAATGGTATGGGGTAAGCGGGTATAGAAAGGGAGATGAAGGGCGGGGAGAAAAGTGAGTGGATAACAGCCACGTGCAAACAAAAGGTCGTCGCAGACAATGTTGTCGCTGGAAAACTTTTAACTTTTACAAACTTAATTGTTGCCTGCTCTAAATATAAAACACAGCAGGATCCAGCAGCTTTGGTCGGGCATTGGACAGTGTGGCAGGAGTGTTGGGGGTGGCTGCGGCCAGGCACTTTAGTGGGTGTGGGAAATGCCTTTGTGAACTGGCGTTTCGAAATTTATGGCACTTTGTCTGTTTAAAGTTAATTCTAATATTTTCACAATGGGTTATTAATAGGGAAAGTCAGAACTTCAACTTGCGTTAATTGAAGTTTAAATAAAAAAAATAGTTTTCGGAGAGGTTTTCTCCCAAAATTGAAACCCAAAGAAGCCTTAACTTGATATTGAAAGTTCCACTTCTAAAACATATTATGATTAAATTTAAACTTGAGAATGCATTAAAACAAATAAATTAAATCAGAGCGGGTTTCCTTAGAACATACGGAACCCAACTTGATCCATGCATGTTCAACGCGGCGTATTCGTGATATTAAAAATATGAAAAGTTTGCGAACAAACCTGAAATATGATTAATTCCAAAAACCGCCGCAAGTATGCCCGCAAAGTACATGAGAAAAGTCCTAATAAATTAAATTAAGGCATCTCCCTGGTGATTTCTGAATGCCAGCCTCACCTGCGTACTTCACATCGCCCCAGCTAATTCTAGAGAGCTACGTTGCGTATACGTGATGTGAGCTGAGCTGAGATTTCCAAGCCAAAAAGAAAAAAAATATATATAAAAAGAAAAGATAGCAATGGGGGAATTTGGTGTGCCAAAAAACGTTAACTCGCATACGTCAGCCCTGAATAATGTGGGTAAAACTCAAAACTAAACTGAGCTGCAAGTTGTGTTGCAACTCCGGCAAATAAATATTCAGAATGCAATTACGCATGGAATTTGCTAGCACTTAGCGTGTCGTTTTGCCCACTTGCTGCTGAACAGGCCCCACTGGCTGAAAACTTATTTAACTTTTTACGATGTCATTTGGGAAAGTTTGTAATCATTTTCGTTAGTGCATGCTTCAAAAATGGCAAAAGAAGAAAGAAGCCAAGAAATTATTTATACGATTTTCAGACAGTTGAAAGTGTACGACCGAGTATAAATAAAGCGTCGTTCCCTTTGCCCCCCTCTCTCTCTCTCTTATTCCTTTCGATCTAGAGATCTGGGTAACAGCTAAAGGGAAAATGCCAGTGTTTTCCCAACGAGTCTCGACTCGTCTCTCTCCAACTGCCAGTCGAAGTTTTCAAAAATGTTGTTTTCCACTTCTGCCGCGTTTACTCGCAAAGTTTTTGAGTATTAGTGCGTGCAGCGATTCGTGGACGCCGAGATGCAACTTTTACTTTCCATTCTGCTGCAGCTTGTGGCTGCCTTGGATGCAGTTCCTCTGCCTGCTCTACTTGCTCTCCCTCCTCCCTTAGACAGTTATCCAGTTACCGGCTTCCAGCCGCAGACCAACTGCTGAAAGCAGCTGCCACCAAAAACTTTGGGCTAATCCCCCCAGTCAGTCCCAAGTCCCAAGTCCCAGGCACCACTGATAATTTCCGGGCCAAACTGGGGAGCACATGTGCCCTGGGGAGCTTGGGAGTTGGGCAACTTGAGGTGAGTGCAACAGATTTCCCAGTGTCGGTGGAGCAGATACCACCAGTCAATGCCGTCGGTGGTCAACTGCAGTTGTGGGAAACATTAAAAAACATCAAGCAATTAGTCAAGGAGTCAGCTAGCTTGCCATAAAGATGGCTTATAAAAACGAATGACCAACTGGCAGTTGATTTCCCACCATTTCCGATCGTTCCCCTACTTTTTTTAAAGCTACTTCATATGATATTGCCAATAAGAAAAGACAAAAAAAAAAAATATAAAACCATCTAAGACATTGTTTCCTAATGCATCGCTGAAGTTTTCCTTTTCGCTCGTGGACTGCTGCTGCTTGCATGGGACAGCTAGGAAAAAAGCTTTTAAGCTACTTAAGGTTGTTGGCAGGGCGATGTGTCCACAGGGAGGAGATGGGGGATTAAGAACCCAGCTAATGAGTTGACAAGCCACGCCCCGCAACAGTGACATAAAAAGGGGCAAAGGGCAAGAAGCAAGAAACAGATGGGTTGCAAGTACTCGCATTTCGAGAGTGCAATACGAGGGGGATTGGCCTTAAGAAGTTCCCTAAACTGAACTCATCTCACATGGGTCAAAGTGCAGTCAACTTGATATTAAATCAACTGCTTAATAAGCAATATTAGTGTGAGATTTTGAAATGAAGAGAAGTTTTTTAATGGTTTCAACCTTTTAAGTAGTATATTTCAGATTTTAGAAAAGTAATTTTATTCTTTACTCAGCAGTTATGGAATTTTCGCATCACTTTGTAAAACATTCAACGTATCCCCACCATAAACGTTCTGTTTATTTTGAAATTTCCATGTGATATTGTTATTCCAGTGGGCCAAACACACAACTTGCACTTGACATTATTGCGATTTGCTGGAAACGAAAACAAAAAGTTAAAAAAAAAAGAAACGATTATTATGACAAACTGTTTGGGTCCAATCTGGGTTGGTTTCTCCCATCGCATTGCACGGGCAACACATCATCAACACATTTGTACTTGGATTGGAGCGGATTGGATTGGATTGGATTGGATTGGGTGAGGAGGGGGTGGGGGGGCATTAATCATGGGCGAGAGCTTGGGACATGAACATCGTCGGTGGGTAAAACGCAAAATTTGCATTGCAATTTTATTCTTGATTTAATCAAGTGCCGTGGAACAAACGCCAATTTAACTACCCATACACACACACACACACTCAGTGGCTGGGCAATGTGAATGCCGTCAGACGTTGCGTATACGTAATGCCGACTAAATAATGCCCATGTACGATGACTTTTGGTCTGTGTGACATTATGGGATTATGGCATGGTGTGAGCTTAGCGCGTAGTTTGTACCAGCCAGCCGAGTCACCGAGATGTACCAGCTGGAGAAGATCTTTGTCCTGCTGTGCCTGGCCCTAGTCGGTGTCCTTGGCTTTGGCCAGTTCCATATGAAAACCTACCAGCTGCAGCGCAACTACAACACACAGGAGGATTCCGGCGAGAATGACAACAGTGTGCTGCGTGAGTTTTCCTTTTCTTTGCCATGTGAAGGCAAAACTTAGTGCTTTGTGCACTGAGAGAAAGGGTCAAGAAACACGAGAAGAGGAAATTTTGTAACTTTCCAACTTGTTAACTTATTAAAGATATATTAATAGTTGTTAGCTTATAAACTTGTTAAATTATATAAATAACAGCATTTCTTCATCTCCATTTTTCCATACAGGAACCTTTCGCCGTTGCATGTGGGAGCAGTCGAAGTTCCTGCCCCGCCGCCTCGTATTGCTGAGCCTGTGCTCGAATCTCTTTTGCGAGAACAACCACATAATGCCTCGCTCCAGGTCTATTTTCGTAGTGGAAAAAATGTCTAGGCCGAATGAGTAGTTGACCAATGCAATTCTATATAGTTAAGCATGTGCACCACAACCCTCAATCCTCAATCCCCCCCTCAATCCCCCCGAGCATGTTATAGTACACCCATCCATTTGTCCCCAAAAGAATCGTTCCATTTGAGGGAATCTGAACTAATGCCCCCATGTCTATCCTTCTATGTCTCCTCCAGCTGCCTGGACATCCTGCCCGACCAGTGCGAGCAGGGCGATGAGGAGGAGCTGATGTACAAGCCCTTCCCCGACTGCTGTCCGGTTTATTGCAACCTGAAGCGTCGGATGCAGCGCCTGCGCACCATGCATTTCCGTCACCGCCTGCTGCGCAACAAACAGGACGGCTCCGCGGGATCCCCTGGTGGTGGATCCACTGGCGGCGATGGTCCCAACAACTCACTCCTCAGTGAGTTCGTCTACAACAACTACTAGGCGCAGTTTTTTTGGCCAAAACAAGGACGATGCGAGGATATCACAGCAAATCAAATTATACGGCGATTTGTGAACTGGTCAACTTGTACTTCTCTGCCCAAAAGACAAGGAGTTGTGGGTCATCACGACATTGTTTTCGCTTTTATTAATCTCAAAATATAGGCTATAATGTAGGATATAATATATATAATATCTGGTATAGGACAAGCTCTTTAAGATGTTAACTTGATTTCCGAATTAAGTTGCTTGACTTTTAGGGAAACTTTCTAACTATATTGTTTTTGCTGGCTTGAGATTGTATTAATCTGGAAATATAGATATTAAATTTAGAATTTGTGGATTTTTTGATTATATTTAGAGCAGAGAAGTTGCTAAAGAAGATGGAATAGCTAGTCCTTACGCTTTCTGTGTTTAACATTCCTGTAAATTAGGGTCAAGCTTTGTTAGAAGATTGAATTGCAGTCTATCTTAGATAATAATTTTCAGCATAGGCAAACTCTTTTTACTGCGTTTACAGCCTCTTCTTTCGTATCTGTCCGAGTGTCACCTTGGTTTTCCCTTTGGCTGGGCTGCCATTAGCTTTCCAATCGAAACTGTCACTCCTTTGGTCCTTCGTCTAGACAGGCTCTCGAAAGGGTCTTGGACGGACTTGATGGACTTTTTTTTTCATTTTTTTTCTATTGCTGTTCAGGGGCCGTGACCAAGTAGCTGCAGCCCTTTTTTGCCCCGACTATCCTCATTAGGGTAGTTTTTGGGGTCTCTCAAGAGCTGTCCTTCTCGTACTGAGATTCCAGATGGCAGTAGAAGGAGTGTAGATGGTTGAGGCAAAGATGGGGAGGCGATATATCCTGCAGCGCTGCTTCCTGTTTCCGCTTATCGTTTTAACACTTTTATGGAGCAGATGCAGCTGTAGCTGCAGAGCTTGGTTGGCCGTGCTTCTGTCTTCATTTTTATCTGCAAACAAGCAATAAATTTTATTTTAATAAGCAACACTTTTGATAGCCAGTGTCGAGCTGAGCGTTCGTTCTCCTTTCTTTCTTCCTGCCTTCTTCCTCTCTTTCCTGCACTTGTTCTTGTGGCTTGTCCTTGTCCTGGCAGTGGCAGTGGCAGTGGCAGTAGCAGTGGCTGCCATCCTTGCTGTATCCTTGCCTTACTGTGGCGCTGCAGTAAATACAAAGGATACTCGGCATCATCGGCTCACCGTTAGCTGCCATAATGTTGCGGTCTCAGGCAGTGGCGTCTGCCAGTGGGGGTTATACATACTTAATACCCGATGCGGTAAGACTTTGGTTTCATTATGCGAGGGGTATTGATATTTAATATGAAAAATTCTGGACGATATTTAAAGCTTTTCTCCGGCTTATAAAGTTTGTAAAGTTAAGAGATTATTAAAAATTCAAGAAATTCCTTAAAAGATAACATTAAAACTTAAAAGCTTTACCAAATTTAAAAACAGAAATGCCTAAAATTGAAGTTAAAACCCTCTAATCACCGATAAACCGATTGCCCATCGAGCACAACTGTACTTTGTCGGCCTTTTGCTTACACAGAGAGAACAAAATCAGGTCTACGGGAATGGAAAATTGCAAACATTTGACTGGCTTTCCTTTCAACAATGTCTCCCAACTCCTTTTTGGCTGCCACGTCAATGTCCTTGGCTTTGTGGCAAAAACATTACCTCAGATCCAGAACCAGATCCGGGAATCCAGAGCCTGATAGTCCCCCTGGACTGGTCCTCCACCCACCATATCCACCGCCTCGTTTACTTTTTGTGCTGCCATACCCTGGGCTTTGGGATTCATACCTCCTCATGCCTTCCCGGCCATCGTCTTATTTTTTATGTGGCTTTATGCGGCACCATCTCATTGTGCCCCCAAAACATGTGAGTGTATGCGGGGCGCCTTGTCGTCCTTCTTGCAGCCATTGTTGTTGCAACTGCTGTTGCTGTTGTTGTTGTTTTTTTTCTTACTTTGTTGCACTTTGAAGATTATTGCACAATGCAATTTATATTTATCGTACGCTTTTAGTTCTAGCCGCTTTTCCACCACAGCCATTCAAGGCGACAGAGCTTATGGATTAGTACAACGAGTTTGAACTTTGAGTCTGTCTGGAAAATTGAGAAATAACAGTTTTCCAGTCATATTCTAAGGGCATCCTTAAGATACTTTGACTTGTTTTTGACTTAGCTTCTTGTTTTAGAATTTTAAACTGAAAACTTTGAGTTTCTTGTTGGTGTAGTAGTATAAAGATATAGTGATATATGGTAGTATAAAGATTTTTTAACTTCTTTTACTTTGATTTTTCCCCTTAATCATCAATAAGCCCTTTCTACAGAGCATCTAGTCTTCAGCGTACATCGTTTTCTTTGATGTTTTTGTTTCATTTATGTCCTTGCTGATGTCATATACATGGCTGTATGCTCTCTTACACATATACATAAATACTTTTCTACATACTGGCTGGTGATTTGTGGGGCGCGTTGCAGCCCCTTTGTCGTCATACCTGCAGACGGCAGCGAAAAGTGCAGCTATGTGTGTGTGCGTGTGTACTTTATCTGCATGTGGCCGTGTACATTGTGGATGATTATAAAAATTCAATGCATTCATAATAGTCTCTGTTATTTTTTTTAGGGGAAAATCGAGAAAATCTCCTCAAGACAAAAAGGATTTTATGGCTAGTTCAGGGATATGTTTGTACCCTAAGCCAGTGACTTTGTAAGGCATCTGGTAAGTGGTTGTTTTCTGACAATTTTAATGACTGAACGCGATTCCGTTTGCCGTCATGGCGACCTTCGCTTGAATCGAGTGAAATGTCAAAATGTCCATTAATTAACATTGGGATAAAAAACTTCTGGTTGAGCTTCAGTTCCAGCATCCCGAATGGATTTTGACTTTCCTTTGTTTCGCCTCCACTCTCCGCTTGGCTCCTCCCGGACTTTGCCGACTTTTCCAGTTTTTCCAAAGCGCACAATTAGACGTCGCGGACTTTTCTCTGGCCTGAACTCAAAAACTGTTGAGTTGTCGGCGGGAGCACTTTGAGTTTTCCCTTATTGACATTCTTCAACAAAAAAAATTGCCAAGGCAGAAGAAAAGATGGTCCAGTTGGAGCAGGGAAGGGAGAGGCTGAAGAGAGAGAGAGCTTTGAATAACTTTTGGATGAAGTTGAAGTTTGGAATCAATAATGACGAGACAGATTTGCAGTGAGCGGTATAACTCCATTCCGCAGGCAGTGGGAGGGGAAACTGAAATCTTTGAAATAAGTTTTTAAGCCAAATAAAAATGTTTAAGTAATATTTCATATTTGTATTTTTAATATTAATATTTTATCCATAAGAAAACATTTTAAAAAGCACAAAAAAAAAAGATAGACTAACTGCTATGTTTATTTTGAGATACATTTTCCTTTTTCAATAAAACTCAGTGAAACTTTTGCAATAGTTCTTGGCTAGCAACCCATTTTGCTGAGGGCATCGGCTGCTGCCAGTCCCATCTCGTGCTCCGTGGATCCTTCGGGCTCCATGCACAATATATCCCGGCTAACTTGGAGCAGCTTCACCACCTCCTTGAGTCGCCGCTGGAACTCTTGCCTTGAGATCTGTCCATTTTGGATGGCCGACTGGGCCAGAACCATAACGGGGGCATGAAGCTCATACATGATGAGTCCTAAAAGTAGAAATTCATTTTGTTAAAGGTATTCATAAGGTAATAAGTTAAGAGAGGCACCTCTCAGACGCGTTAGTCCCGGATCGAGTACATCGACGATTTCCAGGAACTCCCGGCAGTAACTCTCCTTGCGAGCAATATCCTGCGGCGACATCTGTGGCAGTAAATATCCTTCGATCCGTCCGTAAATCTGGCACAACGAGTACTTGGCCGAGAGCAGGAGGTAGTGGTTGGGTCGCAGGACATCCCGATACCTGCAGGAGGATTGGTTGATTGATAATCACGGAAGAAAGTAATGGGAAAGGTATATTATTATTCAGCTTCATGTCAAGTTCATATCGAAATCGATTGAAGATTAAAATGATAGAAAATCGAAAAAGTTAGCATTAAGATCAAGAATTTTCATTTCTAGCGAAATGGCAAAGCAGTCGCACTCGGATTAGGGAGCCATGTTTTCCATTTTGTGATTGATTGATTGATTGATTGATTGATTGATCGACCGAATCGGGCTAAAATGATTCTTCAAATTAGTTAAAGCTTATGTAAGATATGTAAGTGCAGAATTATTTTCGTCAATGTGTAAAGATTTGATAGGCAGTTTGCTCGACCGATCCACGCACCTAAGGAGAAAGTTCTCCAGTCCGGGAATGTCGTGGACATCGATGGCCTCCAGGTCATCGTTGATGCGGTCCAACTGCCGTTCTACATCCTTGGCTACAATGCGATGGGAGCAGCGGTCGCAGCTAAGTTGGAGAGGGTGAAGAAAAGGTCAGCCCAGGGGTTAACTAACTCCTAGTCTCTCTCAGTGATGGGTTGGAATTTTTGTTTGGGTTTTTCAATGATTTTTTTTCCATATTCAGATTAATCAGATTATTGTGCCCCGGCCCATCACTGCCCACCATTCCTAATACTACTCACGCCCAATCGCCAGTTTGCTCCAAAGGATCCACCGCACGCACCGATCCCGCCCGGCAGGCGGAACACACCAAGGCACTGCAGTCCGTGCCCAGCTCTCGGGGATCGGCGCAGCGCCGGCAGCGGCACCAGAAGAGCTTGCCCTCGTGCATGAAGGCGCGCCGCTTGAGGGTGCCCTGCAGCGTGTACGCATAGCTGAGCGTCAGCGCTTCCCGCTCGCGCACGCGCCGCGAGGTGCGCAGCAGGATCGCGAAGGACCTCGGATCGTCCGTGTGCGCCGTGTTGGGGGTGCAGTCGTGCGCGAGCAGGAAGGCGCTCGGATATAGCGTCCGCGCCTTGGCGCCATTCTGGCCGATCTCAAAGCAATTGACGTCCAGTATTCCGCACACCTCGTGCACCTGTTCCGCCTCCAGATCCTCCAGTTTCCATGTGACACGCAACCGCTGCACCACCTTCTCCTCGTAGTGCCGCCATAGGACCTCGTTCTGGCGACGCTCTTCCGTATGCGATTCCATGCGGGCGATCAGGTCGAACTGCTCCGGATCGTGCTGGCGCAGGAGGAGGATGCGCACGATCATTACCAGTTCGTAGAGGTCCCGCACTTCCGCCGGACCGGCGCGATCCGTCAGCAGTTCGCCGGCGACCGCCCGTCGTTCTCCATACAGTTGGCATTCGGTTTCGGTATGGCCATGTCGGTGCTTGATTCCCGAACATGTGCTGCTGCAGAGTGGCCAGGCACAGCCAGGACAACGATATTGTTGTGGCTTCAAGGACACTGGCTGATAACAGCCCAGGCATACGGGATCACCGCTCACACACGGCCCAATGGCCAAGGGCTCTTCACGGATCAGTGTTTCGCCCGCCTCCAGCTGTCTGCTGGCCACCAGATATCGGCCATATATCTCCGACTGGGCAACACGAAACGGCTGTTCTTTATCAGCCGGCAAAGGACTCTCCTCCCTTTCCGGCTGGCTGTCATGCTGGTCCTGTTTGCTGTCCTTCGACTGCTGACCCCTTGGATGCCTGGCTCTGTTGCTGTTCTTGTGGTGATTCTGTGGGAGCACAAGCCAAAGAGATGAGAGCACTCATTAGTGACGGCGTCCGTTGCTAATTGTATTCTAATTGCTGTCTCCTGCTCTGGCTCATTAATCACTGGTTCGGCCCACTGTCACTTCCTCGTTCTCCAACCCCCCTCCAACCCATGGCCCACTGTCTGAATGACCCATGGTTGGCCACACCTCCCGCCCACCTTCTGGGCCGTTGTCAACAGCTGGCAATTAAATGCCACTCAGCTGGCCGCAACAGGTGCTAGTTTGCACGCCGCCCACACATCGAGTTGTTCCAATCGATTTGGCTCAAACGGACAGGCATCGGGACAAGATCCTTGGACAAGGACTTCTTTTTAAACCAAAAATTTTAAAAAAATACTATAAAAATGGTAACTTTTTGGGAATTTTAATGGTTAATTAGCTTTGATTTAAAGTGGAAAAATTAAGGTTTTTATATTTTTTGAGACTTTTAGCTTTCTTTTGGGAAAATGTCTTTAAAAGTTTTATTTACTCTTAAAAATTCCCTCTCTTTGCTAGTTTTCAAACTTTATATAAATTTTTATATTATTAAAACTGCTTTTTAAAAGACTTAAGTGATAAATTAAGCAAACATGAAAATGATTCTCGTTTCAGTTAAGAAAAGTCTAAGAAACAGCCAAATTTCTTTCACAACTTCAAACCTTCCTTTAAATTTCCCAAAAAATATGTAAAAACAAAATTATAACAAAAATATATTTTTAAAGTTTAATACTAGCACTTATTTTTTAAACTTTTCTCACATTTTCCCCCTCAACATTTCTCTAATTAATAATCTACAAAAATCTAAGGAATGTATAAATATTCTACGTTTTATGTGAAATTTTCCTTTGCCTGACAGGCATTTCCTTTGATTTCTTTTTACCAAACTCACCGCCCTTCAAGCCACCAATTAATAACCAAAAATTCAAAAACAATTCTTTCAAATTCACTTCAGAGAAATATTTAATAAGAATAAATATCTGCTTAGTTTTTGGTTAACATTTCCTTTGGCTGACAGACATCTCTTTGGAAATGTCTTACAAAATTAGCATCGCCTATTGTGAGTCTTTGCCAAAATCTACTTTTAGCCATACAATTGCATTTAGTACATATGTAAATTGGCTCATTCCATATAGTACGAGTTCATACTGGATTCTTGCCAATTTCTAGCCATATATTTATTTATTATTTTTGGTCTAGCCTAGTCTTTGCTAGTCTTTGCTAGTCTTTGCTAGTCTCTTCTAGTCTTTTATTTAATAATCAAAATGAGTTTGGTATTAGAAGAGTTAGGAAGAGAGGTGTTTATTCTTTCTTTTTTATTTACTTTTTATATCTACTTATTTTTGATTAATATACACTCTTATATAGGGTGGCCCACGGAAGATTTGCGTTTTAATATCGTTAGAAAAATAATATTTTCCAGCGTTTCGAGCGTAAAGTTAACCATTTTGTAAGCTGCCAACTTTCTACTATATATCTGACTCATTGACAATGACATTCGAAATACCAAACTCAAAATTATCGATAGTTCAAAAAGCAAAAGCTACATGGGCCACCCTGTATCAAAAGTAAAGGGTGGCCCACGAAATATTTGCGCTTTGTTCGAGCGTAAGCATTACCATTTCTTAAACCGCAAACCTTCTACTAAATATCTGGCATATTGACAATGACATTTGTAATGTTAAAGTCAAAATTATCGATAGTTCAAAAAGCAAACGCTACATGGGCCACCCTGTATATACATTTATCATAAAATTGTAAAATAATTTGTTTGAGTTTTGCCTTACTTAATTCACTTTGGTAAAATAAACAAAGGGACTGACTGTTAATCAGGCTTTTAATGGACCCAAGACTTACGCAAATAAATCTGTGCATATTTATCGGCCAATTAAAAGCATTGGTTAAGCCACTATAAACTGATTAAGTTCGTTATTAAGTTCTGGCAGTGGATATTGTAGACTTAAAACGAAATTTGTTTCAAATTCTAGATTTATGTTTAACAAAAGTTTTCATTTTAAGGTGTTAAATGTGAAGAAGTTGGCCTTATATTCCAGTTTGCTAGTCTAAAATGCTTACTAAATGCTAAGAACTATCAACTTACTTAAGTTTACCTCATAGGGTATCTAAAATTCGACTATAGAAAGCTATTCCCCACCTTGTTGAAACATTTAAAATGCATTTTTTCAGGTTTTAAAATGTTGACAAGGCTCTGGCATAAAAACCGAATCTGATTACTTCGAATTAAGGGAATATCTTTGATAATTTGTGGCACATTTCCTTGGCCATATGGAGATGCCAGCGGATGGAGATGCTGAGTGGCTAGCCAGGGCAAACCCAGTAGTGATATATTACCGACCATTGTCTGAGCTGAGCTAACCGATCGGTTAATGATATATGGCTAGTGGAAAAATCAATTTCCATACTTCTGGCTTCTCTCAACGCCTGCATATATCGGATTCATTCATATCCGACTTATTTATAGGCGGCGACTCTTTTTTGAATATCCGAATTGCCGAGCACACATTGCGTTCCGTTATAAATAAAACAAAACACAACAATGCGGCATCGCACCACCACCCTATTGCCGCACCACCCGGCACAGTGGTTTTTACTCTCCGATTTCCTTTTGATCACCACAAAACAAATACGTGAAAAAGGCATATAGGAAAAGGCGAAAAGTGAACACAGAATATCCAAAATAGATTTGTGTTGTTTTGTCGGGTGGTTGTTGCGGCCTTTCAGGAATTTTTATACGACTTTATGGGCTGGGCTCCGATTATAGTGCAGCACTCGATGTGGCAACATGGGATCGGGCCGTGATTGTTACTCATGGGCCTTGTTTGCCAGGGCAGGTCAATAAAAGTTCTCTTTCACAAGCAGGGGGGGAAACATTTTTGAAATCTTGAAATTATAAGTTTTGTTTTTTTTGTTTTTAGAATGGATTTTCCAAGATCTAAGATATATCAAAAAGTTTTCAAATTTTCTATATTTTATAAGAAATTTTTGATAAAAAAAACAAAACTTTTCTTTGTGTGTATGTAAATGTGCTTTTCATTTCACTGTGTTACTATTTGCTGTTGTCTGTGTGGTAAATTAATTTTTAATTATGCATCCGCCCACTACCCACTGCCCATTGCCATGACCGCCCTCCCCACAGCGCTACCTGCGGTGTTTACTTTTTTTCTTCCCGGCATCGCTTTTATTTGTATTTAAATTTGATTTTATTTTATTCCGCCGGCTCGTTGCTTGTTAATTGATTTTAATTGATAATTTTTACGCGGTGCACACGAGTTATTTAAAGGCCCGAACGCATTTAATAGATATGTTTAACAACTCGTCAATTAATTGTGCCTGTAAATCGCATCGAATATATGTGTCAGCAGATTGCAGAGTAAGTAAAAACAACAACAATAACAACAACAAATAAATAATACTTCTTGCCACGCGTTGTTCGAACCGCGACGCACAAATTGCAACTGTCGAGTTGTCGTCGAACGTCGGACGTCGAAAATCGGGAGACGGCGCTACGCCCAACTTGTTGGCACACATTCAAATTCAAATTTAACATACCCGGCCACCCCACACTCACACACACACACACTGACATTTGATATTTTTAAAAATTTATGATATTGAAAACATTTTGGCCACAAGTCCACTGAGAGCCATGCCCAAACCATCTGATTAAAAAGTTCGCGGCACCTCAATGCCACTGTCAAGATGAGTTAAACGCCTCATATACTATATATCACCATCGAGCACTCACATTTTCCTTCCTTTTTTTCGATTTTCCCCCCGCCGCCCCGCTCATTGGATTTGTTTGGTTCCTCTTGGCAGGCCAGAAATAAATCAATTTTATTTCAACTTTTGGCGGCACACGATTAAGCGGCACTATTTAAGCGAGAGAACGTTGCATCATTGCACATTGGAGGAGAAATATATAGAATTTAATGTTTTCAAAAATATGTCAGCTTGAAATCTTAATAAACATTTTTAGTTTTGATATGATAGAATAATGATGTTTTGTCAGCTGCACTTGCAATGTCAAATATCAAATTTATTTATTTATATGCCTGTCAATGTTAGCTGAATTATATTATAAAATTTGGATGTCAGAAAAAGTGTTTTCGAATATTTATATTTAGAAAACTCAATGTGATTTTTGTGAATTTTGATAGAAGAATTGCAAAGAGTTTAGGCAATTAAAAGTACAGGGTGGCCCATGTAGCGTTTGCTTTTTGAACTTTCAATAATTTTTACTTTGACATTTTGAATTTCATTATCATTAAGTCAGATATTTAGTAGAAGGTTTGCGGTTTACGAAATGGTTAAGTTTACGCTCGAAGAAAACGCAAACATTTCGTGGGCCACACTTTACTTTTGATACAGGGTGGCCCATGTAGCGTTTGCTTTTTGAACTTTCGATAATTTTGACTTCGACATTTTTAATTTCACTGTCATTAAGTCAGATATTTAGTAGAAGGTTTGCGGTTTAAGAAATGGTTAAGTTTACGCTCGATGAAAACGCAAACATTTCGTGGGCCACCCCTTACTTTTAATACGGGGTGGCCCATGTAGCATTTGCTTTTTGAACTTTCAATAATTTGTACTTTGAAATTTTGAATTTCATTGTTATTAAGTCAGATATTTAGTAGAAGGTTTGCGGTTTACAAAATGGTTAAGTTTACGCTCGAAGAAAACGCAAACATTTCGTGGGCCACCCTTTACTTTTAATACGAGGTGGCCCATGTAGCGTTTGCTTTTTAAACTTTCAATAATTTTGACTTGGACATTTTGAATTTCATTGTCAATATTCCAGATATTTAGAAGAAGGCTTGCGGTTTACAAAATGGTTTAGTTTACGCTCGAAGAAAATTGGGAAATATTAATATTTTTATAGCGATTTTAAAACGCAAATCTTGCATATTTTTAAGCTAGAAATATTCATTATTAATGCCGATCTTGTCCATATCAAAAATATATAGTTAAGGTTTAAGGTGTCCAGTTCGCTTAAAGTTAACTTAGATTGCTGTATTAACTACCCAATAGACAAAGGGAATAGATCTAACCTTGCCTAGGCATCATTGTGATGGAAAACCCTTGGTTAAGACATCCCAAACAGGCTCTACTTATGCAGGAGTATCCACGAGCACACGTTTGGCTATTTAATAATTTATTTTTACCTGAAATCTGTCAGAAGTGGCCAAAACACATATTTGCAAATGTGCATTCCAAGTGCTTGCATCACCTGGCCCAACACCCACTAATCCATGCCATGACCACCCACCCACCTCATCCAAACTATCCAAAACCCCCCACCCCAGCCAATCTCAGCCGCATTTATATCTGCGGGGCTAAGTTCTCGATTCTCTTTGGCCATGAAGTGCTTTTGGGTAGCGGAGTTGAATGATAAATAAAATTGCTTTTGCAACCAAAAACTGCAACTGCAACTGCCACTGTCAGTGGCAACTTAAGCCGACTTAACAAAGTCCCGGGCCTGCTTCCTGTTGATATTTTCCCCAAAAATTGCCCAACAAAATTCTAGCGATTTATGCAATTTTGTTTGTTCGTTGTGTCAGAAGTGTTCATAGAGTCGTCATCCATTTTATCCACAATTCAAATACACCCCCTCTTCCTCTCCCTCTCCCTCTTCCTCTCCCCATCACCATTTTTCATCTCTATGTGCGAGGGCATTTCAATTAGTTTTGAAACGATGCCGCCGGCCAGCTTTTTAGTTGCACTCGATGTTGCCTCTTTTTGTGCTGCTGCTGCTGCTTCTGCTGCTGCTGCTGATTTTAATTGTTTTTATTGCATTCGCCTGCGGGCAGTAGGGAAAACAATGAGACCGGCATCGGGAATGATCTAGATTCGACAGTCGATTTCTCAACTCGAATTGTGGCTACCCTGTTGATGGAGAGTGCTGCTTAATGCTAGTTAAAAGATTTCTTCAGGAAGGTGCTAAAAAAGAAGCAAAAATGTTTTCTTGCGAAAGAAATTTCCTTTTAAAACTTAAAAAAAAAACCCAAAAAATTAGTTATAAAATCGAACTAATCAAAGTTCAACCAAACTTCGAAAACTTTCAACAAGTTTTTGTATAAAAATATTTCAATGTTGTCGGTAAAAATGATGTTTATTTATGAATATTAAATGACTAATAAAGGTCATTAAAAATTCTCCTCAACGTTTATCGCTTTTAATTAAGAGCCACTATTAATCAATAAAAAAACAAATGACTCATGACAAACAAAATTGATTGAAAAAGTGAAAGAGTAACGTTTAGATAATTACTAAACTTATTTTGTATTATTAGTTTGTATATAGGTAGAGGGCAGGCAAATTGTGTAAACAATTTGTGTAATTTATTCTCGATTTGTTTACCCAAAAACTCTATAAAATAAAATATATATTTGCCTGAATTAAAGAATGTTTTTATTTTGTTTACCTACGAAGCTTAAATGCTTAGGTTTGTAAAGAAATGCGAGACTTTTTGACTTGAAAACGTCATTTTTCAAAGAGAATGCCATTCGATGTTTCTCAGGTGGACAAGTCAGCCGAAAAGTATGCAATGCTAAATGGCCGCGGGTGCTGCATCATCATGCTGATGGTGTGGGTGGATGTGGGCACAATCTTCCATCTTCCATCGACATGCATGTGTATTGGTGACCCTACTGTACGGCATGACATCAAATTTGCATGTATTTATGTACATAACCTCGCACGCGTCCGCTTTGTTTATGATCTGGAGCGGAAACGAGACGCATGCAACATCCACACGAGGACTCGCCTCGACATTCTTACTCTGGCACGCCTTCTACCATCCTTCGTCCTACCCCCCATACCCCCAGGAAACACTTACCTCGCCCGGAGGCGCGCCAAATGCGCGACACCCCAAAAGGAAAGTGAACCCTTCGACAAAAGCGGCCAAATCGTAGGAGACCAGGATGAAGTGGATGGGATGTCCTGGGGCAGTGGCACAAGTTTGCCTATGCGGCAAATATTTGCCAGTCAGCCGGGGCAGGCGATTCAAGCCGCTAATACACTCGGAGAAATTGGGGTAAAGTGAAGGATGAAAGTTTAAAAAAATGTTATTATTTTCTTTACTTAAATGGAAAATCTTTAAAGAAGTTGGTAAGTAAGTTTTGGCTATCCTTTAAGTTTGTTTAAAGTTCTTAGTATTTTATTATATTTCTCTAAGTGTACTTCGGCTGAAACTGTATATTGTTGTTGATGACTTTCAGTGTCAGCATAAACGTCACTCCATTCCAGTCAGTTCACCTCTCATCCCGTTGTCCCGCATTACCCATTTCCTATTTCCCACTTCCCCAGTTGAGTTCCTTGAAATCCATGCAAGTATGTCAACCTGAATCCTATATCCATTGTCTGGTCCGGGCCAGTTAACTGCACTTCCCAATTTCGCACACACTCAGACGGAAGGACTAGAGTGCCAAGTCCAACATTAAGTTGACTGTAATTGACTCTCAGGTAAATGCATTCGCATTCGCATTCGGAATTCGCATTCGCATTCAGATTCACATACGCCTTCAGTGCTAAATTTCAAATGAGTTCTCAGGCTCTTTATTTGGATTTATTTGCCACATTATGGAGGCATAGGTGATGCTGAGGCAGGACATTTCTTTGATTACGAACTGTAGGTCTCTAATCATTACCCATAATAATGATGGCAAGAAAATTTGTACTTTGGGTTGTTGATTTTCTTTTAGCTATGTTCGAAGTTAAGCTTTGAGTTACGCAAGTTGAGATTTTTCATGATTAATAACTACTTTTTCTTAACTTAACAACTTTAATCATTTATTTTTAACATAATTAATTAAGGTAGATACTTAGAAGTAAAGTTCTTAATAAATATATTACGTATACGTAATATTGAAATGTTTTTAAAAAGCAAAAAGAAAAATGTTTAAAGGAATTATCAGATAAATTATCAGAGAAACAATGTTAAGCCTAGGCCAGAAGCCAGAAGCCAGGATCCCCTTGGCCAGAAGGCGTCTTAAGCTCTCCGCCATTCCCAATCTGCAGCTGATTTTATTCGAAGGCATTATCGCTGTCGTCATCACCATTTGTTGTGGGTTATCACGGCAGGTTGTCGCCTGATATTATGGCCATATGGCGATGGCCTGCAGCACTGAATGGAACTCACCACTGAGTACAGGTCCTTGCAACCGGGACTCGGTGGTTCTCAGATGGGCGGTGGGCGCGGGGGACAGTGGCGGTACGATTATAATGGAGACCATTCGGGCAAGCAATACTCGTACCGCCCGCAACAAACGGCGCAGCGGCGGCAGCGTCAGCTGCGGCGCAACTGCAAGGATAATGCCGAGCGTTGACGAAGGATAAGGCCGAGCGCGACCGAAGGACTAGCGTCGCTGCCTCAGAGGCTTTATAACTCACCACGCGACCAAAAGGACACACAGTCGTCGACCGGCTTCCGCAGCGTGCGCCTCGTAATCGAGATTTTTGAAACGTTTGAAACGTGTTCTTAACCGACGGACGACGGCGCTTGAACGTAACGTGAACGTAAGCCAAACGCTGTCAACACGTGTGGGGACTTCTTTTTGTTTACGTGACAAGGATCGCTTGTTGTTCGTGGGCGGCTTATTGGATTTTGATATGGAACAGGATGGGGGATAAGAACGACGTTCTCGTCCTCGTCCTCGTCCTCATTCCTCGACGCTTCCGCTTGATGTTTTGTATATTTTTTTATTTTGTTGAGTGAAACTTGAAACGCTTGTGCGCGCGAAAAGGAGTGAAAAGTTATTAATCATTAAAGGACATTTATGTCGCGTGCTGTCACACACACACACACACAACCAGCCATACACACACAAGGAAAATATTTGCCGCAAATTTAGTTTGCCTTGTGGTCTTTCATTTTTTGTTGTTGTTGTTTTCTTTTTTGGGGCTGCGGGTCGCCGACGCTTACGAAATAATTTATTTGCCCTCATGCAGACAAGCAGCGTCGCATAATATTTATTTTTGGGACCTCGTTTTCGTCCGAAAAACGTCCCTCAAAAACCTCATCAAAGTCCTGCGCCAAAAATTTATAAAACAACGCGGCAAGCGGACGCTTTCGAGTGTATGTTTTGTGAATGAGTGAGTGACTAAGAGAGAGAGAGAGAATGGGAGAGAGAGAGAGAGAAAGTATATATGAATGAATGGCCAAGTGCAGTGGCAAGTGCTTACCTTTGTCGCGTTTTTTTGGTTTTCTATTTGGCAAATGATTGACACTTCTCAAAGTGAATCCTAAACGAAGATGTTATGGCATTGTGTGCCATTCAAAGCCATTCAATCGGAAGAGTTTTCCGCTGTTGTTTGGCCAATTTTCACGTTGTCTGATTGCGAGTTTTCAATGTTCAATTTTTGGGCTTAAACAGAAATTAGTAATGAGCAGAAGTTAGTTTACAGTTTAGCCCGCCTTCTATTAAATATTTATAGCAATCTCATAGTTTTACACTCTTTCAACATAACAATAAACTTCCATTTCGAAATCTCTTTCTATCGCTATAAGTTATGTCCCTCAAATTGATTTCGAATAATTCGGGTAATATTTCGATTGGGGGCAGCTTCATTTCCCCAACTCCATGCGTTTCCAATTCACTTGACTGCCAACGAATTCACGCGCTGTTATCCGCACTTTTCCACGGCTATAAACAGACCCCGGGACCAGACAGAATCACTCCGATCGAAGCCCCGCCAGATTGAGTGCGACTGTTTAAATCACCCGGCACACAGTGCAAGTGGAGCGCCACTTTACGAGTGGATTGAATCATCCGGGTCACATGGAGACGTGAAGGACTTACGAGCCTCGCGAGCTCCTGGAGACACAAAACCGAACCAGGACACAGCACAGAGAAAAACAGTTTAACATACTTCAACTGCTTCTAAATTATGTTTCCTTCTTCTGATCATTAACTATTTTTTATATAAAAATAATCAATAATTGCTTTTCTTTTATATCGTTTTTGCTAGTCCAAAGTCAAGGCTTCCCAGTTCCAAGTCCTTCAACTTTCCAAATACAATTCGAAATGATCTTTTTAGCACATTTAAGCTGTAGGGCTTCCATTAAACTTGGCGGGGATTTCTTTCTGTGTGGGATTTGGGGACTGGAAGTGGGACTGGATTGGATTTGAACGCCCCACTTGGGTGCTGACACAGCTGTTAATATAAATTCTCGCTGTCTGTTGCGATTCGCTTTGGCAACGATTTATGAAAATTGAAGTCTTTGTTTTATTATCCCGGACACGGCAATGGCAACGAAGGTGGAGTGGGAGCTGGAGTTGGAGGTGGAACTGGTGGTGGCCTTGCAGGCGGAGATGGATTTGGATTCAGTTTCGAAGTTCGAGTTGGAGTTGGCGGAGTTTGGCGGATGAGGAGGAGGAGGCGTCCTCCTTTTTGTTGCCATTTGCTCAATATTTTATGCAAAGCAGACTAGCCCTTCCCCGTGGCCCTTTTGGCGGCATTGATTTACAGGCAAAAAGGCAGCAGGTTACGGCGTGTTTTTTATTTTTGCGGGGGGGAGTAAGAGGGCTTAGAGGTTATCCTATCCAAAAAGCGACCTACTTTGATTTCGTTGGCCGTGTTTAGAGTTCATATTTGTGCGTTGTCGATTTTTGTGTAATGCCTCTCCTTTTCGTTCTGCCGTTTTGTTTGTTCTTTTGGCCTTTTGTTTGCCTTTTGTTGGCTTCGATTTGGCCAGGTTCTCCGGCAAATTCCCCATTCGAATTGCAGCCCATAATTCAATTTTAGTTTTAATTTCCGCTCTTGGGCGTAAATTGCATTTGCATACTAATACATCAGTGGGTGGGGTGGATTTTCTGGGATTTCAGTGTCAGTGTGTTAGTGTCTCTATGTGTCTGTGTGTGTGCGTGTGTGTGTGTGACATAACACGTACTCAAATTCAGTAAATCCAATACACAGGCAAAATCCGCACATAGACCGCACATTTCGATTCGCATTTCGTTGAGACGAACGATGTCGTTGCTGCTGCTCCTTTTGGCCATCGTCCTGCCGCAGCGGCTGCCCTTCGTTGCCGGCGGCTCTTGCCGGGAGGCCCAGCTCTGCTGCACTGGCCGCGACTCATCCTGCGTCGTCCAGAAGGCTCCGATCAATGCCATCATCGAGGACCTCAGCGACAAGCCCTGCTATTGCGACCACGCCTGCCTTAAGCTTGGCGATTGCTGCGACGACTTCAAGGACCACTGCGGAGGTAAGCCCTTTGCCCTAATTTCTCTTTAATTTAATAAGATTTCTAAGTAACTATAACTTTCTCATATTAAGCAATTAAAAATGATTTCCTTACTGGCTTAAAGTGCAAATTTTCGATGATTTGGCAATGTTAAAAAGTTGCCGAAAACTAATTTCGCAAATTGCTAAACCAATAAGCTCACTCTAAGATCTCGATCTCGATTGCGTTTGAATGTTGGTAATGAGGGGGCAAGGAGTTAAAATTAGTTTGTAACTCTTGTCTGTATTTTTAGACAGAGTTCATTAACAAGGCCTAAAGTTAAGTGATGGGCAAACTATTTATATTGCGGAGTCAGATTGAAGGCCAAATCCCCGACTTCAGATGCATATGGAACCGTTGAGGGTATATCCTGGCAGACAGACAGAGGGACAGAAGGGACAGGCAGTCAGACAGACATACGCAGCACACATACTCCAACGCAACTAGGACTACTGTGGTCGTAAAAAGGCCAACTTAATGGCCATATCCCGGGCTAAGAGTCTGCATTCATGGCTCGTTGGGTCCACATGGCCTGTGCGTGTGTGTACAGATACAATTTGTTCTTCTGCCAGTCTTCCTTTCCTTTTTTTTCCCCATATATGTTTTGTTTCTTTTTTTTTGTTTCTTTTTTTTTTTGGAAAGTACAATAGCTAAAGGGCTTTAATTTTATTACATACAGCAAATAAAGTCAACGAACATGCGGCGGCCTTCCAAATTAAATAAGACGCCGACACGAGAGATAGGGACTTGGGCTTGGAAGTTGGAATTTTTCGTGCCATCTGCGGCTACAACTTGAAAGATGCCAAAAATAAAAACCCCAAGCAAAAGAAATATATATATATGTGTGTGTGTGAGGAGGAACCGCAGTGGTACGGAAAACAGGGACAGCTCGTACCGTAGAAGGTTCTCCAATTCCAATCCGGGAGCTTCTGCTTCCGCCGCAGAAGGCGCCACCGAAAGTTTACTTAATTTTGCATTAAATTTGATTTCATTCCATTTGGCGCACTACTGCCACTACCTCCCCCCTCTTCTATCAATTAAAAGTCTGAAAGTCTCACTGCCGCCGTCCGGAAAACTAAAGTACGTCCATCTGGCATACGGAAACTGCCATAAACACGGCCGTAGACAAAGCCGTATCCGTCGACAATGGAGAGATGCAATGGCACACACACAATACACGGCCCGGCAATCATTTGATTTGTCTGCCGACTGACTGCTAGAAATGGCTAAAACGGGAATAAATGGAGGCGGTCTGGCTGAAAGGATGCCACAGCGCCGCTTCAAGAAAGGTGCAAGAAATTCTGACAAGTGATTGGTAGTAAATGCCTGCCAAGAGCAGTTCTCTTCTAACGGGCTGCACTGAGAGAAAAAGGTTGTAAAGAAGATACATACTGAAAGGGAAAAATGAAATAGAAGCTCTTTTCTATAAAAATAATACTTTCCGTGAAGAACAAATGCAGACAGAAAGAGAAACACAATATGAAGGAAAATGTGTAATAATATAAATCTCGCTCCAGGTTAGCTTTTTTCTGTTATGCCTTTAATTCTCGAATTCGCTTCTCTCGAAAGTCAAAAACCGAGTCTCTTCTCAATTCTTGTTCATCCCTCTTCTCGCTTGACCATGAGCGAGACAGATGTATATACAAAACGATCGCTTAAAGCTAACTTACATGATAGAAAGAGATAACAGTATATCAGGATAATATTTACAGCTAAGTTGTTTCCTAATTTGCCTTACAGTGGGTCTCATACTTATACGTTATGCTAAAATTTGTACAGTGGGCTTAGTATGTTAGTTTATTTTTTGCTATGGAATGAAATTGATATTTTTTCGTTTTCAACTTAAGTAAATGATAAAATATTCAGTTACTAACTGGAAGTTTATAGAAAATCGTTTTGTTTTAACATTTAATTGGGGATTTGTTTACAAGAAATTCCCCTCTAAGGCCTTAAAGAATTTAAATATATGTACTAATACGACTGTGGACATAATCGCTATTGGAATAAATTCTCGTTTAGCTGCCTGGGTCTCCTCCAGACTTGCTCTTCAAGTTTTGTTTTTACTTTATGGCTGGCCTGGCTGGTTGGTTAGCTGGCTGGTTGGTTGGCTGGCTGCCTGGAGGATTAAAGTTGAATGTCTATAACTACCAATTAAGTTGGTAAATATATTGTCTTATAAACATGCTAACATACAGACAGGCAGGCCGAAATGGAAGGAAAATGCGTATGAAGCGATAAATGTCAAGTTAAAAAGGAAAACGCAGGGTCGTAAAGTTGTCGGCCAAAAGGGTCTAAGGATAGGCATCCCACCCATTGGTAGTTACATATGCTCCTCTCCGCTGGCGGCTCAATCAATCAAAGTCGTCTTTGTGTGGAAATAAATGAATGTAACTGTGGCAGATAACATTCACGTTGTCTATATTGATTAGGAATCGTTCATGGAATAACCATATATATATGGCATCCCGGCTATTAAATCGTCGATGTGGTGGCATGCAACAAATGGTCAACAAAACTGTCGACCGGCCATTCATTAGAGAGTCTGGCAAGCCTGGCCAACTCATCAAACTCCCATAATTCACGCTAATTAGTTCGACGAAAGGCAACAGGCGATGTGGCGGTGGTGGTAGGTCCTTGTGCTGTGTCGAGGATGTCCTGCACTCCCATGGCTGTTTTTTTTCTTTTTTTAGCTTTCCTCGTCGAGCCGCCGCCCTTTTTTTATTTTCGTATTTCACGCGTAATTGATGACAACCATCTGAATGTGTCTGCCTGTCTCGGTTTGTGTGACCTTTTGCCCCGCAGAGGAGAGAAGCACTTGACCTCCGTCGCCGTAAAAAGGTTGCAGGAATCGAGATAGCAATGCGATTCAAGAGTTTTTTGATGATTATTAAGTTTTAATATGTTTTGAAAGTAAAATTGGTAAGAAAGAAAGTTAAAAAAATTGCCAAAAAGTATGCAATATTTCTTAGATTAGTAGTAAACTGTTCCTTCACTTAGTTCTGACCATTCTTTAGCCATTCCCTCTCCTTTCGGTGCACACATCCTCCACTTTGCCGCCCTATTGCACTCTGGCCCACAGAATCCAGTTGGAATTCCTGGCCCTGGGCAAATGAAACACATTTGCGTCAGGACTTATCAAATCAAATAAATCAGCTGGCGAACAAAAGGGAACTGGAGGGAGGCATACAAAGGATACCGCAAATTTTCGTATACTCTTGGTTGGAGACCTTCAGGTCCTCAATCTTCGGGTTAGGCTGGCTGTTGGGTTGGGCTAAGTTAAGTTATTTAAGTTGGTGGAGCACACTGGGATTAGGGATTAGATCTTTGGCTGAGCGATGACAGCGATCAAAACTTTCGACACAGCCTAAACAACAGCATTGACAGCAAGTGGGTCGAAAATGAATGAAACGATGGCTTTCACTAACGGATTTAAGTATTAATTATTATCAAACTGCCGGCACTCATGCGGCGGAGTTGACGACGTGCAAACAATGGCGGGTCGATTTGGGTTAAATTTAGGTCCCGGGTATGCCGAATAGAATGGCTTGTGTGCGGGCTTAGTGATAATATTGTAATTATGTATAATTGAAATGTTCCTAAATGCCAGCCCAACACACACGCGCGCGGGCGATAATCTATAGCCCAATATATACTTAATACTTGGGCAAAACTTTGAGCTGGTTATTAATTTCATTTAGCGTCGATTAATCGCCCTCGACCATTTTCATCCCATCAATTTATGGGCCATGTCAGCAGCAATGTTGGGTTAATTGCCATTATAGACTCGTTCTCGCATGTTATTGCCGTAGTTAACAATCGCTTTGACATGCAGTTAACATGAAATTCGAATCTCGTGGGACATGCTTTTCGGCAGGCCATTGGGAAAGTTGTCCCCTCTTATTGCCAAACTTTAAACATTCGCGAGTATTGCCTATTTGGGAGAGCATTTTAAAGGACTCTTTCAAGTTTTTGGCTGTTTCTAATTCAGCTTGAATATAATTTTCTTCTTGCTTATTCCATTTATAAGTTCTAAGACTTAAGGTCCTTGAAGTTCGTTCAATGGTTTAAGTTTAAGCAAGCACAAAAAGTTGCCTCGATCAACGTAATATCCCCATTTAATGTCAAGTCACCTTTAGTTTCTGGGAAGTTGAGCATTCAATTTGAAGATATCTGATCCTCTGGCCACCTCCCTTAACTAATAACCTGAAACTATTGCGACAGTAATAGAGCAGTGACGGAGCACTTGTGACTTCAATGGAGGACTGCTCTCCCTTGGGGGGGAGGGGGGCTTATCCCCAGCTTCACCACTGCCCATCCTGCCCAGCCCAGCGATGACTGGGCCCCTTTTTTTTCCAACAACCTGTGTGGGTCGCTTACTCACCTTTTGCGTCTGTGTCAATGTTGATTTTTTGCTACTTGCGCTGCCGTCGTTGCCAACGACAGCCAAAGTCAAACCCAATTTAACAAAAAATCAACGTGAATGTAAATTGAAACTCAGGCTGACTGCTCCACATTCAGTGCAAAGTGGGATAAGGGGGGCAGCAAGGACGTGAAGAGAGCAGGACACAGGGACATTGGGACACACGGACACGACACTTAAGCCGGCGAACTGCATCACTTCTGGTCCGATCCTTGGCCGCCCTTTCGACCCCTTCCTTCACGCACTCCCCCGCCGCTGAGTGAGTGTGCGTTAAAAAGCAATTTCTTGGCTCGTGTGAGAGGATGACGGTGGAGCCGGGTGCATTATTGCCACCATCCACATTCACATCCTTGTCCAGTGGCACTTGCACAAGCATTTCTCCCTCTCCAAATCCCTTCTGCCACCACTCCTTTTTTGGCATAATAAATGATGTCAAATTAATTAAATCGGCGACAGTCGCTGACTGCAAAGGAAGTTGCATGTTTGTTTGATGGGCAACGATGGCATCCGAATGGATTGCCAGGCGTAGCTGTAGCATCCTGTTCCTTTACACTCCTCCTCA